CAAACAAAAGTGTCTTGTGTAAGGCTCACTTTGTTTAAAGCATTGTCAGCTTAGTTCTGTCTAGCGCTTTGGATATCTCCTTTACCTTGTGCAAGATATGAAACTGACAGTACTTAACATTTAACAATAAAATCATCTCTAATATTCTATTGGTCAAACTACAATAGCCAACTCTATTAAAAGTAAACAAATCTAAGAGAAGGTAAACTCGGTCTGTTTATAAGATTGGAATTTTAAATCATGGTATATAATTATCTGGTAATTATTTTAAGAAAAGCCAAGACAGGTGTCTCTACTGACAAGTTTTAACAGCACGACATCGTGACATGGCGTTTCCCTTGTGTGTTCATTTCAGCAATTTCTCATAAAGCTCAGAGCTGTTTTTTTAATAAATTCTATATAAGTTTCATGTATCTTCTATCATTGAACGCATTTTTCATAAAGCGCTTTCGGTGTTATTTCTACCTGTAAAAATCAATATATCTAAACGTAGTAGTGTCTCTAGAAAACGGCAGTGTCTTGTGTTGCTTACACTTTCGACAAACGAATATTTCTCCAGACTGATGTTTAGGTTGCATATAAACCTTGTTAATTAATTTCGCCATTGTTATATGTACTTGAACAATTTCAGTCAGTGAGGGACTTGGACTAGAAACAGACGCTCCAGACAAAATCAACGTATTTGTTATCTTAGCAAAACTCTCAAAATATGTGTGTTGGTGAACGTTACTTCAGCCCTGTGATTAGAACTAACGTTTGATACTTCAATTAATAAGGGCTAAATAAATATATGCAATCAATCGAATTTACCGAAACAAAATAGTCATGCTTGTTAGCGAAGACGTATAATAAAACATCATTGTTAAGTCATTAATATCTTCTGGAGCGAGCCCAATAACAAAGTAGAGTAACAATTTCCCGTATAATGACCAATCAGTCGGTGTTTTACTGCCTGGTATTCAAAGTAAATTGTCTAGCCCTAACAGCCGGAAATGGAGTGAACTTCCGCTTTGAAAATAAAATCTCGATTAGCGTACTTCCGGTCTTCAAAACAATGCTAATAGTTGAACCGATCACCATGGCAACCCATTACACGTGGCAACAAAAGCGGAAGTGAGGTACCGCGGCCTTTTAATACTGAGAAGTAGGTGGCGTGTGATGATTTTCGTTGTATACTTCATTGCTATCGACGACTAAACCTCTTTCTTTTACGATTGAACGATAAACTTCATTCCTGTCGATATTTCGGTTTGTTACTGGTTGAAAGCGTATCAGTTAAGGCTAAGCGAGTGACACAAGAATCCTAGATAACAAATAGTGTATGCTTTGTATATCTTTGACTTTTAGGTAAACATTCTATTATTGACTACACTAGTAACGAACTTATTTATTCTGCATTTATACCAATGCCAATTTTATAGGAATTTAAAGTATTGTAAACTCTATTGTAAACGTATCTGGATGTTAATTTATTTATCGATGGGTATCAAATTTTGATTTGTTAATCCAGATGAACTCTGACACTCCATAACCTTCTATACAAAAATTCATATCTTATAACTGTATACAAAGGCAGGCAATTTAGCAGCAAATGTATTGAGTTGCTTGGTTACTGGATGTTTTCTTTATTGAAAAGTTTCGAGTCGGAGGTGTGTTTGATAAATTCCTAAAATATTAGGTCATGTTTGTTCCCATCTCCTCTCCTCGTATCTAACTTTCCGGAAATGTTTATAATTTACCAATAAAAATATATTAGTACATAAAAGTATAAATACAAATGTGTTCATACATTACCTTTTTATGTGTGGTTGCCCTAGGTTGATTTGTCCCTACTCCAATTATAGATATCAGCTTTGATTAAAGAGAAAGCCCTTTTATCTTCCAAATACTATCAATTAGAAAATATCTTTGATGGAATTTCAACCTACTCACATCTCCAATAAAAAAACAAGTTTAAAGATCACATATGACAAACTTGTGCAAGACAACGTTTATCGTAACTTAATGGCAAATGTCACTTTAAAAACGATAAAAATCAAAAGTATTCTTATACGATATAAATGAGATCACGTCCTCTCTTCACCAATGGAAAATATACCCGATTTGATTGGTGTCTTCAGTAAAATGCATGTTTTTCGTTTTCTTTCGTATACGTGCCCATGAGTCGTGGAACATTTGATCACAGAAAAATTCCTGCGTTAAAAATATACTATATTGCAGGCGAACAGTTTCCTTACTATTTAAACGAAAGACAAAATGATATAACGCTTTAAGAAATACTTTTCTCATTGATAATAATGTAGGTCCCATCGACTTTAAAACTAGGAGGTCACCATAGACAATCAAAATTGATGAAAATAAATGTTAAAATAACCCATTATCGTAAATTTGGATTATAAATGATTTCTAAATAACGTTTTGTACATTCTTTATATTCTGAATTGTGCCTTTATTCATATGGATTGAAACGTGGCGTGTGGGGGTTAAAAAACTTTGCACAAGGAACACAAGTCACAAAATGTGAATATGGAAATGGAATGAACAAAATTCAGTTATTTTTTTCTTAAAATCTTGTGTACTGCAGGACATATTTCATATCGACAAGAAAGCAGAGTGTGGTAAACACCGAACGTTTCTTATATCATACTGAATGTACAAAGTATATGTTTAAAACACGTTCCTGTATATAAACGATTCTATACTTTAGTTTGTTTATTATCTACGAAAAGGCAATCACAAGATTTTTCCACAAAACCTATCAAACATATCCTGAACATTAGCCTGTACATGTCCTTACATGTATTGTGATAATATAATATATTCTATTTCAAGTCATTTGTCTGTCATCAACACTGGTTTATTTCGTAGTTTCAAAACTGAATTATCCTTTAAGAAATCACATTTCATTTAAAAGTACTGGGCGCCTCGTTCAAGCCTCACTAGGTTCATGGTTTACATTTACATCACCAGAAAAGACTTCTTTCATTTTGAAAATTGAGATTGTGCTCAATCATGTATGATAAGCCTATCTATGTATATATAGTGTTTCCATCAATATATTATTAAGAAACCCGTCCAAATTATTTTATGTTCTGCAAGCTTTTAGTGGTGTAGCAAGGTACAACCTGTTGAAGAATACTTTAAATTACTCAAAATATTGAGAACATATTTATACAATTTCTGTTTATATGTGTCGAGAGATATTAATTTCAGATCGTTATTTTATTTTTTTATGAGTATATGTTAGTTTTATATGCTAACTTTGCAACAGATATATTCATGTGATAAAGTATTACTATGTATCAAAATATAACGTTAATTTATCTTAATTTTAAACTTAACAAAAGGAAATGATTTCTGTCAAGACGCTTATAAGATTAAAAGGTTTTGGATAATCTATGAAATGTGTTGGCCAATATAGAAAATGAATCACAAAGTAGGTGGGTACCTGATGACGTCACTGACTAATTAGACGAGATTGACTCGAGGCAGGATTAGGAATCTCTAACACATAAGACTTGTTTTGTAGTGCTGTTACTCTTCAAATAGGATCATTTTACTTACATACCTCCCAGAGGACAACGGTCGATGTAATATGACTTATTTGCCTTGACTTCACCTTAGAAGGTACCAGATATTAACGAAGAAGAGCCTGTTACTGTAATTACACACAAATATTGTGTATTTGAAAATACATTAAGAACATTATACGAGCAATGAGTTGCAATAACTAATACGTGTGACTATCCGTTTTAATCTAACAAGACTTGATCCTGTGTGCTCAGCCATGTAGGTATATTCATGGTCGTGTGACGTATGTAGGTCTCTGTGATATGATAGAGTGACACCCCATCTAGATCTTGTTAGTTCTCGTCTGATTGACTTCATTGTCCACTTGACTTTCATTAACTTGTGTCTACATTGTCCAAGTATCAATACGTATGTAAAGTGAAATTCAATCGGTTTAAAAGGATCGGCCTCGAAGCTTTATTGAAACTGTCACATGAGGAATGAATAAAGTCCAGCGATTTGACTTTTATTATTTATTATTATTTATTATTATTTATTTATCATTTATTAAGAATTGTACTATTCAATTTCTCTACTATTTACTATTATCAATCATTTTACATTCATAATAGAGGTCATGTTACTTTATTATATCAGCTGAATTCCTATTTGTGTGAATAAAGACATTTATTTTAATTCTGTGTGTATTCACTCCCATACTCATTTAAATTCCTTGAATATGAAATATAACATATTGCCATTGCATCCTTAGTTTGAAAAAGTAAACCACACACGTTGTTATGGTTACCAAGATCAAGTTTAGATAAATATACAAAATATGCTGTTGATGGCAATTAGGATGTTTGCGGATTTACTTTATAAATAATTTACATAATCATTTGTTATTCAATAAGTTATGACCCGATGTTATAGACAAGGTTTCTAAAAATACCAGAAAACTACATAGTACGTATAATTGAAATAAAAATATTTCAAAGTATCATCTTGTCTTATATATAACCTTTATCGTCTTCAACATATTTGATCTTCGATTCTGCTTTAGCAGTGAATCAAACATAATATCGGTTACAATAGAAAGATACTATGCTATTTTCAATGATACACACAAACTGAAAGGACACTTGAATGCTTTCAGAACAAGTACTGAAATAACATCAAGGGAACAAGTTCGTTTCTTATGACACACTTAAAAAGCTAAGCAATTATCACAAGTATTTAATCTGATCAGTAATGTTCTGTGTAATAAGCATGTCAAATTTCAGCTATTATGTGAACTTTAGCACACTACCTCTGCTTTCAAACATATTTCTAAACGAGTTACAAGAACATTAGAATAAAAAAGGTTGCGTCTTAAATTATTATATACTGATAAAACAATTTAATAAAAACTTAATCCGCAAATTCCAAATTTCTATTCCAAGCAAATGGTGATAATTACATCAATTGTATGTTAATGAAAATAATACTATATGACCCATTCTGGATTTATCTTGGCAGGAGTGACGGCAATGACCAGTACCAAGTCAATGGCAGCATTATCGAGGGCGAATCTTCCCATCCACGTCAACGACAGTGTGATTGTGGAACTGACAGAGGAGATACTGGAGGAGAGGTCCGCCAAGTTTCTACACTGTGCTGTCGACATTATCACCGACCCTTCAAGACGTCTTCTTCTCCACTTCCTCTCTATAGACATATCCAAGGACAACTTGACCCCTGACAGGTATGGTCTTTTATGTTTTTATACTATTCATATGAAAATATCCATATTACAAAAAGGATAATAATTGAATGCAAGATTTAGCCATTTTCTATTGAAGTAATGTACACACACCTCCCCCCCCCCATCCCCGCCCCCCACCACCACCACCAATCGAAATCCGTTTCCCATGTCTTCTGAAACGTACACTCTCTTTTTCCAGCGAATTCTGTTTCCCATGTCTTTTAAACAACTTTTTTCCACTCAGTTTATTGTGAAAAATTATCTCTTCATTACCATAAATGACAAACTAGTTACTGCAATATGTTTTAATTCAAACCATCCAACATTCTCATCATCAACGTTACATTCAATAACATTCCTCCACTCTGTCTTCGGCATTTGTTGGTGAAAAGTAAATGAATATGGGAATGTTTTCTGGTTTTATTTAATCATTCCGCTCGGAAAAGTGTTCTTAAAAAGATGATTTGTTAAGTTTCGGCCGGTCTGATGACATATTTCCTTCTAAATCGCTAATCATTTCAGTGTTTCATTGGTATGGACACATCTTTTACAGTTCCGTGACCTCCTTATTTCGGCGCACTGCTTCTATCTACATATTTCGTCTTTAGGCTGCCATTCTTGCAGACCTCTGTCACAGTGAACACATTTTAGTAAGCAATTAAGGGGAAATAACTCTTAGAAAATCGAAACATAAAGCTGCGCTTTGTAATATGTTGGTCATCTTTAACAATTATAGGCTACACATATACGACTACCGATTGGGTGGCGAGGTGAAGCAGGTGACACCTGTGATGGGTCTATTTGGCGTGTACGATTCCTACTTTAAGGACACAAGCCCGGGGGTCATGGATTACAAATCCTCCCGTAATAAACTCCGCCTGGATTACATGGGCAAGCCAAACCTTATTTATAGCGGTTTCAGAGTGCTCATTACGTCATTTACAGGTAAGTGGAGTTTCAGAAAATTAATAACTCATTTACAGGTAGATAGAGTTTCACAGTACAAATTACAAATTTTGCAGGAAAGTGGAGTTTCAGAGAATCCATTACGTTATCTAAAGGTAAATGAAGTTTCAGAGTACTGTAAATGATACATGTTACTCGTAAAATCAAGTATTTGTCAATAACTATATCTATATACATAAGTGTTTATCAGTTCTTAGACATATCTGTTCCTTGATTTATTAAAGTACCTACGAAATTAACGAAAGCAAATTCCAACGGAAGTTATTTCTTGTACAGCATGCTTAAATCAGAGTGAACAATGCTTTGTTATCTTTATTCCATAATGAAATGCAGGATTATTTGGCACTGGTAATATTTGAATGTCACTTTCACTTTCTTTGTGTCTAGAAGCTTTAAGCATTTAAATGTCACGATATTGATGACATTATTGAAATACCATTTCCATTTACATTATCAATGCTGATATTTTTTCAAAATACCTATATGAACCTTTCTCTGCTTGGAAAGGTGCAAATATACAAGAATGTAAGATACATAGTCACCAGTGCTTGATATAGAATGCTCTCAATTGCTTTATCATTTTCTAATTAACAAACCAGACGCGCATAAGGATGACTGTGATCGTCTACATCACCACTGCGGGAGGACCCAAATTTGTGTACCATTGTCAGTCATGTGTGACACTGAGTATAATTGTGGCGACGGCGACCAGACCGACGAAAATACCTGCCACCTGGTGGTGGACTCTGAGTGGAAAGGGGCGGGTAAGTTGTTAAAAAATGTTCAAACATCTGAGACTTTGAAAATGAGCAATTTTTAAGCTTTAAAAGATTATTCTAATTAAATCACCACCAACTTATAACTCAATGAAACCTTATTTGCTAATAAGTCAAGTTGTTTTCTTTCAATTAGTTAATTGACATATCTCATGAACTGTGATTGTAAATTTCATTTCCCTTTAATTTAAGTGAACCCAACATTGGATCTTAACGAAATAGATCATAGATAATGATGTTGTAGACTCTAAACATACGATGTAATATTGTGACATTAACTTCAGAAATACTTGCACACTTTTCAGGTATTCCTAGGCATGTTATGCTATACTATAATCTTCTGAAATAACGTTCTTGTGCCATACCACGTGTTTTGTCTGTCCATGCTCTAACAGTATGATGGTTTACATTACAGAGGCTACCATTACAGCTGTGGTAGCTGCTGGTGTTTCCATATCTCTTTTCCTTCTGGTGATTGTTGCTGTCTTTTGTTACCTCAAGAAATACAACAGGAGAAGGTATGTTGTTAAAAAACTTTTGTAGCCTGCATTTTCTATTAAGTAGACACAGGTACAGTCCGTTACTTATACAAATAATTACATAAAATGAAATTAGTATGATTATCATTAGGCAAAAAGTTCGTGAATGTACAGAAATTAACGATATCCAATGAAACAAACTTTCAGGAATTATACTTCCTTTTACAGCTATATTAGACAACAAAGTGTCCAAATGTATGCCAAAAGAAAGGCCAACGGGGACTGGACAATCGGGAATAACATCGACACGTTAGGGGTCACTAAGATATACGCCCCGCCCACTTATGAGGATGTCGTTAGAAAGGACGAGAATGAGGAACCTCCCCCTGCATATGACATCGTGTCTACACTACCCCGTTCAGACAACCAGGGGTCACCATATTCAGTGCGGTCAATGAATAGGGTAACAGTTGTGTGTATCGAACGTCCCTGCGATAACGACAATACAGAAAATCAAGAAGAGTGCCAAACAGAATCAGTATGTGTTGTTGCTCCTGAAGAAGAACAAAATAAAACGAATGTATATCAAAATGTCACTTCTTGCCTTCAGGAAAATACTTACCCTGACAGTGAACCATTGATTAGTGTCTCAGATAAAAGTGTTTCTAAATCCGACAATTGTTCCCAGTCAAGTTCTTCCGGTCACGAGCAGGATTCTGGGACTTTCGCTGAGGAGTGCTCTCAGGAAAGTGGAAGCAGCAACTTGGAGGAGGATTTGATATCTGTTACATCAGATTTTCAAACGACAAACGATAAGGATAACATCGACAACGGTACTTTAAAAATGGGAGATAAAACTCCAGACTACTCTAATCGGATATGTCTGATGAACTGTGATGATATTGAATATGTAGACACGGTGGATGACATGAACGGGAACAAAGTGTAACTATAATTGCATGGCATGTCCATCACAAGAAATTATTCTTTTCTGTGAAAAGCTGTTAAGCAAAGTTACATCTGTCTGTTCATTCCTGTGAAGTGAATAATGATTGAAATAATCTGCTCCTAAATATGTATGTATAAGAGAATTTTTAACACAGACAAGAATTTTTCTTTGAGGATCTTGTAGTTATGTTGATTTCATCATAAAGGCCGGAATTAAACTTTTCTTTGCAAATTTAATATCGAAACGCAAAATAACACAGTACAAATGTATTTCAACAAAATCTTCAGCTGTTACAGACAGAAGAAAGTGGAATGTATCGTGTCTTTTTGAATTCATAAATAGAACATTTATTTAATTGAATAAAGCTACCAATAGCTGATTAAAACATGTCGCATATCTGGTCCGCCTACAAACCAAATCATATATAGACTTAATGTATAGCACCGTAAAACAACTTGCCAAATTCGTAGCATTTAACAAAAACCCATCACGGTATTGATTTCAAAGTACATCGATCTGGAATTGTTCTTTCGCTGTTAGAAATCCTACTGATATTCTTATTGTTTTACAAGAAAGGAAACGACACATCGAATCAGGCTCTTCCTTACATACACATTATCGTGCTGTATTTACATCTAGTTCTCCTTCAATAACTAGATACGTCTTGTTTTCTATATTTTATATAAGTTTTATGACGCTGGTGCTATTAGATGTATTTCATGTATATATATGATCAATGAAGTAATAACGACAATACGGACACGTGAATTGTCAATCTGCCCCTTTATCAAGACACAAATATTACATAAATTACATCACATACATAGAACATAAAACATATACAAAGTTATAAATAAAAATCGGGAACGGTAATGTAAATTTAGGTGTCTCGATAATCCCTATGGACGCCAAATGTCCTTTATAAGGGGCTAAAAACCATCTGATGATGTTATATGAAATATGGTAATCAAATATCAAAAATGTTTTATATAAATCATATATATATATGATTCGTACCCTGTCGATCAAATTTCCGGATGATTTATACTTTTTGACCTTTAATTATCCCACATATGATTTGAACTTATGTTTATTAATTGATCGTCATGTATCGTTTGTCAAATCAAGCAACAAGCGTAAATCATATCATTTAATTCTCTTGTTCATTTCATTCATATCTTTCTGTTCTCTTGTTATAATTGGATGAAAGAATGTATTGGTGATTACAATTAATTATTAAATTTATTTCATTCGAGAGGAAAAGATGTTAGTTTATTTTATTGTTAAAGTCCTTTGGGATGCTTTATATATTCATTTAATTAAATATCGACATATTTCATACATCACTTGTGTTACATTTAAAATGAAGGTAGTTGTAAGATGTGTTCATTTTGATATAATACTTTTAGCTTTAGAAAGAATTGTGTAGTTGAATGTTGCTGCGATTTTATTATTTTGAGTACAGTGAATGATAGCTTCAATATGAATAAATTTCAATTTGTAATAAGCCTAGTTATTATGTTTTGAATCACGAGTTGCGCCCCCTGATACATTTTAAAAACAAATCTATAGATCAGTGTATTTGTATTGACTTTGTATTTTATTTCCTACTCTCTGAAAAAAAGTTTGAAATCTTTCCACTTAATTATGTTAGCTTGATATCATAGCAGAATTTCTTTCTGTAGAGAAATCTCCTTGTATGACAGTAACACTCTTCTCGCTACTACACTTAATGTGAAAAAATATCTTGATTTAAGTTTTCCATCACAGCATACGTGCATTATTTTCTGATGAATTTTGTATAATTAGTCGGCAAGTTTTTTTCATCATAAACTTTATTTACCTCATTCAAGCTCAGTTTGTTACAGAATAAAGTTACAGTGGATTTAGACATCCAGAGACCAATATAAGTACAAGGCCTGTTGATCAAATAGTCATGTTGGCAAAGTTTTCTACTTTTTGTCAATCTAGGTGTGACAAAGATTGGTCATAGTGACAGAAATTCTGCCAGGTTGAAAGCTCAGTGTCTGTAAAGACCCATTCGTTTTATCTTAAACAAATATAACCTTGAGGTTTCCTGAATTTAATACTCCGGTATATGAATCAAGAAAGCTTACCTGAGCACCTGGTCCTACACCTGGTTTTCAATGAGTGTTAATGTAAATCATGACTTTGTCTTATGTATGTGTTGATATCTTAAATTAAATATACTATTAATATGAATTGTAGTTTGTAATAGAAATAGTTTCATATATAAATAAAACGGACATAATGGTTCTACTAAAGCTTTTAATTCTAGAAAGCAATATTCAACATTAATAAATATTCTAGCATCTAACTAACTAAGATATGTAAATACTAAACACAGATACATAATGTACAATAGAGAGAAATAAATCATCGTTTGTCTAACGTCCAAGTAGCCACGGCTTTCTAAATGTAGCTCATATAATGATAAATGGTCGTTCACACCTCTGACATATAAATTGGGACAAATTTTATCGTCAGTGCGTTCTATGTATACAATTAACTGAAAAACATTTATCAGAATCAGCATTAACTCGTTATTATTTCGATATTATTTGTTGATATCTGTTATATAACAATGCGCTAAAAAATAAACGTTTAATCAGGTGTTGTTGAGCTTAGTTCAATAAATCAGATAACTGACATATACTTTCAAATTGGAAATTAGAAACCAAAACGATAAAGTTCAATATTGTCATATTCAATATCAAAAAGAACCAGTGGAGTGGTTTTGTTTTTTGGAAATTAAAGAAACCATCTACATCACTAATAACAGAAAAGTAAACAAAAACACTATAATAGTAAATATATTAGCTAATAAACAACTAATTGAGCATATTAACATATGTAAATAACTATTGACTAGAACTACCGCTTAATAAATAAATAATAAATAGGCCTACGCAATCACGCACACAATTATGTATCTGATCATTATTGTGGAAATGTTGTCCGCAGAAATAATCAGTTACATAGATACTTAACACCATCACCATTAATGAACTAACGATTTCAATCGTATATCAGAACATTGCATGTTCCGTTGAACAGTGCTAAACTGAAGAGTGTATAAAAGACACATCATACCAACGCTGTAGACACTGTATAACTGGGCATATACACATTAATCCGTGTGAAAATTCCTTATTCAATATATATATTGTCATTTTTCAAGATATTGTAAACCATTTCATTCGCTGCTCACTTTCACTATTTTCGTAACACGAAATAAGTGCGGTTATCAACAGGTCATTGACGTGTTGCAGAAGGAGGAAACAGATGTGAGATTCAGGATAATTTGTTATTTGGATCTATTTTGTCTAATTCTTAATTTGTATCGGAAAGGCGCTATTCACGTCTGCGTATATATCCTCCCTGACGTAATTTACGGCTTAATTGCTTGATAAATCGCCAGCGAAAAAAGGTAGTAGCCTGTTTGCACTACGAGGTCAGTGTATGATGGTTACCGCACAAACTCGCGGTAATACCAGTTATACAGTGTTACTACTACTATTACTACTACTATTACTACTACTACTACTACTACTACTACTACTACTACTACTACTACTACTACTTTTACTACTTGCACTACAAATCATATTAGTAAATACACATCCGTAGATTTAATCAAATGATGTTTGACATCGGAATGATAAACATGCTGTACATTCAAACTGTTATTATATTTGTATTAGTTTTTGTTAGTAACTACGTCTACAAAACACAACCAACACTACTAACCACACCTTCTACTAACTACTGTTAAAATACTAAAACTACTGCTACAAAAGAAAACCAAACAAGTGTCACGCAATTATATGTATGATATTGTACATTGTGTTTTCATGTTCTGTTAAAAATCGAAATAGATTTGGAGTAATAAACCAAACAAAGTTATCTGAATTTTGATAAAATATCGTTAATGTATGCAATAATCAAGTCCTTTAAAGAAACTTTCATTCTGCTTGTATTTAAGTAACGCGGTAGGATGTACGGTAAATATTATCTGAGAGAATATCTTAGACTCCAATACATATATGGGTATGTTATTGTTTCAAATGGAGTCGAAAAGACAAAATAAATTATGCATGTTATCTTGGTGAAAGACTGTCGATGAAAGAATTCGTTTGCTTTATATCTTCTGCGTTGGATGACCTTTAGAATTCTACTTCAAATTTTATAATAAAACATTAGACCTATTGTAAATCTTATGTATGTCAATGCAGTTGTAAAACGTATCTATGACTTAAAGTGTAATTGTTATACTGAATGATGATAATGATAAAGCACACTACTTGTATTACTATATGAATGCAAGCTATCGTAACAAAATCAAATCCATGCAAATTCTCGAGTAATATATTGAAAGCAAACACTACTACTACTACTACTACTACTACTATTACTACGACTACTAATTACTGCTACTTCTACTACTACTTCTACTACTACTAATTAATATTACTTCTACCTCTACTGCTGCTAGTACTGCTACTTGTAAAGCCTCCACCACAAACGTAAACACTATAAATTCTATACTACTTTATAAGATATAATTTGTTAAAAACCACCACCAAAACAAACATACTACTACTACTACTACTACTACTACAACCTACTTCTACTACTACTACTACTACTACTACTACTACTACTACTACTACTCTACCACAATAATATCATGCATGCAGAAATGGAAAAACCGATAGAAGATCGATCATGAAGTGATAAAAGTAGTGTGCATTTCAATGTGATGGCGTTTTCAAAAATCTTCTTTTCTTGTATTGAAGTGTATATTCCACCAGTCAACATCCATCTGTTGTCCACCTTATCTTTAATGTGTCTTCCAATCCCGACACCATTTGCATACCCATTGCTGAAAGAATGGAAAAGTTCATAAACTAACATAATTGTTAAAACTCTTACAGTTATCCAGGATTCGAAAATTGAATAAGAAAATTATGTTTATCCTATTTTTTGTTTTTAAAATGAGCATGGCAGATATATTTTCTTGTTGCTTGAAGTTAAATGTATGTTAGTGCATCACGATTTTAAATCAAGTGCCACAACTGTCGGGTTTTAGAAGAAATGTATACACAACGAAGGAAGATGACGTTCATGGGTAATTTATCATTTTTCTCACTTAATTAACATGTACATTATGAAAATAAGCAGTGAGACACACATAATTGACCAGTAAAGGACTCTGCTACGAGGAGAACGTACACTAATGAAAAGCCAATTGTAACATTACAGTTTGGCGCAACCATTTTGTATGGTATTCTATAGAAGCTCTTTATATAATTTACACCGACAATGCTTTTAAATAACATTCAGACAGAATAAGGTGGACCATAGCTTTATTTCTATTATTTCCACAGCTATTGTTCGTTGCCAACAATTAATCATATACTTACCGAAGTTATTAGCGTCCCCAAAGTGATATTATTGAAATCAGAGTGTCTGATATGGAGACTGCCTTTACCAATCAAGAGACCAAGGGTTGATGGCGACTTCTGGCGCGGAAAATGTAGCTGCTTTATCATGATGAAGATGTCGACTATATCTTCCTATGAGGTGGCAAGTTGATATGCGAAGTATTCCCGTTTATGACAAATCCATATGTCAAAAACAGTGTCTGACGGAATATAATAATTGCATTCATCTGTTGTCTCAAGAGTTCATGCACGGTGCTTGTGGAATAGTAAGGGATAACGAGTTACAGATGTTTTCGGATTACGATATTGTGCAGAATCCAATGAACTGTGATATCTAGCTGGAGGTACCGAACATGACATCCTGGCAAGAGTGGCATGTTTCCTTGCCTGTGATCAATGGTGATAGTAGTCATGAGGTGCTGTATCGTAACAGGACGATTTTACGATAATCCGTCTCTTTCGGTCATATGTACTGTTTCATGCTCTTACGATCTGAAACCGCATAAATATAATTGTAATATAAGAGTACGTATGAACATTTATGTTTAATTACCTGATAAATTCAAATTTAAAAAGACATTGTTGAATGATCAAACTTTGATATGCAAAGAAAATATTGAAAACAAATCAAAGAAAAGAGACCAGAAGAAGATCTCGACGCATGGATGATTTTAAAAGTGATTTATAAACATTCACAACATATATCAAGATAACTTCTTTTGAATCTGTCTAATTTCTGCTTTTAACAAAAAAAGAAGTTTAACAAAAATATTTTGTTTCATTTGTTAACGTGAAAGATGATGATACATCGAGTGTCGACATGCACTGATAAGGATGTATACAGTTCACTTGTTTTAAGAGTATAGATATTTTATGGTGTGTTAACAGTTCAACTTAACTCGTTGTCCTCGTTGTTCTGAATGTGTGTTTTAAAATGAAAATTGCACTTTAAACTTCCCGCAGGAAACATTCTATACCTCGTTCTTTGATCAAAACTATGAAAGTTTGTCATCAATTGGCTTAAGTTTCCGTATGTTGAGTCTTTCCATGTACACAAGGAAAATATTCGTAAAATATTTAATATTTCCTTAATATTGATATACACAAAGAGCAATTATCTTCATGTCATATTTATTAAATTAGTGGAGCATTAGAACCGTCGCATAACAATACAGAATGAAATGAATTAGTTTTTTTTTCATAAATTCATCGAAAACATCTTTCAAAATAATATAACTATTAAGAAAATAAAGCTACTTACATCAGCGTATACCATAACACCGTACTGTTTCAATGGAAAGACTGCAAACCATCTGCTCATTTTCACAGTATATTGGGTATGTGATAATCCATTCACGGGTTTTACATGGATGTGAGTGTGATGTGTGTTGGTGTGGAGGTGTGATGTATGCGAGAGTGATGGTGATCGTCTAATGTGTGTGTGCTGGGTTGAGGTTTATACCCCCCTATATATACGTCTAAGATATGTAGGTCACAAGACAGGTCAGCGATGTTTACTCATGTGTGATAATGTAATGAACGAGGAGGAAGAATATACATTACGTTTCAGTGAGCATACTAAACAACCACCAGCCAAGACGTAAATGTATGATAAGCTTGAAAATATATGAATCATTTTCTTCTTTCATGTTTTATGTTTATTAACGTACTTTAAATGAATATGCAAAAACTGAAAATCATTATCACTTTTATTCGTTATAATAATAATTGATTGATTTGGTATACATATTTTTTTAATTGAAAAGAAGAATTCGTGTTAAAGCTGATGTCAAATGATCGATAAATTCGAGTAGATATAGGATACACTAGCGAAGATAACAATCAAGTATGTGTTGTGACTAGACAAAACATAATGAAAAACGCATCCCAGTGGAACGTGACAATACAATATTATCGCCACCATGGAATGATCTGATACGAAACGTAACACACTAAAGTGCAGATTCGGTGGCAACAGTTAAATGAAATCATTGTTAAAATCATATCCATTTGTCAGTCATATCGCTCCCCTGGATTCTAAACCCATTCATAAGACCAACATTTGCTGATATGAAGAATAATAAAGTATGACCATCTCCTAGTCCAATATATTACATTATCCCGACCTTTTGACAATTGAACGTAAAATACAATTCATTGCATTCTGTGGTCTATGAATACTATTACATACCATTTGGCATATGGCTTGTTCGGGGCACGAAGTAGAAAGATATAACCGATAAATTTAAATGGTGAGATGCATTTTACGGTGGAGTGTAATATTTCCCACTATGTGGATTTAAGATGTAGATAAAATTTCTGCTGAATATGCGGAGTCAGATATATTGAAGCAGATTAATAATTTTGTAGACATTTGATAATGTGTGGCAGTGTTTTCTGTTAGGGTATTGTACCTTCCACAATAATCCAACTCACCTGTATGTATTGTTAATGTTGAGTAGCAAATAGTTAAGATAGTATACATACATATTGTTACACTTATCATAATATATTTCTAACTATCTAAATGAGGCATATAAACAAGACAAAGTTGGGAAGATGGTGCGATATTTTGAATGTATAGTTTACGTATTTATGTGTACTCGTTATTAGATTTAAGGTTTTGAAGTAAAAAAACCGGGTGTATAATTTTGATTTCCTTGATGTTAATACAATTTCCGTCAGATTATCGGCTTTGCAAAGTATAAACTATACTATACAGGGTAGTTTAAGTAGCAACAGACACTACCTACATGTGTATGCACATCGAAGGTGAATATTTAAGAGAATAAGATGCATACACATAGTCACTATATTGTGACCTTGTCATATTATTATTGTTTGGGAACTTTTGATGAATTACAAGCAAACTAAAAATCGAGTTTTATAGAGGTTACTTAAGTTGGACCTACTTCAAGTATAAAGCTATTTCACATTTATTCCATTGATAGTATTAGGGGAACATTATCTTATTTCTGAATACTAGAAATGTAAAAGCTGTTTGTAAATGTCACAGAAACGAAACAGCCTACATGTACACGTAACCCAAGGAGCTCAGTAACTGAATCCTGGTGTGTTGAAACTAATACACATGTGATACCCAAATTAATTTACATCGATCTAGGAAATATGTCATCTAATCAAAGTACACATTGATAAGCTCACTGTTAAATAGCAGATTATGGCGGGGATCGCGCGACCTAAAGTGATGGCATTTAGATAGATTGCATCGGCTATTTCATTCAATCAGTAAAGAACAGCAGTTGATTTCACACACTTTCCGCTTCTTTTTCAATCTACCTATCGTTCCATGAAAAACATTATCCTCATAAGTCAACATGTTGGAACAGGTGTGGAAGTATAAAAAGAATCTTTATCTCCTGTCTTTCTCTCAATGCTGTCATTATGGTGTCAATTAAGTATTCCATATATTAAATCATACATATTTAACATATATCTTTGTGGTATGAACACTCCGTGGGAGATGGGATAATTAACCTATGAACACGTTTTTTAATTGATGTTTTGAAGACCTTGCAGGGGCTATTTTGAATCTAAGGAAGATAATGTCAGAAATGTACCCATCTTGAATTGATCTTTAACATAGTTGTACAATATCTTTACATTATACCGACATAAAGATTTGAATTAGAATATTAAACAATAACATGTATCCAACTAGGACGACCATATATGTATTATTCATGTTACCATCTATTATCGTTTACCGCATGTGCTGAAAATCCTATACTTTTTTGTATTATGTCGAAGCTAGCACTAATAGAGCAGCCATTGAATTTTAACCATAGCAGTACATAAATTTTAAAAGACTGCTCCTTTACTTTTTAAACGTGTCCGTGCATAAACACATTTTCTAATGGTGACAGGTCTTTGATAATTTGATACTTATTTAATCAACCTCTGACCTATCTGATAAACTTGACGTCGTTTCATGGCTATTAAAAAGGGGTCAAACGTGTAACTTGATATTACATTTTGCTGCTTAGCTAATTTGATTTCAAGTTTCTTGCCATATTAATATTACTGGTGGCATAGTCTAATTTCTTAATTGTATTAAATAATATTTTATCATGTTGAAGAAACGCCAAGAAATTGTTTCAAAAGTGGTATTAGAAAGATTATAAGGAAAGTTATGGCTCAATTGATGTACTTTTTGTCAGCAGTTTTAGTGGGTTTTTTCTAATGTAAATGTGGAAAAGTAGTATTCCATGTAGGTTACATTTAACTTGCCTACTGCCTTAACAGGACCATAAGTTTTCTCCTATTATCATTCAATCTACTCATCCACCCTTTGACTAGATTATAAAAACCACAGACTATTTCTACATACAAATTGATATTTTTTCAGGGACAATTAAAGAGAATTAAAACAAAGAAATCAACCTTGTGTCATAAAATATTTTAGAAAATTTGATTTTGCAAGTCAGTGTAATAGTATCAGAAAGTTCGTCGAAATTTAAGTTTGGTAAAACATGCAGCATCTTCCAAAATAGGAGACGTATCAGACTCAAATGATTAAAAAAGCTCGGAGATCGATACCAGTATTTTAGAGTACAGTGTAAAATCAAGACTACCCAATCCTTCAACGAGTAAATACATGTGTATCCACTGGAAGATGGTATGATATACCATGCCTTGTCAACATTTAACAATTCAATATCTAATTTATTTCAACAATGGTGTAATGTTATATCAGATCATTGCTGCATTGACACATGCCCTGATCAGTATTCTATGGATTATACCAGAGGGTAAAAAAACACCTGACATTTTATGCTCGAACGGTTTTTGACTTGAAATGTATGTGAAACCAATCATACCAAAATCAGAGATACGTGTCTATGTATCCTGAAGTCAATAAGAGTAATATATAGATTTTTACTTTACAGGTTTATAAGTACAAATATCTTCGAGATATATGAGATTGAAGCATATGGCGTTCGTAATTCAAGTTACTAAGTTTATACTCCTGTGAATACTTCGCAGGTGTGTGGGTTATATGAAATCATAACCACAAAACCATTTCGAGTACATATCGAATGTTACCCCTTGTTATTCACGCAATAGGCACGATATCGCATTTCGTAAGTATGAATTAATAAGTTCAAATCAAGTCGTCGAATATAATCTCAGTGAATTACGAAAATATGCCCATTGTTTATTCATGTAAAAGCCATATATAATATACATTCGACTCATGTCAACATGATTTAAATTCATATCTTCACTATACATACTTAAAGTATAGTGTTGACCTGTTTTAGATAAAGGTTATGTATTATTATGTAAATATTAATTTTATCCATATTTAGCGTACAAGTATTTCTCTATTAATTTTCATCATTTTTACACAAATAAATGCGTCCATTTTACAGATTTACGTAAGTCACTTTTCATACACGACGTTCCCGTCACAAACAACAAAATCAATGAGATTGTCATGGAAACCAAGCTGGTATATAATGTGTTCCCATCTGAAAATAGAAAACAAGCAAGACAATGTGTAATTTTTTCAGGAAATCACAATGCACTGGAAAAGATATCACAAACATTATAGAAATAGCGAAACAAGACATCATGAAAAATATCAAGTCGTTGAACACGATATCACAGAAATCCTATCGACGGCAGAAAAACAAAATGTACCTCATGTCATTTCAAAGCGACTACAATGTACTCAGAAAAATGCATAATTTTACAAATATTAAAGGTGAGATATTAGACGACAGATAAATATAAGCGGGAAAACGCATTAAGCATTGAGCATTAATAAAAAGATAAGAATGAGAAGAAAAATGTTTCCTTGCCTCGGAGCGTCGATGATTACCATGTTGGCACACTTTCCCTCAATAAGGGACCCGTGGGTGTTGGACTTTCCCAGGGCGGCAGCGGAATTTAAAGTGGCTGCAATCAATGCTTCCGGCATTGACATGCGCAATAACACGCATGCCAGATGTATAACGAGTGGCTGAATCACAAAATTAAAGAACAATTTAACTATCATTTGCATGTTTAAAATAAGACACACTCCAAGACCTTAAAAAATTTTAATCTTGAGGTGCAAAAAATCCGATTTTTTCTCTCTCTCTCTCTCTCTCTCTCTCTCTCTCTCTCTCTCTCTCTCTCTCTCTCTCTCTCTCTCTCTCTCTCTCTCTCTCTCTCTCTCTCTCTTCGGAACTTGTTATGTTGAATAATGAATGCATAAGAAATTGTTTATCTTATGGGTATATTAGACATACCATCGATGAACAAAATGCATTTGGATTAAAATCCGAGCCTAGAGCAACTGCCATCCCAGACTCTATCATTTTCCGGACCGGGGGTGGTTTCAGTCGCAGAATATAGGCCGTTGTAGGGAGGACGACACCGATGGAACCTGCTTCCACCATAGCAGATATTCCACTGTCAGAGATCTCCTCCAAATGACTTATCGCAAGTGCCCCAAGTTCTGCACCCATCTAATGGAAGAGGTATGATTTCATTTCTTGAAAATTACCATTTTCAGAATGCACTGAAAATAAATCCTCAATATCATAATCTTCTACTAGCGAACTGAATTGACTTACATGATTGTACCTGTTAACAGCATACAAACTGGCATTGGTTGGCGCCCAATCAACATATATAAGTATTTATTTAAGTATACGAAATATTTAGTTTACTTTATCCCAAATCATGCATGTAAAATATTTTAGACTCTACAAATGAAAAAAAAAATCAACAGCAGATTGAACATCTCTTTTCATTGAAACCGTCGCCACTAATTAACCTTACCCAATGAGCCATAGGAATTCATTTGTCATTCATCTTCCTTTGTGATGAATCCAAGCAGATAACACCAAGTTCAGTGTATAAACAAAACCGAAGCAAAAGGTAACAGTATCTACCTTAGCTCCCTCTAATGGATGAAGTTCGTCCCCGTGGAAATTGATCTGAAGACCCATGTTCTTGCCCTCGGTAAGAATACGACGTGACTGATCTATGTCAAATACTCCCTGTTCACAAAACACATCTATGTTGTCGACGGCTAGCTCTTTCTTCTTCATCATGTCTAGAATACAGGGCAACTGGACGGAAATTACGTCAATTGTGGCGTCTTCTGGATGCCCTCCTCTGAAAATATCACAGGTTGTTATTTCCTGTAATAGCTGTAATAATTGTTGCTTGTGATTTATTTCCAGTAAAAGAAAAAAGGTTCGAGTCTTGTTGTCATAGCTCTAGAAATAAAATTGTTATGACGTAACGACAAAGTCAAGTAATGGCGGGAATTCCCTAACTGTTTCTGACAGTTGTTTGCCACTCGCAACATCTGGCACTTATAGAAAATAAGGCTTTAGTTGTTCCCTCATAAGATAAAACATTCCGTATAAAGAACATTAAAAGCCAACAGGAACAATATAGATCGATGGAATACGGCTTATTTTGCAGTTTTGAACATTTGCCTCTATTCTTTTCGTCGACTTGGAGTTAACGTAACACATAATCTATATTTTGATTGTCTTCTTGTTACAAGGTAATACAATCTAGATTTAGTTACAAAAATATTTCAATGTATATGTTATTGCAAGCACATCAAAGTGAGTACAGAGGACTAGCCAAAAGGTACCAAAAAGACTTGCATACTTTGGCACAGCATGGGCACCACAGAATGTAGATGATATTCCTATTGGCATTTCCCTTCTCGCCCTTTCAATAACTTTTAGCATCTTCACTTCCGTCTCTTTGTTCAGTCCATAACCACTTTTACATTCGACTAATGTAGTCCCCGTCTTTAGCATTGAATTAAGTCTTTGTTTCAATCCGTGATATAGTTCCTCTTCTGACGCTTTACGCGTGTGTTCTACAGTGAAATGTATCCCTCCGCCAGCTTTGTGAACGTCCATGTATGTAGCACCTGCAAGCTGTTGATCATAAGGTTTGTATCATAATACATGATATAAAGTCATAGTATTGGTATCAGTTTGTTTCTGTAATAACCAATATGGTGGACAAAACATTTGGTGTTTGAAACTGTTTTTTCCCCAATATTTTGAACATGGGATGACAAATGGAACGCTTCGCCAGTTATTTGTAATGTGTATCTAATATGACCTAACATGAAATGGAATATTGTGGTGTTGTTAGCAGTGTATTGTAAATTGATTCTAATTCTGATCGCCTCCCACCTTATTCACACACCCCACCTTTCTACCCCATCCGCACCCCTCCCACTTTCCACTCAATCCACACCCCTTCGTCTTTCAGCCGCATCCACATTCTCCTCCTTTCCACCCCAACCCACAGACCTCCTCTTCCATCCCATCCACAGCCCTCTTCCTTTCCATACCATCCGCGCCCTCTCTCCTTCCAACCCCCACCCACACGTAATGTGGTGTTTGAATAATAATATCAAAACAAAACAAGCATACAAAGTCTATGTTATAGAAATAAATCAAGTTAAATGCTTGCTTACCTTCATCGCGAATTCGTGGACACGATCCCCAGCCCATACGGGATGTGTGTGTGCATCGACAAACCCTGTAGAAAGCATTTAACACGGATACAATGAATTATATATGCATAATTATGTAAATATGGCAAACATACAGAAAACATGGTCAGCGTCTTCAATTTTCACCTATTCTATCTATCCTGCAACATGGATCGAAACTCAGACCAGAGACGTATTCATGTGATATATACGTCTCTGCTCAGACAATCAAAGCTTCAACAATTTTGTTGTCCAATCTTTGTTTACCTGACGTTGACTTTACGCTGAATTTTGCCTGATGACGTACACCAAAATAATTGTTCCGCGTAGAAATATAATTCCAAACTTCAACGGGTATGACAGCGACTTTATTAATTTTCGTAAATAACTTGGTCTTTACAATAATATAAAACAGCTTATTCTAAAAGTTACTTATATTGTTAAATGTAATTTTCAAGTAAATTCAGAAAGTAATTCTGTCGAATTACCGCACGTGCTAAAATACAGCTGTTTCCCGTCATTGCCAAATACAGCAAAAATACATGTAGCAGATTTATTCCAGCAATAGCAGTGAGGATATAATCATCAATGGCCGGTGATTTACACTTCCCATGGGTCCTTTTTGGTACGTTTAAAATGAAGTTCATTTGTTACATGCAGTATTTGGCTGTTTTTATCACGTTACCTTAGCAGTTACGTCCTGTACTGTCGTCTGAAGAAAGCAACATTTGTCGTCACTGGAATGTTTACATTACCTGGCAACACGCATTTCCCAGAAGCATCTATGATACGGGTACTCTCACTCTCGATGTATTTCTGTTTCCGCTCTGATTCTTTACCAATAAATATGATCTTTCCACAACTGAATTCAAAATTTGAAATAATGAAAAGAACACGTTATGCAACAGCTGTCATTGAAATGATAAACGATATTGAAATTCAAGTTAAGTAAGTACAGATCTCCAAAAAACTCTGAACTGTTGTAAAACGTGTTATAAAATTATCATATTCAAGTCAATAACCAAATGAAAGGGATATTTTCCTCTGATGAAACATCTACAGACACAACTCAAGGAAAGTGACTCGTATACAAGACAAATAAAGTATCTGTCACAGCTTTATATTACCTAAAGAAATTGTGAAAGGAGCGCAGTTTTGATAAGTTAAGCTGTTGAATATGAAAATGCAAAAAAAAAACCGAATAATTTCCTGAATTTTAGTTACGCCAGTGATTCACTTGATATTTGATAGTTTAACCGTCTGACCCCTCTAACCGATAAAGTACCTGTTTGACACGACACTGATCCCGTCTCCACCTTCCTCTTGCAGTGTGTCTACCCGTTGCATCCCTTCTCCACATACCTTCAGGACGGGGTACTTCCTCACCTGCACCACCTGGCGAGCATTCTTGACGATGAGCCTTACGTCAGACATGCCGATTTCAGTGTAATGGGTTGTTTATAAACATGTGGTAAGTCGGTTAGTCGAGATAAGCTCCCGATAACCTTGAAAGGTCGATCTTAAAACTACGCGGTTCTACTCCCTCTTTTATCTACTATTACGAAGTTCGGATTTCGTGATGACGTAAGACGTGTTATCATAGAAGGGGTTTGGGGAGTGAAGGAGAAAGAATAAAAACAGGGGCAAAAGATAGTGGCGTTTTTTTTTAAAGCTAGACAATACTAGATTCAGAAAATAAAGCTTACTGGTAGGAAGCTAATTCTACATGATGAGTGAGTCGTAACTGGTAATCAACAATAATAAAAAGGCCAGCGAAAGGCTGTCATGCTAAAAATAGATCATGATGACCAAAGACCGCAATTTATCTGATTTGTTGACACGACGGTCACTGCCCTCACAAATCTCACCTTAAACTTGAAATGTACATTGCATTGGCCAAGTATGTCTCCTAGTGTGGTTTTGTACATCAGTGTGGTTTGTGCCAAATGATTCAGCTGGATAAAGAAACACACACATTTTCGTGGCCCGTGACATATCAACAGTATTTTAGTGTTAGTCATACTGTTACGATTTTGATGATTAAATGATTCGGAAATATTCAGATTTCAGAACTTCTACGGATGGCACATCTCTCATCATCATATCTAAATATAGATCTTGATTTCCTTGATAAGTGGGGTTGGGTGTAGCTGATTTTAATACTAGATTTGCGTATTTCAGTTCCATTTCATGATTGTGATTTCTAGTAAATGTTTATCTATGATGTGGGTATTCATTATGCTGAAGGTAAATCACAAATGGTGATCGGAGATATGACATATATTAGCTATACACAATTATACCAGATCAAAAAGGACAAATGTCATAAATGTGAGGCAGAATTCAATAATGAGGAAAAATACAAACAAAAACCAAACAAGCATGTCAGAGGACAATTTACAAAAAAAAAAATCGCCAGATATTTTAACAAGTTTCCACAAAGTCAATATGGCATTAACTATTTATTACGATTCGTGCCGAAATGTTGAGAAAGGACCTTTTCTAAGCAGAAAAAAAAAACAAAACAAAAATAGAAAAAAAAAGTTCCGGTTTCTAACAGAAATGGTCGGTAGTTAGGGATTATTTATTTAATTAATGTTTGCTCAAGCATCACATATTAATTAGGATATAATTATGCCCATATGTCAGGTATTTGTAATTGTTGCATGTGTGAATTATGATATATTTATCAAGTTCGAAGGGTTCTGATTATCTATCGGCGATTTCATTTTTGTTTTGGTCGTGGTCGATAGTCCGAATTTCTCACCATATAAAACATACAACTTTATTTTATTTTATTTTTTATTGACCTAGGGATCTAAGTGGGACTTAAATTAGTATAACTGGGGACATCTTCTTCAGTGTGTGGCTAGATGTCCTGCACTATGACCTACTGGAGCCAAAGTGATCATCACTACATCTACACATTGCATGGCTATAGTTATCTAACTTTTGTCCGCCATCTAACTAGTTGTTATTTTGAATCTTCAATCGACATTAGACAGGAATTAATTGAATTTTCTGGTTTTCAGGTGCCTAAAATTAGTACATTTCACCTTCAAATCTGACAACGTTATCGTGAACATATCATATCATTATGGCAAATCAGTAATAGTGATAGACTTTCATTTTCTGATCGATTTAAAATCAGTAGGTGACTAAATTGTCATTCTGAGATATAAGCAGGATTTACCTCGATGACGTCAATGTGTGTACTGTCGGAGTTTTGGCCCTTCTTTCGTGTAATTCAGATATCTTAACACGGCTCTTTATGATCACATGACATATTCTATAATCTATCTGAGTATTAACACATCATTGCATATGTCACATATGATGTCATTTTTAACAAAAGAAAAATCATTCTTTAATAAACATGAAATTCAATTTTAATCACACCGGGATACAACTGGCACATTTTTCATATCATGTTTCAATAAAACTGTAACAAGAGGTATTTTGAATAATTTACCTGAAAAAGCATCCGGGCAATGTAAACCCTTTACAAACATGAAATAAACCTGCACAAATTCAGTCTTTACGTAAACGTGGCCAGATATGACTATATTTCATTGATTGGGTATGTACAGTCTATTAAAGAGAACATTTGTAAGTCCGGTACAAGTATTAAACTGCACTGAACTGAGATTGACTTAACTTTACTCAGTTTAATAAACTAAACTTAATTTGTAAAAATCAACTCATTAGTAACAGTTAATAAAAAAATTAACTTGGTTTTTTAAATCTAAACTAACTAAATTTTATGTTGATTTTAAGGTCTATCTAATCTGTCTGTCGGTATTGAAATATATTTTGCTTAAAATGATTACATTTCCTTTCCATAAATGTACACATGTACACTGTAGTACAGCTCACGTCTGTCCTTAATGTCAATAAGGATGTGTTACCTTAATGCACGAAGAGTTACGTACCCTTCCAGTATATGACATCAACATCCGCTGAGCGTTTTAAAATTGTTACGATTCAAAGCGTTTTGTAGACGTAGATGATGTTGCCACGGAAATTGTAAACAGAATCTGAAGGGAAAACAAGGAATCGTTTTCCCGTTTCTTACTTGTCAGGTGAGACATAAATGTAATCTTTGACGATCGTCGTTTGCTAATTCAAAATGTACTGAACTGTTGTTATGTTGTTAATTTATATCGTCTCCTTAATGCCATAACATTTAAACAGATTAACAGAACAAAATAGTCAAAGAAACACGCCTTCGGCACCATGCATTAAATGCACACATTTGTGTGCCTTACTGAACATGTACAATTGTAGAAACATTTAAGTGAATAATACAACAGAGACGTTATGTATGGCTTACAGTGTGAGTCTATCTATACAATATCAAGATACACTTCACATGTAATAGCTTTTGCAATATAAATACTTTAATACATGTACATGATATGAGACGAATTTCATTTCAATTTGTTCTTGTTTACAGATCTGGCTTAAACGAAATTAACATCATGGCTGACTCACCCAACAGGTCCAATGCTGGATCTCCAGATACAGATGCTTCAGGCAAAAAATCACGTGAGTAATTAGGGGATGAAATAAGGAGTAAAGAAAACAAAACAAAAAATATAAGGTCATTCCATGATGTTAACTACAATAACACGGACTCATACTCTTAGGAAGGAACGACAAATTATACCCTTCCTCGTGATGGGAATTTAACTGGTCAGAAGGATTCTAGCTATCTAGTAATTTTATTTTCTGTCGCGATCAATAATCTATTGATTGCGACCAAGAAAAAAATTCACGGATAGAGTCAGAACCCTTTGGACTAAGTTAAACAGCATCACCCCAAAGGCTAATGCTGTATGGCAACCTGTACAATCTGTCCATGATAATATTTATCAAAACAATATTCCTAAGAATCAAGAGTACATGCAGGATTTTATCAAGTGAATGGTGAATTGTTAAATATTTTGCTACTATTTTTGCATTGATTTGTTAGGTGATACAATTTTTCAATCCGATTTTGCTTGCAAGCACATCTAAATATACCGACTGCTAAGTAAATTCTTGTGTTTTAGGGCAAGCTATTTCTGGACAATCAGGACGGGTAACCTTTCCTAACTCAGCAAAATCTGGATCAAGTCGTTCCATAATGTCAGGTATGAGATTGCTATGCTTTTTGATAAATTAATTGTTTTATTTATTTATTGTTCCATTTCCCAATATCTTTATGGATTTTAAAGTAGCATAATTGTAAGCTATGTTGTATATTTCAATGTGAAAATAAGTACAGATCAAAGAGCCACATTTACAGTGAAAATAATGAATAGAATAAAATCTTGTTATCTTATTTCATAACACAATTGACAATGATACCTAACACATGCACCAATGCCAATATATTTTTCTCATTGATAAATAAATGAAACAGAATATGAAGTTCTAGTTTTGTTGCTTGGTGAATTTTTAAGAAATACTCACTGTCCAATGTGAAGGATGACTACATTAAACAATATTTTGCTTTTTTTCGCCTGTGAAAAATATATTTGTTTTTATTTTGTGAGAATATCAGAAATATCTTCTCTACAAGGCTTTATATAAACACACCAAATGGGAAACTAAGTTTATTTTTTAAACGAAATACATGATTTAGTCATTTTATTTAGGAACTATAATTAGCGCGATCTATCACAAATTTTAAAATGACATATTTCAGATTTCAGAAAATGAAAAAAATTATTTTAATAAAATATTTTACAGTGGATGACCCAGGCACACAAGGGAACCCATTCAAGATGGCCCCAGATAGTGACATCTTTGTTTTGCGAGACAAGGAGCGACAAAGAAAAAAGCAGGTACTGTGTATATACAAAATGAGGGTGATATTCTTAAATTTTCAAATTAAATATCTTAAACATGTATCTTATTTCAAATATATCAAAAGTAAACACTTAGCATAGCATGTTCATTTTGAAAATTATTTAGTTGTCTGCTACCATTTATTTTTTAAAGATTAGTTATGTATTTTTTGAGAAAAATGGTGTGTAAATACAACAAGGCATGTTAACTCAAACTCATTAGCAGGAGCTTTATAAGGAAATATACATAGCATTTTATGCCACTGGTCCATAAGCTGTATTTGGTTACAACTTTTGTATGCTGCTCTTTTTAAAATTCACTTGTTTAATTGCCTTAATGATAATTGATATTGTATAAATATGGAAAAAAAATTTATGAGCTTTATTTTTAAACCAGTAACAATTAATATTGATTTTTAATCCAAAATAAAAGACATAATATTTGGTCTACAGGAAAGACTACGACAAAGAGGATTACATGTGCATGAGAAAACAACGTATTCATCAAAAGTGAACTTCCGCACAGCTTCCATGATCCGACCAGCTGACTCAGATGAGGAAAAAGATGGTGAAGATGGTGACAAAACTGTGTCCGTTAAAGATGACCCACAATACACAATCAGAGTGACCAGAGGTATAATTACAAATTTGACTAAAAGGATTTTAGAAATGGATGATAGAAAATGTTAGAATGTGATGAAAAGCATTATTTTATAATTCCATGTAACAGCATTAGTAATAAATAGGCTAAATACCAAGTATGGACATATTGTCTTAGAGATGGTTAATATTTGTAAAACAAACATGAATGTACAAGTATGATTATTTTTTTTCTAATTTGTTTTTTTTTTTTTTTTTCCTAGATCGCCATGTAGAAAAGGAGTCCCTGGCAGAGTATATTGCTAAGAAAAGGGAAATGTTTCTTGTACAGGTATGGTCTGAAACATTTTACTGTTGTTTATGTTGATATTGATATGAAATGTTGCTGTAATTTTTAAGAAATATACTTAGACATTGAATTCTTTGATGTTTACATACGTATGATTCTCATTCCTGTAAAAAAGCAAATCATATGATTTAAGCCTTCCTGAATTGCTTAAGTCTACATAGCTGTATAACTGGTTCTTTATTGTAGTACTCACTGGGTGTAAAGCGTGATGAGATGAAGAAGCTTGAAGAGATGGCACAAAAGGAGGAAAAGAAACTAGAGCTGGCAGAACAGTACCTAGAAGAAGATGCTGCCATGTTTGATGAATTTCTCAAAGAAAATGATGCCAACTCGGCAGAAGCAGTGAGAGAGTAAGTATGTCAACAGTCTCTTTTTCAATTTTAATTTCAGTAAATATTGTGGAAAAAATAAAATAAAGGAAGACTATCTGTCATAGAAAACAAGCCATCAAATAATTGTTAACAAATAAGATTTATGGAAAATTTGAATCTAGCAATTAAATTATATATTTTGTTGTGCAGAGCAGAGAATGAAACAAAAGCAAAACTGGAAAAAGTAGCAGAGGTCAAGAAAATTAACACACAGATGATGACCATAAAATCTGAAATTTCCAAAAATGAAGATACGTTGAAGGAATATCAACTTTACAGGAAGTTTCTGGACAGCCTTACACCTCAGGTAGTATAGTCTTACTGATAGGCTACAGTTGTCAGTTGTTGTATTTATTAATGGTTTAGTTTAGTACCAAGTGAATGTTTAAGCTGGAGCTTTGATAAACTTTGGTTTCAAAAATTCTTTATTATTGTATCATCCAAGAGTGATATAACAAAATTGAAATACATGTATGAATGAAAAAGTATTTGTCAGACTATACCAGGCTTAAGGTTCCAATATAGATATCAAGACAAGTGTTATGTAAATAAATATAACATTAAAAAGTATGCACTATTTACATCTAAATACTCAGTTTTAAAAATTGAGTATATACACAGACCAAAAACTGATAGTGACTAAGAGCTATCTGATTTAGGTATCTGAATTATTTCACCAAGATTTTGTATTTAAAAAAATAGCATTTTTTTAGCCAAGACCTATGACTGTTTTCAGGAAATAAGAGAAGAGAGAGATCTCAAGAGACAGAAGAGAAGAGAGGAAAAACAACGAGAATATGAGAAGAATATGCAGGCTATGAAGAAAAGTGGCGCAGCCTTAGCAAGTGACAAAGGGAAGAAGAAGGTACCATCAAAAACAGATGGTGTACCAAAAACAGGATCAGCTATCAAAAAGTAGGTGACACGATTGCTAAGCTATTCAACTCTCATGATGATGGACATTTATGTTAGAAATATTTAATTAACCTATACTAAGAGCAATATTGGCTCTACTATATCACATAGGTAAGATATCAATATTAAGGTAGAAAAACCATATACTGCATGAAAATTACCTAAAACATAGCAATTGTCTTTGCATGAAAAAATGTGCGATTGAAGATCAGAAAATTGGTTTTTAAATGTTGATTATCATTTCTTTTTGTTGATCTTATTATTGGTTTTTCAGTATTTCATTAGATTATGTAGAAATGATATCTAGGTCTCAGGGTTGGGGATGGACTAATCCAAAACTTACTCCTACGACTATTAAACTGCAGTACCATCCATTGAAATGTTTGTGGTTAACTGTTTTATAGGCAGGTGCTCTGACCACTGACTACATGGATATAGGTGTAGTTAGATGTTTATGATAAAATCTCTTCTATGGGTCCTAATGGTCTTATTACTGACATTATAAAAGGCATTTCTGTAGGTGATCATCATGTGATGACAACTATGGACTGTGGATATAGATCTATGGTCACGTTTCTAGTAAAGTGATGGGTAGATTTTTTTTCTGTATAAAATTAATATTTATTGTTTGCTGACAATATTATGCGGATGTTTTGCCATCTTTACATTAATACACTGGTATGTTATGTTAACGGAACCTGAACAACAAGATTTACATATACATTAGGAAAAAAAAAAAAAAACGGGGGAAAAAAAAAAAAAAGAGGAAAAAAAAAAATTGGTAAGCAGGACCAGACAACGCCAATGAAGATCTTCTGTAACTTTATTAGTTGACTAGTTTCGGCACACTAGGTATGCCGTCCTCAGAACCATATTCTTCGTATTATTTAAATTAGGAGTCAAATTGGTTAAGGACTGAGTTAAAATCAAGGCCCCTATGTCAGTTTGATAGACTCTCTATATTTCAGTAGACTGACAGTAACTTTCTGAATAACTAACTATACTATAATCATCAATAAAATTATTAAGGTTTGAAAGACATCTAGACATGTCACTCTCTGTGGTTGGAAACTGTGTATTAATGTTGTCATTTTTGTTTTTTCTAGATCAGACCAGGATAGTGTGATATCAGCGATGATAGAATCGGATGATGATAGTGATGAAGTATGATATTTTTTTGTCAATATTGTTATTGTTACAGATTTAACAGCAGTTGATTATCTTGAAACTGTCTCTAGTTATATTTAAGTAGAAGGAACAGTAACAGTTTTTTAGATGTTACAATGTATCATAATAACAATATAACAATTACTGAAGGATATCTTATCCTACTTTAGCTAATTCATTCAAAAGTATTTACATCTTGATAATTTTCTTTCTAAATGATTAAATCAAGTTGTGAAATTGAAAATATTGCATGATAAGAAAAAAATATTTCCTACAAAATGTACAAATGCTGTATTTCTATTTCTTTTGTTTCAGGAATTGGATTTGTACTTCAATGACCCCCACCAATTATTAGATATATTTGCTGAATTAGAGGAGCAGAATCTATCATTAATTCAAAATAGTCAAGAAACAGAAGAAGCATTAGAAGAAATGAAACAAACCATAAAACAAACCAAAATTAAAATGTAAGTATACAGTTCTGAAAAAATAACTCTGAAATAAGTTGACATTTAGCCTGTTTGGATAGAAAAGTCTGTTGAGAGTTTTAATTTTGCTTGTTGTGCTCAACTATGACTTGCTTCAGTATTGTTTTGGATAAAATATGCCCTATCCTGTTACATTGAAATTACAGGTTTGGTGCTGTTTTATTTTAAGGAAGTTTTACTGTCATTGGAAATATTTAATTTCTTCTTGCAATATGAAGTCAGTTATGTTTGATGCTCATCAGTTTGCAAGGTGGTTTTTTAGTTATAAACCAGGCTCTCATTTGGGAAAGCAGCATTTCTTAATTTGATCTTCCAAAAAGTACATAAAGAGTGTGTTGTCAAAGTTGTCGTGTTAAATTACAGATGTATGTCTTCAAGAAAATTAGAAACTTTTGCCAGTGTAAAAAATATTCACCAAGCTGAAATTACCTTACATATTTTAACCTAATTATCGGTTAATTACATATTTCTGAAAGGAGAAGAGTACAACAAAAATACATTAAAATAAAAATATATTTATTTATTTCAGGGAGAAAGAAACGCAAATATTAAAAGATCAAATAGACAAATTAAACTCACAGATAGATAAAGAAGCAGTACGAGCTGAGGATTTAAAAATCAAAGCCAAGTAAGTATCTTTATTTATTTGATATTTATTTTTAATCACAATGATTTCATAGCATGGTCTATTACAAAAAAACATGTTTGATTCACTTAACTGTTTATACCAGCTGATAAATTGAATGTTCATTTGTTCCTGTGATGTCAGTCAGAGCTGCCTATTTGTAAACAATATGTTCTACTAGTTGTTATCAAAATTTTGTCTTTTATCATTTGAACCTTCAAGGCAGATTGGAAGTTACTTTTCATGATGGGAATAATTATGTGTAATTATATTGTTATTTACAGTGTATTCCTTGTTTTAGCACACAAGTTTTCCTATTACAAGCTAACAGTACTTCCATATAGTTCTAACTTACAGAAAAAAAACTAATAATTTCATTATATATGTAAATGCCGTGATTTTTGTAGTTCATAGTTTATCATATTGCTGTGCATATATGTATTGCTGTTTATTATATAATTTACTATTAACTAACACATTACATGAGTGACATAGCTTATTACACGATAGTCTACCTTGTAAATAATCAGCCTTGGTTCTGGTTATTAATAATGTGTTTGTGCCTGTATATATGTTAATAGCTTTACATTTCATGGAAATGACATATTTGTATAAATATAGCTATTTTACTAACAAAGTTTGAAATTTTCATTTTTTATTACATATATGTAACTGAAAAAAAAAAAAAAAAAAGATTGTGTCAGTAGTTACTGTACTATTCACTTATGTAATTCTTGCATCACCTACTAAATATTTCAAAATATTTTTCAATACCATCAAACTTATTGATTAAAATTAAAATCAATGAAATTGTAAGATTCAATAAATACTGCTTGTCAGTCACACTTCAGTTTTGAGAAACATGACGTAAATTTATTTCCAAATGATTTAGAAATTGTAGGTGTATGCGCTACATTTTTTCAAAATTACAAACATTTTTTTCAAAATTATCATCAAAACTGAAAAGAGAAAACATCCCTTCCTTCACCTATGAAGCAGTCTTATGTGAATTGAAGATGTATGTTTGTACACTGGTGCTGATGTTGTATACTATATGTTTGTTTTTAGTTCAATGTTAGACGAAGTAGAACAATGGGGGTTTGTACAAGAAACTCAACTCTTTTACTACTGAATTTACAACTTGAAGCTGAAACTTTTAAATCAAAATAGCATTTATCATATTTATCATTTATCATATTCATAATAAAATCATTTGAAATATTTGTGTAATAAGTGACGATTAAAAATGTTGATACACCTCTTATTCTTCGAAAATCCAGATCGGCAATTTTATAAGTTTCAGCTTCAAGAATTAGTAACCAAATAATAGAAAAATTAGTTAGTTGAGAGAATATCATTAAATAAATAGTTTCCTTTTCAGCATGAGTAGAAAGAGAAACAAATTTTTTTTTGCGTTACCTTTATATTTAATCACCCTCAATTTCCCCAACCCGAATCTGTTTTCTACCCTTCATGACCAATCCTAAATACCCGAACTTAAATATCCTTTTCTTTCAGGTTTTGGCAATGGGATCTTACTTACTTCAAAACTTTACATATATATTCTCATACCCATTACCTTTACATAGCTTTTTGTGAATCTGCACATACACAAAATGCATGCGAACTGTCATACAGCCTATCTGTGCCGGCTGTCTTCATTACACTTTCATTAAGTCCTAGCTTATAATTAGTGATACAAGTCTAATACCAAAATTATACACGAATCTTTAACATAATCAAATATAATGGTAAAATACTACCATTTATTGAGATAGAATAGTTAATATCAAAGTTTGTTGAATAGCGTTTCAAGAATTGGAATAGAAAATAAGCTTTTAATATCATATCGGTATTCGATTGCGTTGGTGAATGTGTTCTCTATAATCCAGAATTTAGACCTTGTCAAACATTGCTGACTTGGGAATATATTTTACAGTCATCATACACTTATACCACAGTTGGTAAACTGTAATAATATCAGGCAAACAATCAAAGCAAACAATGAAAATGATGTCTAAACCATTAGAAAATGAATTTTCTAAAATAACTAATTCGAAAAAAAAAACATTTATACAAAATTTATGCATTGTAGTATAATATTAATTACAGCATATTACAATAGGATCTTCACCTCTTTTTTACAGAATGTTTTCATATGGTGAGTTTAAGGCTGAGGACCAGGAGAAGATGCTACAGGCTCTGAACAAGAAGGTGGAAGAAGTATACAGGAGTTGTATTGGTGACAATGAGGCAAACATTAGGTTAGTGAATTTAATGTTTTCATGGCATTTGGTTAGTTGAGAATTCCGTGACAAAACTCTGAAACAACGTATAGCAAATTTCGCTAGTTTGACCTGAGTATACTACCGTGTGTAATTTCAATACCCATTTTATTCATCAAAGATAATACATAAATATTGTAGTAAATGAATTAAACGTTTAAATAAAAGCAATGGGCAATGTTTTTCGATCTTTATGTTAATATATTGTCATGGGTTATTCAGACAAGAATTTGAAAGGAGAAAAAACGGTGTGATTTGCTATGTACGATGTTTTGAGGGTTTATACACGGATGTAGATATCAGGTTTTGTCCAGGTATTGTATTCCCATCATTACGTTACTCCAGCTTTTGCTGCATGCTTATCTAACTACCGTATTTATACTTGTTTTGCTGCTTTGCTTTTGTTCTAAGCATGCCTTTACCAATTTCTTATTAACTCAGTCGTGCATGCATGTTATTAATAACTTTTAATGCTTTTTACAAACATGCAATTTACGACCATTTTACATACGCAATACTGCTTTTGGCATTTCAGCTTATCCAGAGACAAAGCATTATATAGTAATAAAAATAATGTCAGCAAATGCTTGAAATTGGCATTAAATATATGTTAAATATGTGTTTAACACACACTTACAGAATTACACTAGCTCTAAAAATGTGAATTGTATCACCATTTTATTCACGGACATATTTGCTTATTTGGAGAATATCAATTTATTATAATGTGCTTATTACGTCATGCTTAAACTTAATCAATTTTGTCATAACAATATAGTTGATCTTATCACAATTATCGCGTCATGCTTAAACTCAAACAGTTATGCCACAACAAAAAATAGTGTTTGTTTTAATACGCTTGATTCATCCTGATGCTTAAATTGATTTCAAATGTTTATTTGCTAATTTTGCAATCATGTCAAAAGAAAAATAATCATATGCTTTAACACATTTATAACATCTTGCTAAAATTGTTTTTGAATATTTGTATGCCGCCATAAGAGACACCGATAACCAAAATTTTAAAAGTGCCATTTTGCTGCAGAAGCTATTTAATAACTAACCAGATCCTCATTATCATATTTTATTTCTTTTTCTCCTTATCTGTAGTTCTTTATCATGATCATAGATTTCTCGTAAAGATGGAGATTGAAGTCTTATATAGGTGAACGAAGGCGAAAGGTGATAGTAAAACATTTAAACTGACACATCCCAATGATTAACACACTCACATACAAATATCATTGTCGGTATAATCAACATCAGAAACTCGGGAGGTCTGGAGACAGTTCACCTACCCTTTTCTCCAGTCTACTATGAGACTTACGAGACACTCTCTATTCCGTTGTCACACTTGACTGTAAATATAGTACAATTATATAGGATTATGAATTAAAAGCTATGAGGCGTAGCCTCTCCCCTAGAAACAATGAGCAAAAGTGAGTGGTGAAACAATATGTCTTGTCTTTCGTCTTCTTTGTCAAATCCAAGAGAATATTCGCTCGCAGTTTGATCCTCAGCAGCATTAATACCAAGCTGAAAACACTTGTAATTGTTCAAGGCCATGTATCAATATCTGCTTGCATTTCTGTAAAATAATTAGTTTTCGTGGAGCTTTTATTTGTGTTAATTTCCTTGATACACTAAATCAACGGACTGATATGTCCACGAACTGTCAAAACAATTTAAGCAGATTTTTTTGAGCTGCGTTTATCCACGAAATCAAGTGTCCACGAAACAGTGATTTGAGAAAAAAAAAAGATGTGTTCATGATTGCAGGAAAGGTCTTGTCACAAGGAGCACACATGCAAAATATGATGCCCTGCCTCTTATGGTGCAATATTTATGGGCAAGGTCAAGGTTAACAACCGATGAACAAACAGGCAGACAAACATGCAGCACAAAAGCTATATACCATCGATCTTTCGATCCGCGGGCATAAAAAACCACGAAACTTAAGCGCCATGAAATTATCTGATTGTGAGAGAAACTGTCTTTAATATATATCGAAACTGTTGAAAATTTATAAAATTATAAAATCAAATAATACATTTGAATCTTGAATAAATGAATGATACTAATAGCATGTTTAATGATATATCTAATACATAAAAAAAAATAAACATTTTCTATAAAATGAAGTGTACCACCTTGTGGTATAGTAAGTACCATTTAACACAATTGTAGATCAGAAAAACGATAAAAAATGAACAATGATGTAATAAGTATGATATTTACGTTAAGGTTTGTAGGGATGCTTTGCCGCTTGATTGCTTTACTGCTTCATTGGGAAACATGATACAGGATGACAGCTGTTTACTGTTGATTCGATAGTTAACACCAACTGGGAATGGTGACTTACGAAACCGAATTCCAACGAGAAATGAGGATAAACAGCTGTCATTCTTCTGGGGTTTATCTCTTATCCAGTGTATAACGAATAAGTTCGTTATGTGACAAAATTTTGATATAAACCTCAATGTTTCTACATGTCTAATTCAATATTTACTTTTTACGTAACTGGACGAAACTTTGTTTACGTTATTCTTCAACTATCCCACTGTCATGACAGAATCTTCACTGAACTATTGTGTTATGTCTTGTTGGATCCGGTGTATTATCAGGGAAATTGACTGTCAATATTTCATTGACACCAGGGAAAGCCACACCTCTGTGGCGGACCATGTCCGTTTTCCTGGTAATATAACTGTGATTGACGGTTTTTTTGGATATAGAACAAATTTGGATCTGTACACTACCTTCACAAACTTTAAGATATATGTATTTATCATATAAATACGCACACATAGTAGTAATGCAATTGCCTATTTCAAATGTACAAGAAGAAAACCCAAATTCATTGGTATTTTTATTGTTTCTCGTCTTTTCCTTTTTTAAAACATAAAGGATGGAGGAGGGACCTTCCGGTCATGGTATTAATCATGATATTTGATATATAAATAGTTCGCTAATTGTAACAGTAGTAATGTTTGAAGAAATATTGTGAAGGTAATGTATAGTTGTTGTGTTGGTGTTTATATATGGTTATAACTAGTATTAGTAAGTAAGGAATGGTGTTGGTTGTTATATATTTTTGTTTCCATGTTTGATGTAAAATTCTCATTATGCTGTATAGTTATGCGCATATACTGTATTATATACTATTAAGTTTTCTCAGCTTTTAATGACATTCAAAAATTTGCATTTTATAACGTAATTCAACTTCATATTTTGAGGTCTTCCTTGATTTTACAAAGTATATGACAAAAGTGGTATAATGGATTACTCTGATCTTAAACTATCTTAATACACGCGCGTTTTACGCTTTTCTAGTATGTGTTTGTGTGTAACACATTTACCCTGTCTAATGAACCCAAGTGTGGGTGTTCTATAGTACATTACAGATGCTTACCAACATAGAAAATCGACTCGAGGAATTGTTTGAACAAATTGAAACAATGCCTCAGGACAAAGTGGAGGCAGCAGAAAAGGTAGGACAAGAATAGCCTCAAGTTTTACACACTTCTTATTTGGTTCTTGTTCTTTTTGTATAAATTATTTAATATTTTCTGAAAATGTGGGCAGATAATTGTAGTCTTCCTTACGTTATCGTATCCAATGCGATGGTCATTTGTATTTATTTCAGGTTCTCTGAATGTTGCTTTTAACATGCAGATTTTAATCAGGCGAGATATGTATAAAGCTTATTTTTCAGTTGTTGATACAAGGAAGCTAGTATCCTGTATATACTGTACGTCATCAATATCTCATCTGTATGGTCTATTGCTGCTCATCCGCACACTGTATTAAAACCGGATTCAATCAGACTATCATCGGAACCTAATTATATATCTGTATGACATATCAATTTGTAGGAAACTTATCGTCTTGAATAAGTTCCTTTTCGTTCTACAGGCTAATGAATACAATCTAATATGCGTAGTACCAATACGTTTTTGCAAATGTATTAGTGACAATTTTGGAAAAAGTCAAACTAAAATATGCTTGTTTCAAATGCTGTATGTCTCATATCAGAATCCTTGCGTCCAAACGTTCTTTAAAAATCCACACCTGTGTCAGAATCTCTTGTATATTTACTATAGGAACAATCCATTCATTACCACCATACATTGTGAAAGATACGGAAAAATTTAGGGTCAAAATCATAACGTCAGTGTCTGAGTCAGAATAAGATAATCATTCGACATACCAATAGTATATACGAAAGGAAAGTCTATAACTTGTGCTTTACCATAGACGTTTGTACCACAGCATGTCTGTTCACTTTTAGAAACACCAATTCTAAATGTCATAGCTAGCTACACTGAACCATTGGTTATGCTTTGAGATGTTTGTGTCTTTATCCACAACAGGCTAAGGAGAAGGAGAGGCGACTGAAGCTGAGAGAGGAGAAAATGGAACAACAAAGACTTCACCAGGAGGAACGTGTCCGGAAAGCACTGGAGAGAGCCAAGGCAGAACCAAAGAAACAGGTGGGTCTGTTGTAGCAGATAAAGTACAATCGTACACTCTTTTTGATAATGGAATATTATAAAGAGACCAAACAAGGAAATGTTAAAAAGTAGTTTCTATCATCTATATCTCTTAACACAACACAGGTTTCTCAGAGGTGGAGAGGATAGAGATAGATTGTAAACTGCTGTGAAGTGGTCTTTTAAAATAGGCGACAAACAACATGTGCGCATGGTATATAGATATGTATTATATGCTGCTTCAAAGTGTTCTCTAAACAGAGATAGCATATAAACTACTAATGTACAGTAGACTGCTCGAAAGAAACAACATTCTCTGTGCATTCTCTGGAATGTCCATGTATTTGCATTTAGTTAGTATTTAATAGAGGTCTCGAAATAGAAATGATCCATTAACAAAATGTTTGTTGACCGCTTTTAAGGATGAACAATGCATTCTGTTAATAAGGGTGGTCTCTCAAGACGGTACGGCTACGTACACCTGACTTAGCTAAGGCAAAGGACACATGTACAAGGAAATGTCATTTTTGTCATCGGCATGATGTGTTTGATATAAAGAGCACAGGGATGTCCTGTGTTATCCTAATACTCCAGTGGTATCTTTGTTGATTTATTGTAGCCTAAATAGACCACTAATATTCGAATTATTGTATACGATAGCTCTGTAACGTGTGACCTACACAATCACATGTTAAGAATCCGAGATGCATGGTACGACGTTCGTTGCACGTACTTGTTTGTGTTTCTCAGGAAGCTGAGAAACAGGCATGTCTGTGCTTAAGTAGTTGTGACCTTGAGAAAGATATTTCACCCCGATTGCCATGTGTGGTATTCAACGGGCCTTCTGCATGTTGTTCACTGTTGTAGCTACCAGCTACTACAAGGAGACACCGATTCAAAATGATTCTAGCTGTCAATAAAGCGTTAAACCCAGCAAAACCAGGTAAAATTCATACTCATGTACACTATCAGTAATTAGCTGAATATTTATAAATCATGTTTCTCTTTTAGACTGGAAGGAAGCTTGTGTTCAGATCAGAACCACCAAGACACAAAAAGAAAGAGGACGAAAGAGATGACCAGGCATCGAGAGAGGAGGAAGAGCTAGCATATTTCTTCCAATATTGATTTACGTATTTTTTATGTTTAAAAATGTGAATGTAATTTAACAACGCAAATGGGACTGGACAATCTTGCCATCTTGAAAGTTTCGAGGAAACCTGTGCTGAAATTGGTACATAAGATTGCTCAAAACAGTTTCAGATGACATTTTTTTGCAGCTAGTTTATGGAACGGGTTGAATTTGGAACATTAGAATGGTCATTTTATATATGCAAGTCATTAATTTTTTTATTTATATTATATATAAAAATGATTAAAATGGAACATTTCTTAGGAACTCCGTGATGATGACTTTTTGTATGTGATTGTGTGTTGATGATGATATTGTATTATCTGCATACCAAATGTCTTGTGGTTGTCTATAAAAGGCATCATCTTTAATATTTATGTACTGCCAAACATAAAATACATACTAAAAGAACAGTTAAAAAAGGAAATAAAAAATAATAAAACTTTTCGTGACGATTTTGTTTTGTGTGCTATCATTTTCAAATTACTCACTTGAAATTTGGATAGTGGATCTTTTAATGTTTACACACGGTAACAGAAATACTTTTATAATGGGTGTTAGATATGTATTTGATCATGGGTGTTGGGATATGTATTTAGATTTAAAATGACTTTTTTTAAGACGACTCGCAACGATTTTTATCAGAAGTAAAATGTGACATGGCAGACTAATGTAATTCTTTTACATAAAATCGTTGATACCATGTCGTTGCTATGTGAAATATTGATTTCTTGGTTGAGAAGGATCTGGCTTTGTAACTAGAAGTGATATCTAGTTTTTGATAATTACTTTTGATATAGTAAGATCCTAGTTTGAAGACCACCCTAGTTGTAACAATTTGTATTACAGATACTTTCTTGTTTCTGCAGGTACGTTATCTAACATCTTGATCTGTAAACACTATTACCTTCCCTGTCTACAACGAAAGCCCGTCTACTCATTATCCAATCATTTCAAAGACGAAATACTAAAGGTCAATAGGTCACTTCAGTAAAACAATCTTTAAAATTAAAGGATTATGATAACGACATCCATCTTTATAAGGTCGCTAACTTTCCACGGCAATATATCATTGTTAACGTTTTATTTTACTTCTTACTACTGTTCTTAGTACGCTATCAAATCAGGATTGTTGTCTACCCTCACTTGATTAGTTACAGGTTTATGTTAATCGTTCTGTCCATACGTCCGTGCAGAGATTGATCAAGCTATCAATCTGTACTTTTTAAAATCATTTTTAAGTTATCCGCCAATGTTCAAGAGGACACTTTTTACCACTATTGCAATGGAATTTTGTTGAGCTCGTGGATAGATTTAATTCAGTTCATAATATCAAGTTTAATACCTGATTAGGTTTTTAATGAACCCTTCAACAGGAGTGAAATGAAAATATTATAGAGTTTGTTGTATATCTTAGCGAGCCTTTGCACTCATGAAGGGTGCACCGCGGTATAGATGTATGATTAGGAAATATATACGAATGTACATTCGTTAAGCTTAGCGACTAAACTGGTCCACATTACTTAAACTAAACTACTGTCTTCCTCTCCTGACTGACCTATTGCTGTTTTATACCAGGCTGAATTTATTGAAGAGCTCATAGATGGAAAAAAACTAATTACAGTGTTCTTCAAAAACTCCAAAGAATATACCGACTTCACTACAATTTCGTCGATCTTATGTAATAAATTATCTTATTTTGGTGAAGTTTACACAATTTATTGAAATAAAGTATTTAGTGATTTACACACTGTACTGTATACTATAAAACTAACGGTAGTTAATCAAGTCCGACTTTCCAAACGAAAATGAAGATATTTCAAAATTGCTTGATATTGCATTTTATATATGTATCTGTCTGATTATCCTTGATACCGATATACACTAAACATTTATACACAATGATAATTTACATAACTTTATAAATAATCAACAGTTTCTATCGATTACGTCGGTCATAAGAGAATAACACTTTTATCAAAATGTGGGTTAACAAACAAAAGGCCAAAAACAGACTCGTCCAATATATTCGGGGTGGAAGGGGGTGAGAGGGATGGCAGAAGTTTACAGTATCTAAGATAATACTTAGTTTTCAGATAGTAAAAGATATATAAAACCTACATCATATTTATAATAATATCTAAATGTAAATAAACAAGTTCAAATTGAAAAATTGGGTCTCTTTTCAGTAAAATCATAATATTTCAATTGTTTATTTATCCCTTGAAGGGATATAACTAACATGAAATAGTACATTAGTTTGCTTTCATCTGTGCAGCCTTATGGCTAATAAAGCCACGTGACTTGATGGCGACAGTACCGGAAATCGAACACTTCATTACAAAAAATTTGTTTGAAAGAAAAACAAAAACACTGACAATTTCATTTGGAAATGTTTGTATTTTTTCTTAGTCATTTTGTCGTTCTAAAATTAATTTTAGCTATTTTTCCCCCATCATGTTTTTTTGTGAACGGTACCAATCATTTTCCGTTCTCTAAATATAATAAATTTTAGCATTTTCACAATCATAGTGGGTTTTTTGTACGATACCAATTCCCACGTATTTTTCGCATATAATTTCCCCTTCTCTAAATAAAATTAATTTTAGCTATTCATCCTCCTTTCTCTAAATATAATTAATGGTAGCTATTTTCCCAATTACAGGTTGTTTTTTATGTGTACGGTACCATTTCCCGCATATATTCACAAATCATTGTCCCTTCTCTAAATGTTTATAGTTAGTCTAATACGCAACAGTACGCGGTACAAGAAGTAGGTATCATGAAATTGCTCAACTTGCTTACAACTTATTCAAAACATTCATTATCTGGATCAAATACATTAAAAGTGTCCTATTTTGGTAACTTTGAGTTTGTGATATGTTGAATAGTATAGAGAATGAATATTTGATTAAAACGACAGATTTATTGACAATATGCTTAAAGATTCACGTGCCTTGAAGTTTATTGTGACAAACGAGTAAATTAGTGGGATTTTATGAAATGACGCTTTGGAGTTTTTATTTTGCACAGCCAATTAAAATATTCAGTGATATATTTAAAATGTAATTTATGTAAACAAAAACATTCAACGGAAAAGAGGCCGTTTTTTTTAACAAATAAACCTGATAACTATTTCTTATGGTACGGGTCTGGTCCGGTTGTAGAAGGAGTGTACAAGATTTCACCCCACTTTCATTTGTAAGTGCACATTAACTGATGACGTATTTCACTATTGACTGCAAAAAGACAGCAACATGTGTTTGATTAAATGAAGAATAAACGCAAATAAAATGCCAACTCCTGCTGCAAAACGACTTTACACACAGGCACCAGATCCTGCTTCAGAGGTATGTCATGAATTACTAAACTGCAATGTAGGTGTACACATAACGGCGCTTGTCAGACGAGGCTGGTATATACCTCTGATCTATACTTGAAACATATACATTGTAGCTGTTTACAGCAGAAAGCCGATAAATGATAATTTACAACGTCCTTTGATTCTTTATGATATCTTACTGTTACACTATGACAAGGTTATATTATAGGAAGTAACACCCACCCATCCCCCCCAAAAAAAAACCACAAAAAAAAAAAAAAACAATACGGAAACAAAAAATTAGACAAAATGACAGCATGTATGAAAAAGTGTACTTTTTGCATTCACCTATCAAACATATGAATGTAGGTGTACAGGTATATTTGTAGAATATACAATATGATTTATTATATATACATAAATAATTAAACGAAAAACTTACTTGTGTACACGACTGAATTTCATGCATAAATGTTTCATATTGTGAGACAGAGTAAAACCTAGTCTAACTACCTTTGACTGTCACTATAATCTACAATTTATATATTGTAAAAATAATTAAATCGAGACAAACATAAAATTTAAAAGCTAAATTAAAACAAGTACAATGTAATCAGTGTGTGTAAGAAATCTTGACTCAATGGTTCAATTATGTGTTCACCAAAATTCGTTGACTTGTTTTTATTTGTTAATATGTTGAATTTACAGCCTGTGCAAACAGCAACCATTGTTGTTATTCAACCGGGGTCTTACAACTTAAGAATTGGTAGAGCTGCAGATGGACTTCCTATCACAATTCCGCACTGTATTGCCCGTAAAAAGAAGGACCCCAGTAAACCACTTCAGTCTACACCTTGGATTCTACGTCCAGAATGCCAGGTAATTTAAACAAATGGTATAAGCTACATTGTAATTATGGCCGTTGAATTACCGAAGGGAGTCTGTCCGTTGCTTTTACTGTCACAAATACATACACAAATGTACAACTTAACATTGACATGTACTTGTAAATAATAATGGTCTCTTATCATCCGAACATCTGTTAAGTATTTTATTTAGGAATTTATAACTTCTATTAAGATAATGATGTTTCCCTTAGTGATACACTAACTGTACTTATTACTGTCTGGAGAGTCTCTGTCTCATTGAGTTTACTTCTTCGGCTTAGTTGGTAGATACATACATAAGAGACTAGTTCATAACTTACTTGAGATATGGTTTATTACTTATGAATACATAATTAAGATAGAAAATTGAGATATATTCTTTTCTCCGTTCAATGTCCACAGCATCCAGATAGTAAACACCAGCAAAGACAAGGACTAAAACAAGCTGAGGAGGCCCTGGCTTACAAACCAACTTCTACAGGGGAATACAGACAGCCTACATCACACAAACTGGTTGGTAATAAATAAGTAGATCTATTTAGAAGAAAATATTTGCTTCTAATGTGGAACAACCAGAAAACACACAATGTAGTAGTCATGAACAAGTGTTTTTATTCAGAGGAGAAGATTTGTTTACACAAGAACAGGGAAGCAATATGATATACTATTATAACTCTATTTTTGTTGAATTCATGAAAGTTATTGAAAGCCTTATATATCTGTGTGTACTTGTAAAGTGAAATTGGGTTGTAAGGTGAGATGTTTGTACAGGCTAAACTGAGCTTTGTATTTGGATTTTCTGTTGAAAAACTCTTATATGTGTTTATAAACAAATATTTATGTTTATTTGTTAGAATACTAAACTGAAACTGCTAATACGCATTAGTTTCACTTTTATATTGCTATTTCTAAAAACTATACATGTTTATGAAGACATCAATGTATCTTCCAATGTTGTAAGAAAATACATACATGATAGAATGAGTATTTTATCCATGGTTATGTTTCCTGCCTTGTAGCTATATTCACACAACAGTAATGTACGGGGACAGCTGACTGAAGTAATCTGTCCTCATAAGTGGACTACTATTGACCAGACTTTACCATATATAATAGGAGAAGAGGTGAGTACACAGGAGACAAGTTATCTTTAATTTGTCCTGGTCATAAAAACAGAATTAGGCAAAGAATTGTCCGAATATTACTAGAAATTTATACACCTATATATATATATATATATATTTCCCTTCTATTTGTATTTTAAATATACATTTGCATTAACATGTATCTTGAAATTTATTCTTTCTGAGATCTCTCTTTTTTTCAATTTTTCAAATAACTTTAGATTTGTTTACTTCATTACATAATTACTGCAGCCATTACAGTTTGTATTTCTACACAATAGTAGTAGTATACATTGTATCACATATATACAAAAAATCAGTTGGTAAGTACAGTGAAGTTCATTGAGGTTAATAACTGTAAAAATTTTCCCGAGCAAAATATAACTGCAGTTTATTACAGCCTCAAAATAATCTGGAATAAAGTTACTCATCAGTGATAGAGACACATTCACTGTAAAGGGGTCAATTTTCATATCAAAGGTACAGTTTATTTAAAAAAGAATTTTTTTATCATATTGCAAAATTTTTTAACAACCCTGAACTGAAATAAATCAATAATCAAATGAACTACTTACTTATATGTTTTGATGAATCCTGTTGACTGTCGTAAACTTTTCTTTTCATACATATATATTGAATTTTATTTATCTTAAGTACTTTATGTGGGGAAACATTTGTCCAGGTTATTTTTGCCCTTTTACAAAACTCTTTACTTTCACTTAGGGTTAAAGCCACCCTTAAATACATAAATAGATATTTCTATTGCCTATTGGCAAGAGAGTGAAACAGGTCAAAGTGTGACTGTGGTACAATTTCCCTGTATACAATATTATAACAAAGATGGAAATATGCCACAAAGTAATTACCATCTTGCATCAAGTTTTATAGATTTTCAAATGAGCTCATAAAATATGACAGGTGCACAAATGATGTATTGTTTATTCACTAGAATGTTTGTTTGAATCATGGTTAATATCCTTTCAGGCATTATACTTGAACCCATCAGACAACTATCGCCTTCACTGGCCGATGCGTGGGGGACAATTAAATGTCCACAATGGACCAGGAGGAACACTGACTGCTGTCATGGCCGATATCGAGATGATATGGGGACAGGCCATCCAAACGTTGCTAGACATCCCTCTGAAAGATCTCAAGGTTTTTATACTCCTGTCAAGAATATTCATACAAAGTCACGCAATCTCTTTACAGTTTGCTTTTGGCTTCTTGTCATGTCTGCTCATAAAATGCATATTGTTTGTAGCGACAGAAATGTGTATGTTTATGATTTAAAAAGTTTTAAGATTACAAGAACAGGTTTCATGTATTATGTAAATTAATATTAGAAATGCATTATTTTTTAATTGCTAAATATAAAAGTGTTTTTGTACTACATTACATAATCTATCAACAATGTTTGTTGACAGCTCTATAAAGCTCTCCTCCTGATACCAGATGTGTACAACCATCAACATGTCAAACACATGATGAATGTTTTGCTAGACAATCTCGGCTTTGGCGCAGCAGTTGTACATCAAGTTAGTAATAATTCACAAATGAACTAAACAGATTGAAATGTAGTACCTTGTTCATTCTGTATTAATCCAAAAATGATAGTAGTACACAATGCCCCTGCCTGAAGGAAGGTTGACTTTTTACAGGATGAAAATGTATCATTTAAATATAAGTATATTTTGTGAAAATTGAAAATAAGTTGATGGGCTTATTACCATTCATGGACTTATCAATGGATATGGTGGTATTCAGTATACATGTATATATATAGAGTATATTTCTTTGTAATTTCTGTAGATGAGGATTTTGCAAAGACATACCATAAATGTTCTTTCCTTGGATAGATATGATAATGATAAGATGCTGCTGTTTATTCTCCAGAAGTAAAAGACAATTTACGATGTATCATCAAAAAGGAGATCTGTTTATCTTTATGTAAAGTCCTTTTGAATATGATTGATGTAGATAGATAACAAACTTACACCATTATGATGCGTTTTAACAGGAGTCTGTGTGTGCCACATTTGGTGCTGGGGTAGGCAGCGCCTGTGTAGTAGATGTGGGTGACCAAAAGACCAGTGTATGTTGTGTGGAGGATGGAATATCTCATAAAAACACAAGGTATATAGCTTAGCTCTCTAAAGCCCTGAACATTCTATTTAAGATTCTGTTTGTGGAATTTATTTCTACCAGATATTAATGTGCTTTTACTATTCATAATTATTTTCAAACCTTAAATATTATGTAAAGTCAAGTTATATATTAACTTTATATGTATATCAGATGTAAAATACATATGTATATCATGTATATTATGTTAAAGTTGTGGAAGTTTATTGCAATATCAGAGCATACTGAACCAGATAGCATTTCCTCTTTCATGAGAAACAAAGAAATCTTCTGAGGTGGCCTTTGGGAATCCAGCTGCCGGATCACATTTTCTATATTTCATACCTTCCTCCATGAATATGACACATATTCTGAAATGATTTATCTTACCTTTTTAGAGAAAATTAAAAGAAAAATATAGGAGAAATCAGAGAGAAAAAAAGCTAAAGAGGGCAGTTCTTAAGATTCTTAAGTAACCAGAAATATTAGACACCATCTATGTGCTAACCTCTCAGATAGAGAATACATAGTTGGTGAGGGTGAAAAATTGCACAAGTTGCAAGCCTTTGATGTGCCACTTTGGCCTTTCTGTCCCAAGCTAAAATTTGGTATATATTTTAAGAAACTGACCTTTAAAATTCAGACTAACAAAACTTCAATGGTTTTTTAGGACTATGCAGTATTTGTTAACCTGTCATTGATGTTACACGGAATTGCACCTGATGACACATTTCAAAATAATTGCTTGCTTGGAAATACATTTCCACACATCAGTGGATATAAAAAGCAATTACACAAATTTAACAGGAAATAAAATAGCTTATTTAAGCAGTTATTAATACATGTGAATGAAACTTTTAAGTAAATCAGAAAGTAACTTTGTCAATTTAATGCACATGCAATGAATACAGCAAAAATATTTTGCAGGTGTATTCTGACAGTTGCAAGATGAAGTGATATATCTGGTCATAAACAGTGAAACAGGGTGATAACTTCAGAATGTGTTGGTGTTCTAATTTCTATAAAGTGTAATGCCTTTGTAAATTGTGTGAAATAAAGGCAACTAAGATTGGGATATGAAAATTGGGATATGGCTATCTGACAGTCTTGAATATTTTGAAAACAGCATTTAATAACTGCTATACTTGAACAAAAGATGAAACTCTGTTGTTGTGTTGTAATTCATCTTGTTTTCCCATTTAAAAGGATCCCACTAACTTTTTTTATATTATGTGACAGAATAACAATGGAGTATGGAGGAAGTGACATCACAAGGTGTTTTCATTGGTTACTAGGGAAGTCTGGTTTCAGCCCACGTGAACTTGACCCCAGAAATACAATAGATGGATTACTACTACAGGAGTACAAAGAGTCCTACTGCCATTTAGACCAGGTTAGTGTTACAATCTTAGTGAAGGTATCAGGTGTGTTGTCTGATCCTTACCCAGTGTGGTTTTGCAGAAAGCTAAGGTCACAGCCCTCTCTACTCTGATTTGGTGGTTTCCTTTGTTTTATGTAACAATTTAATGAACTGTGTTTAAAGTGTGAAATTTACTCCAAGAAACATGAAAAGATGGATGTTTAAGACTGAAAATTTGCAATTCTTTAAATCAATCAATTATTTCAGGACAATTTCGGAGTGAAGGACAGGTCAATACTGATTAGAAAACCAGAACAGAATATCATTAAGTATGCCATGAAATTTGGAGATGAGACAATACTGGCCCCGATGAGTCTGTTTTTCCCAGACATGTTGGGTCTACAAGGGTCAAATCTCATCCATGTTCAGAGTCGCTCAGATGGGGACCCACAGGATCCTCATGACGAGTTCTTTCTCCGGCAGACCACTTCCAGGGAGGTAATGGAACTCATCTTCTCTTGATTCATACTTCATTGGAAGGGTTTTTGAAGGTTTCTTAAGTGCACAATTTTCTAAAAACATTTCTTGTATTTATTTAATATTTTGAAATACCTTTCAAAATAAAGAATAGATATACTTTGTAATTTATAAAGAATTTATAAATGTTTCCTTTTTTAGATATAAACAATACTTCTATGAACTAGGGAAGCCACTTAAATGCAATTTGGTATTTTCTTTATCTAAAAGACCCTTTCAAATTCTTAATATTTTAAAAGAAAATGTTTCAACAAATTCAGACATGTTTTTATGTTGATTTGATTTCCATTAAAAAAATTACCTATGCATCAGAATTTGTTCAGTTTTGAAAACTCATACATGCATTTGATTTATTCTTTAATTAGAAACTCTCAATATGGCAAATGCCTGGGTTCATTTCTCATAAAAAAGTGGTTTTTATTAAAAAATATTTCAGGCAAAGCTTGCGAAGAAGAAAGACAATACAGAGATGAGTAGAGACAACTCTGAGGCCAACCTAGGACAACTGGATGATGCACAGGTCCAACAACAGATGGATGAGGACTCCAATGATGCTCCAGACAATCTCCAAGTAACTGGTGACATCAACAAGGGAACACGACGACTCGACATTGAGGAGGAACAGGAGATGGAGTCTGAGCCAGTATTACAACTAATGGGAGTAGACCAGGCCATCCTACAAAGCATTGACAGATGTGGTGAGAAGTTTAGAACTTGTTGTTGGCAATTTTATGCTCCTGCTATGTTATGGATGGGGGAGGTTTATAGTATTACCTATGTCCTTCCTTTTTCAGCACTGTTAAAATAAAATTTTCAATTTATCTACTCTGAAAAATAGTAATGAAGTATTACAAAGAAGTTTATTGTTCAAGAGAACTGTTACAGACTACTGTTAAGTTTTTAATTTTTTGTGGTCTTTATTTTCATTCATTTCTTAGGTACTTTCAGTCAATGAATGTATATGCCCAAGAACTGTTAAGATTAGCACAAGTAATAGTGGGCTTCATTTAATAAATCTACAACATCAAGTGCCCATGAAATCACTACTTTTTGAAAAAACCATGAAAGTTGAGCCTCACAAAATATAAAATTTTACAGTATGCCTGTTGTTTTATATATTTTCTTTAAGATAAAATGGAAAAATTGAATTACAATGAGAAAACCACATACAAAAAGCAGGAAGTAAAGTGAACTAAAGAGGATGTTTATTGGTCAATTTATTCATTCTTTGTTTAATTATTACATGTATTTAATATGACTTGGAAAATTAAAAGCTGTTTGTATGTTTATCATTTATTTCTCAGGGAGTGATGAGGTGAAGAAAAAGATGTACAGTTGTATCATTGTAGTAGGAGGGGGGATGATGTTTGAGGAAGCCCAGCAATGGTTACAGTACAGAGTCTGGGTGGGCATGCCTCCTCAGTACAGACTCATGTTAGAGACAATGGATGTCCTCACACGACAGAAGGTGATTATATCATACCCTTCTGTCATCATACAATACATACATGTATACTTAAAACTTCAGTTATTTTTCTTTAGTTGTTATAGAATGAAGTCCTGAATGATTATTCATATCCTGCATATGGGATCGCCTCAATTTAACCTATAAGTAACATGTTTTTCATGCCAACTTGTAATAAGACTCCACCCTTCATTCAAGTGACCAGTTTATTTATTTCACAAACGTGTTTCTTTAACACTTTCTTACAACAAAAATGAATACTTCATACAATAAAATTGGAGGCCTTCTATGATACACTGTAGTACTGTACTTGTACCACATTGTTTCTCCATATTTTCCTGCACTGTAGGACATGGACCCAACCATCACCTGTTGGAAAGGAGCATCTGTATTAGCCTGTCTGGACACAACGCAGGAACTCTGGATCAAACAGCACGAGTGGCGTCAGTTCAGTGTTCGCATGCTACGGGAAAGAGCTCCCTTTATGTGGTGATAATCACACAGATTCCATTTTGAAGACAGATAAAAGAAAGCATCTGTTTGCCAGATAAAATCCAGAATGTCACCATTATACATCTGTATGCACTGAATCGAAAAAAAGTTGACAGAATCTTGAGTGTACACCACAATGATCGAAGTGAAAGGTCAATGAATGTTTGGGATATAATTATTTGTTTGTTCTGAAAGAATTGAATTCATGTCGTGGATTCTTGCTCGTTACTGCTGTACTGCTGAGACTAAAACAAATCTCACAGGTCAAGGTCACTTAGGGTTTGATCATGGCTAAAATGTATAATTGGATTCAAGTGCTGGTGAAACCTCAGAAGTCAAGGTCACATGGGTTTGACTTATAAGCTTATTTAGTCTACATAGTTAAAATAGATTAAAGCAGGGCAGATTGTATTAGATCATTCAAGCTTACATGGTCTTTAGAGAGACTAGTCTTTTAAACTTCAATATTCATCTGAATACCAAGTCATATGCAATCCTAGCTAAGAAGCATTTTTAACACCTTTTACAGAAAAAGGAGTTATGGAATGTTGATGAATGTAAAAAAAAATTGACATGCATTATTACAAATGTAAAGAGCTCACAGCAATATAATATTTTAAATTGATATCTCTTCAGGAGTTTGACTTCCTCAGAAGGGCTGAAGATAATTATTACTTTCTGTATGCACATTTACTTGGCACAACATGAAGACAGATTTTTGTTATAAGTTTGAATGATACAGTAATGTGTAAGAGTGCAAACGTATGTGGTTTTAGTGATACATAAAATAAGTGTAAATGTGTGACACAGGAATTAAGTGTAAATGTGTGACACAGGAATTAAGTGAGGATGTGTGATACAGGAACCAAATGTAGATGTGCTGTGGTTTAAAATATTTTGAGAGGAAGAATGACAGATCTGGATGAAGATGTTATGTTATGTATGAATTGAAAAAGAAATGTCCAAATAAATTAAATATACTGATGGAAAAAAAGTTATTGTTTTTTTTTTAAATAATGGACTGTTAGGAAGCAGGAAAAAATTGTGAGGCCTGGTGGGTTTTCCTTTTAGTCTAATGATAGGGCTTAGATTTACGGTTTTCATTGTATGTAATCCTGGGAAGAGACTCTACATGTAATGAATTGGTATTATCATTTCAACTGTAACTTTTTTGTTCTGAGCATCTGCTCAGATAATTTTTACCAATACTCTAGGTCAGCTGTATCGTCTTGAGAGGTAGTTGTTTTTTCCTTGTGAAATACTAGTATACAATTTAATTTAACAATGTTTGTAAGAGTCGTGGCTCTTTATGTTGTCAAAGGAATTATCTCTCTCATATTTCTGCAACTTTTTTGTAACATTGTAGGGTTTAATGTCATGATAAATTGTTTGCCTTTCACAGAACAATGGAGTCTAATTATTGATAGGTTATTGCCCTTGTTTTTTTTTCAACTCTGGCATCTATAATGGTAATTTCTTCTTAAGTTATGTAAGTTAAACAAATGTCCAAGACAGAAAGGAGCCATGATTAGCCTTTATTTATTTTTTTGAAAACAATAATGATTTCATTTCATTCATTCTGGCCCACGCAATCTCCCAAAATCTTTCATACATACATATGCTTACATATTTATCCTTGTACTCACTATCACACATATACACACTCTTTTTGAAAAGTATCACTAGACTTTAAGACGGTGTATACAATAGATGACAAATTCTTCTCATACTGAAGATTAATAGACACAGTATGTGTTGAAAGAATACTTTCCACATAAATAATATATACGGTAACTGTTTTCACAGTCAACTTCAGTATGTCAGTTTCAAATAAGTTATCAACCAGTATTAACAATTTGTTCAGTCAACTTCAGTATGTCAATTTCAAACCAGTTTTGACACTGTTTTTAACAGTCAACTTCAATATGTCAATTTCAACAAGTTACCAATCAGTTTTATACACAATTAGAATAACTTTTACATCTACAATGTTTTAATCCTTCGTATCTTGAAAGCACCGAATTATTTTCATCAAAAGTAGAAACACATTCAATTTTTTTCTCGATATATTTCTTTGCTATCAATCTCTCTGCTATTATCTTGCATTACAATACTATCATTAGCAAAACAACTTATAGTAACAAAAGTTCTGCACACACCAGGTCCAGATCACTTTTTTCCTTTTTTTCCTTTGCCTTTAGCCTTCGACTTAACCCTTCCAGATTTCTTTAGATATGTCTTGTGTCTCTTTATAGCTCTTTGGTTCATCCAACTTGGGTAATGTCCATCTTCATCTTTTAGAGTGACCGGGTGAAAGGTTTTCCCACTATGTTCCATGGTTTCTTCTACAAGCACAATTTGTTGTACATATGAAACTTTTGTGTACCAATTACATTCAAGTATAATTTTTAGTTGAATCTTTATCAAGTAATGGAAATTAATCTTGACCGTCTTCAAAACATGTAATTGCTTATTTTCTGAACACATCACCATAATTACCGAGTATTTAGAAAAGAAAATTCAAAGATATCAAAAAGCAATTACGGCTAAGAAATTTTACCTGCTTTCTTTTCCATTTCTGCCTTCAGTTCTGCTTCTGTTTTTACTGAAATAAAAAGATGATATTATGTAAGTTGTCATACTGCCAACAAGCCAGAAATCTTCATGATCACAAGTGAATCAAAACAGTGATCACACTAGTGGTTGTAGTATTTGGTATTTCTTTCATTTGAATTACTTATGTTTCAAAAGTTACAAAAAACATTATATGTTCTTTAATGAGAGTCTTTGTAATTTTTGGAAGATAATTATTAAGGATGAAGAAATAACAAAATATAACAACCCTGGGTTTATGTGACCTGTTTCTACCACAATTCCAAAGTTAAATTTAACATGTTCTGCACCCACATGAATTTTTATTTACATCGTAAGTTGGGGTGCATTGATATGACCTGGAATGAAATTCTACTAATTAATATGCAAAACTGATCATTTTAATAATATGAGGAGATATCAAAACTCATTACAAATTATAACTATCAAAAAAGTGTTTTATTATCTTCAAAGCAAAAAATAAAAATAAAATAGAAATCCAAATATTAATCAAATTATTACAAAAGCGACCATGAACTACTTTTTGCACATGCCTGAATTGGATACCCTTTTGGTCAAAATTCATCCTGTCAGCCAATGAAAACATGTTTAAAAAATGGTTAGAATGATTAATTGATGCCTTGAGCGTTGAATAACACCCATTAATTGTATTCGATCATTCACATTACCTTCATTATCCATATGCAGATAGACATGTAAATTTCATTTACAAATTTAGACTATATATATATTTGTATATCATATTTTGGCCAGCAGGAAGTTAGCCTTATCAATACATGTATTAGTATCACTTTTCAGTAAAATTATAAACCATTGTAATACAATGTCATTGTCCTGCAGTATTATAGGAGGTTCTAAATGTATTTCTGATAATTTACATTTGATAACCAAACATTGTTCAACCATATCAAATTTGTTACAAAATTGTTTACCTTTGTAGATTTCCTTTATTTCCTGATCTTGTCCACCTTTTGTTGCGATAATTGTCTTCAATCTTTCAAGCTCTTTCTTTCCATATTTTTCCCTTTTCACATTTCTCATCCTCTTACGGAACTTACAGCGAAGCCCTTTGGCCATTGTGAAGAACTTCAATTGGCAAGTCTGAAAAATTATGTTTACCGTAAGTCTAAAGACAAGACATAATTGACGAGTAAAAATACAGAATAAACTTAATAATAATTGGTTCTCCTATATGGCTGTACCCAAAGATTCAAGAACCATGCATCCTCCATGGAAGTGTGAGAATACTGATTAAATTATATTTTATAAGGACTGCTGTCAAGTAAACGCACAACTTATAATAATTCTCCAAATTTTACCTACATGTGGATTTAGATCATACCCGTTTTATATGACCAAATATTTGTTGTTGATTTTTTATCAGTTCTTATACTCATAAATTCTTAGTACTATCAAACAATTAAATATTGCAGCTACATAGGTACCCATATAATTTTTATTTGACCCACTAATTTATATGTAGTAGTATTGAGCTCTTCTATCAATACAGCTTATATTATATACATTTTATTCAATGCAAACTTCATTAGCAACGGCACCGAATTATGCATTTGGAATAGGAAGGAGTTATGAAATACCCTGCCACCGTTGGAGTTCAAACTGGTGACCATTCAGTCTCTAACCAGACACTTTGCTCAACCCAAAACAAGTTCAACGAGTGACATTTTCAAACGTCAGATGTAAAAGAATCCCAAGAAGGAATCTCGTAAGGGATATATTTCGTTGATCAAGTACGTATACGTGTGATTGAATGTATAGGGCTATAGTATGTATCGACCTGAATAAAATACATAGTATAAACAACAATTTCCCCACGTGTTCAAGTAAATGTCCACAAATCCACTACTAAAAATATTAAAAAAGAATAAAAGTGTTAACATTAATTTATCGTCAGTTAATTCATTAAACAACAAAACCAGTTTACCTTGTGAATTAGTGCCCGCTTCTAGATCTGTCAGGTTTTCACAGCCGCGGACCACGTGTTTATATCTAAGTTAGACAAACGCTTGTAAATAGCATAAGCGAGGTGTACAACAAACGCTATATAGACTTTGATTGCCTCCGTATCCTGCATCTCCACATTGAGCTTTTGACCGAAAAGGTGAAATCAGTTGGTGAGGTAAGACGAATGGGCTAGTTTATCTTTTTTTCGATTCATTTTAAATAAATTTGCAATCAGACAATATTGATAATTCAGAAAACTGAACCACCAAGAACTGCCAGATAGTAATGATTGTTATGCTAATAAACGATCACGACAACATGCAGATGAACAAATGCATGCATCTAAAATTATGAAAAGCCTATGTACATATGCAAATTACAACTTTTTTGAACTGATATACAGTATCGCTTGCATAAGGAACACGTTGCATATTATTAAATACTTGAACATGAGATACACGTGTTCTTATCCCAAGACCGAGAACTTTTGTCTCTAGAAGTAGAATAATAATTGCATTTCAATATTCACATGTTAGAATGAGTATACTAGTCAATTAAATTGTAAACATCAGTAACAGCATAACAAGTAAGATTCTGTCATGATTTATTTAATAGAATGACTGCCATCAACAGTTGTTTGCGGACCTACTCTATGATGAAAACTATCCGCAGTATAAAGAAAATGCATGTTATGTACACCTTTACCAGGTGTGTTTCCACTGAAAGGAAGCAACCATACTACAATCTCGACGTACTGCATGCACCTGTCTTTGCGGATAGAAAAGAATTAATTCATCATATCCAAAAAAGTGTGCTTTATGATGATGGTATGTACTAGAACAGACATATTTATATTAATTCTATGTAGAAAGCAGTTATCAGTAATTAAACAGTTGTCCTGTTGTATCATTAAGACATTACTACTTCCTTGAATAGGCAAACAATGTAAAATTACATTCCCATTCCCATTCTGTGAATCAGCAATCCTGGTGCATTTCTGATTGATATAGAATAATTTTATCAATGTTTTCATCCTCGATGCTATTCAGTTCTGTATTATTTCATACAATCAATATAATATTTGAAATATATTTTATACACATCAATTGGTTAACAAAATTATTTTTGATAAATTTTATTTTCAGAAAACATATTGGCATTGAATAAACCTAATGGAGTTCCTATGAAAGGTAAAGTTACCTTTTCAATAGAAGATGAATTTGGATATCCGGCCTCCAAATCACGAAATGTCTGCAGTTGATTTGTGATATCAATAAAATGACATCGTTCCTAAATTTTACTTCACTGACATATGTTGTTATTGTATTTACATGTATCGACCCACAAATGGTTGACTGTCCAGCTGATTTCCCTATTCAAAGAGCTTCCTGCCCTAATTTATTATGCATATTTTAAGCTACAAATACAAAATGTTTTATATGTTATTTTAGGAGTTGAACACAAATATAAAAGTTTTTACATTAGAAAAGAAATCCGAAAGATGATAATATCAAATAAGTAGGTAGCTATTCATGAAAATGTTTGAATGAAATCAGAGTGATGTTTTTACAAATTGATTAATATTCCAGCTGTTCATGATGAAGGTGTGCCCTCAATGTTTGATATTTTGGAAGATTTGAGGGAATGTTATGATGCTCCGGAACTTGAATATATGCTAGGATTGTCAAGGTAACATTTATACAGAGTAGTTATGTAGCAATATCACCTAATGTATTAATACACTTCTGCAAAATAAGTGTATGAAGTTTTGTGTATGAAAATGAAATGCAAACCACTTTTATACGAAGATAAGCCCAGGGTGCCAAATAATATACAATTTTTAAAAAGTCGAGGGGTGGGTTTATTACAAGGCAAAGAAATAACATTAGTTTGTAATTCTACTTAGCACCAATAAATATTGATTGTTAACAGGCATTGGCTTATTGACAGATCAAAATGGAATTTCATTGGTTGAAAATATCTAAATGATGACCAGATGTTCAATGAGAGTAATCCTTGTTGTCCTTTCAACTTGCTTGTGGAGTTACTTTTACTCCAGACATCTACAGACTAACCCTGACTGGTCATCAGATCTTTTATAGATATATTTCTGAATAGTATGGAGGAACATAAACAAGATTTCTGTTCTTTCACATAAGGGAAATAAGTGATGAAGAACATTTTTCTTTAAGAAACCAGAGTGGAATAATACTATTGGTCAAGCATGCCCTGGCAAAAGTGAAGTTAAAGAAGTCACTACAAGGTCAAAGGTCACATGGAGAAATTAATCATGAATTCATGTAAGTATTTGATATGTTGTCTCTTACATTTACTCCTTAAAAAACTGTCATTTGTTAATACCTTGAAAAATAGAAGTTATGATATATCTATCATTGGAAGACTTTAAGTTTAATTGATTTTTTAAACATCCTCTGAATCCAAAATAAGAGTTATTCACAAATAAATCATGTGAAATTTCATATTTTTTTGCTCAATAGATGTGTTTGTTTGGGTGAACCAAAATTTAAGCCTGAGGTTGAGAAAATTCGCTACCTGCGGAAAGAAATAAATGGGCGCCAACAGGTATTGCTACAAAAAGTTATTTACAGGGGATGACTTCTCATGGTTTTAATTTTTATCATCACCTGAAATCAATTAGTATACGTATGTCCAAAGGTGCTGGAAAAGTCTACCTGTCCTAAATAGTATTAAACACAATATACTGTATATATATATTGTAGTATCTTAAATAAATAGAGAAGTAATTATGATGTCAAAGTGTAATAAAACAAAGATTTTTCCAACTACTGATATTCTATTACTGGCATAGTTTCCCATTGAATTTCTGTTAAATATTCCTGATTATAGTAATATACCAGTCACAGATAAGAGTTGGTGTTCCTAAAGCAACAGTTAATTCTAAAATGCATCAGCTTCAACATTATCTGAAGTTATTTGTATTTGCATTTGGAGCCATGTTTAAAACATAACCAGTATTTCAAGAAAAAAAAACCCAGTAATTTGTTGTTTGTTAGTTATTTGTTTGTATGCTAAAATGATAGTTTATTAATAGTAACAGTGTACATTTATGTAGGCTGTCCTGGTGCCACACTTCCACAAGTCCATGAAGAAAGCACCACTATCAAGTTTCAACATTCAATCAGAGGTGTTAGCCACGAGTCCATTGGAATCATCTCCAAAGGTTTCTCTTGTTGGGATTACTTGTGACAGCGGTAAGGACCAAGTCCACATATATGGAACTATTGTCATAGTACCATGATTTGAATTATTATAAATACGTTTTGTAGTTATAATATTTTGAATGAGTTTGAGGCATGACATAGTCTTGTGGGTTTTTTTTAAGCCCACCATCTGATGATGGACTTCTCAAATCACCTAATGTCCTGTCATCTATCCATATACTATTCTTGTTATCACTACTTCTTTAGAAGTACTGGATGTATCTTTCTCAAATGTTACCTTTAAAGTCCTATTGGTCCCTGGTTTTGTCCTTTTAACTTTGAAACTGATCATAAAGTCAAAATAGCTTAGTGACAAGCAGCCATCTTGGATTTTGACGAAAAAGTTTGTTATCACTCTTTATTGAAAAGTACTGGATGGATCTTTCTCAGATTTCATATTCAAGTTTCCCTGTCTCCCTACTCATGCCTGTTTGATTAGAGCTAATCAGAAAAATAAAATGAATGACAGGAGACCATCTGATCATAGTTCAGTGGTCATCAGTCAAGGTTAAAGGTCAGAAGTGGATGTGAGGTGTAATAGTTGACCCATGATAATCTGGACGATGTTTGTCTCGAAAACTCATTATTTATATGGGAATGTTGGGGAAAGGAGTTCTTCAACATTAATTGTACACACTATTCTAGAAAATCAAATTCCAGTCATCGAAAGATTTTTTGGGAATGGAATAGACTTTTCATGGTAACATTCCCACAACAGTCTAGACATTTTTGTTACCACTTTACAAAATTTTTGGTGTTCGATCACTAGTGCCAAAGGTATACACTATACTGCTAGACACATTTGTAGTCATAGCGCCTGTTGCAAGATGATGGCCCCAGATGTTCTCTTGTGGAGCTTGTGTCAAGTTTGTATCAGAGTTAATGGTACTATAAAAAAAGGCAAAGTGAATTTATTGTTAAAGAAATGTCAAAGTCGTGGTTTAGTCTTGTTTTAAAATATTTGATAATTAAATACACTGTATGCAGTGGACACATTAATTAGGAAACAATGTTCAATAGTTTTGAGTAAAACATCAGTTAATACTGAGCAGATATTTGATTAATCGTCATGATTTTGGACTTCAAGAGAATAAAGCGGGGGACAATTTTTCATTTTGAAATTTTAATTCATATGCAATTATTAATGAAAATGAAACTTACTAAACATTGAAAGACATTTATAATACATAAATTCACAGCAAACATGATATAGATATCCTGGAAACAACAGTATCATACTGACAGCTTTATCATTAATGATCAAGGGAGATAAATCATATATATTGGCTGGTTGACTAAACTGGGCACTCTGGAAAATTCATAATTCAGATGATTTCGGAGAGAAAGAAAGTGTCCGGATTATAAAATGTCCTCTGTATACATGATGTATCTATGTGAATTGTTGCTTATTTTGTTTATATTTCTTTACAGGTAAAAAGGAGTGTTTGGAAATGTATATGGCTGACCATTTGAGTCCGATCCTTGGAGATCATGTGTATTCTCATCGTGTTGTAGAAGTTGCAGGCGAGCAAGTCAAACAAGACTCAGCTGCAGCTATCAGAAGTCCACAGGTATTTAGTTCTCTTTTTTATGCCAATCGAAAAGTTTGACAATTTGACATATTATGGTATGATATAATATCATTTGTAAGCTTGTTTGTCCAGGACTACATTCTGATTTTGCTGTTTTTGGAAGTCTTAATAACCTCATCCCCAAAAACCACCCCTTTTTGGAAAGTGTGTAGAAGCCTTATACAGGCCATACTGTGTGGTGAAAGTCTGTAGAATACCCATATAGACCATACTGTGTGTGAAAAACCACACTTATAGAAATGTTTGTTGTTAGACTATAGAGAGGTTTGTTGTTTAGCTAAAGAAGACTTATAGAGATTGTTTTTGCTACACTATAAAAGGCCTATAGATAGGCTAATTGCTTGGCAATAGAATGTCTATAGAGATTTTTATTTGGCTTAGGATGGCTGATAGCAATGTTTGTTGTTTGTTAGAAGGCTTGAAGAGATGTTTGTTGCTTGGCAATAGAAAGCCTAAAGAGGTTTTTTTCATTTAACAACCGAAAAATTTTAGAAATTTTGTTGCTTGGCAACAAACAGCTTATAGAAATTTAAGCAATAAAAAGCTTATAATTATAGAGTTGTTTGTTGTTAGGCAAAAGAAGGCTTATATAGAGATGTTTGTTGCCAGTTAATACAATGCTTGTAAAGGCTTCCATATAAGGCAGAACTGTAATAATGCATGTAATTACATTAAAATTGCTTTTTGCAGATTATTCCATCTGAGGTCAAGCGGACTCTTAAGATAGGAAAACATACACACTTTGTTCCCTTACATCTCCATAAAAGTGGCTTGATCTTGCACAGATTTCCTCATAAAAAGTCAGAACCCTTCATGATCGAGTCACAGCTTCCAGGATTTTTTGTGGATACCATGGAGAAATTACAACTTCTACCTAATGATGAAAATATTGATGCATACGAAGAGGATGAAATCACAGACATAGACTGAAAAAAAGAATTCTAAATAAAGGAACAGATCCGGAGTTACATTTAGATCTGAAATTTATTCATAAACAAGTTTTTTTTTAAATGTGATAATATTCTGAATATAATGACATTATATGATAAAAAAGATTAAAATGTTGAGTTTCTAACTTTGTTAAATGTTGAATTATTCTGTAAAGCCAGTTTACTGTTTATTGCTTTAAAAAAGTCACCTGAGCTGAAGTGTCAGGGTGACCAGTAGCCATTATGCTGCTCCTTTAGCCCTTCATGTGCCAAGCACCATGCACTTACTTTAAACTTTAAAAATGAATAATTGAAATTTGTCAGGAATGGTCCTGTGATGATACTTTCCAGTGTATTTTTCTAAAATGACCTTTAAGTCAGTCTTAGCATGGATCATGCATAACTGACAACCAAGAACATACACATGAAATTTGAGAACAAGGACTTTGCAAAATATAGCAATAAGAAAGTTTACTTGTTAAGATTCAAGATGGCCATCTGTCAAGCGTTCTTCATTCCTGATCAGTATCCAAATTGAACATACACAAAAGGGACTTTCATTTGGGAAAAGATTAATTATATGCTTCCCTAAAAACTGGGAGAACTTTACTATTCAAATCTAATTTGGCTGAAAGGCAGCAGATCAAACATACATCCAGTACTTTTCAAGAAAATGTGTTACATCGCAGTTGTCGAAATCCAAGATGGCCACTGCCAGTCCCAAAATCAAACATGCAAAAAAGGGAAACAAGGGAAATCTGCATTTAAAATATAAGAACAATCCATGTTGTACTTCACAAATAACACAAATTGTTTTTGTATGAATGACAGTGGGTTAAAATGTCTCACTAGATTTGGCTTTCTTCTAATTACACTGATGTATTTTAATGGTTTACTTCCATTTCTACTACTTGTCCCCTCTGCACTTTCCAAGGGGGTCAGACCCTTGTTTTAACTGAATTGGGTCCCTTGTCAAAATTCCTTCATATCTACAGATGATTTACGTCAATTTCCTATTAGTTATGTGACAATGGTTCCCATTGATTGAAGAAGGATTTTCATGTTTATCCTATATTTCCCCTTACTGGGCCTGCCCCTTCAATTGAATCCCCATTAGCCGAAAATGGTCTCATACTTTGACCAAATTGACAAGATGATGTCATTCCTACAGAAGAATTTGCTTGAATTTCTCCAATTGATTCCTCTTATTAAAGGATGCTTCCATTCTATCAGAAGTGCTTTAATGGCATTCCTTTATATCCCAAATTGGTTCCTCTTGTCTGTCCACATGGTTCATACAAATCTAAATTTATTAGTACCGATTCACCTATATACAAAATTTTCCCCAAAATGCTTGTGACCAAATTTGGACAAGGTGAACTAACAATTGAGGTTTATTTGTGCAGTGTATAAAGTCTACTCTCACAATGAATGTGATGAGGCAACCATTTTTTATTAATGTGTATTTCATCTGCCGGTCAGAAGGAAGGAGATTGGTAGAATGATGAAGCAAAACTGATTCTATTATGATTATGCAGATTACAGACATTTTATCTGACTTTTGGGTTAACCTTAATTTGTTACCTAAATAAATTTTTGTAGTGCCTTTTAAGCATTGAACTGCTTTCACTTGGCATTCTTTGTCATATGAATGGCAACAAAGATAAGGACAAACTGATGAAGCACACCAGTGTTTCATGCAGAATTTGCCATTATCCAATTAGCATTCATAATGCCCATGAATGCCATCCAAATGCAGTTTAATGCTTATAATTTTAATTTTCAATTCCCACCTGGCCTGAGCATGGAATAAACTTCGGTACCAACCAATACTAAACAATGGTAAATATTTGTTTCTTTCCATTAATGAATATGCATTGTAATGGTATGACGATGAGTGATGAAATGATGACAGTCATGGTCAAAGGGGAAGTAGTTTAGTTCTCAGTTAATGCTCATTCCGTGAGTGAGAACTGTAAGACAAAAAGTGTGAATGAATGAAACTTTGAAAAAGTGTTGCTGTGCAAACATAATCTCCCACGGAACACAATAGCATCCGATCAGTATCTTTTAAGAAATAGCAATAACAATCTTTACCTGCCAAATCTAAAATGGCCACCTAAAAGCCATTTATCGAATGGGCACAACTAGGAACTGAAGGGAACCTGTATATGAAATTAAAGAAAGATCCATCCAGTAATTCTCAAGAAATAGCGATAACAAAATTTCACAGTCAAAATCCAAGATGGCCACCTGTATTTTTGTATTTCTGACCAATCCTAAAATTAGATGGGCACAATTAGGGACCAACGGAACCTATATGTAAAATTTTGTATTTCTGACCATTCCCAAAATCAGACAGGCACAACTAGATACCAAGGGTAACCTACATATTCAGTTTGAGAAAGATCCAACGAGTACTCCAGAAATAGCGATAACAAAAATTGTTTACGGACCACGGACGCAGACCGATTTGAATAGCCTACCTTCTGATGATGGTGGACTAAAAAGTTGATAATATTTCTGTCAACATAGTAATGGATGCAATTATTGTTCCTCATATAAATAGAAGAAATAGATTTATAAACTGCGTACACAAATCATATTGTTTTGTTTAAAATTTCATGGGGTCTATAAATAATGAAAATGAAACTGAATGGTCAATAACTAATTATTAGGGCATGGGTGTCAACTTCGAACCAGTGGATAATTCAATTTCTGCAAACATATCTTTTTTGGCAGAGTTTTATTGTTCCATTTACATACACGGTATCAAACGTTACGAGGCATATCACAGATTGGAGGAAATCACACACCCGTCTATGGTATAGTTGTATAATGGTAGTAGATAATGTTATACATAGGATAGTTTACACCAAGTTCAATAATTTATAATCAGCTGCCAGTAACAAAATAACTGATAATAAAAGTCATGTTCAAAACTAGTTTTCAATTTAGTAAAAATCGTGTCGCATTATTCCACATATTTTTGTTGTCGCCGACGAAACACGTAAAATCTGAATGTCTGTGTCGAATACAGAAGTTCACTCATGCAAGTTGGTTATTGTAAATGCACATTTTTGATGACACACCGCTCTTTCACTGATATTCGTCGATGTGACAATACCTATTGATGAAGTGTCACCAACTTGGAAAATTTGAAACTAAAGAACAAATTATGATTTATTTTTAATTGAAAAAAAAACACTTTTAACATCTGTATAAATTCATCCTCAGATGTAGGAGACGTCTCGGTTACTGCTAAATGGGGTTTCTAGAAACACGATTTGTTTCTGTGGAAACGGCACGAGCCTGTACAAGTCATTTTGTTTCCCTGGCAATAGGCGGCCACACTAGTGCTATAAACTTGCATCGGGATGACTTCTTAGCTTTAACTTCAAAGTGAAAGCGTGGCAACCAGTATGTCCATGTTCGTTTCCATTGATTTTGGATTTCTGTTGAACATGAAATCGTATTCATGATGTAGCTTCAGTATCCTATAACTTCTTAATGCATTCATAACTTGCAAATTTGGAGGTAAGCTGTCGTTTCTTGTCATCACAGACACGTTTTCATACTTAACGATGTCAGTTATAGAAATAATACCATTCCCATTAAACATAAATCGCTGGTGACGTTCCTAAGAAACTAAGGAAGTTTTTGTTTGGGTCAAACCTGTCTCAGTGATATAATTCCAATCTTCACGCCTTGTCATAAATACGTTACATATATAATTGAGAACCACGAAATGAGACAGTCACAGTACAGGAGAATTAACTCTACTTTGTTGAACTCTCCAGGAAGGAGATTAAAAAGTTGTTAATAAAATGTCTGTGAAAAGATCAGAAGACACGTGTTATCTCCTCTCATTGCCAAGGCCCCAAACACCGCAGTCTTTGTAATCTGTTGGAATGCACTATGCTGTCCATTAGTGACGGCCAGTTTGCGGAAGTAACCATGTTTCTTATATTGAAGACAGCTTTGATCTTGGATATTAAAAAATAATGTATTCTACTATAAGAGATAAGCAATATGCTAATATTAAAAGACAATCTGATTACATTATCGTTTATATACTAGCCCTGATGTTACAGCGAGCGTGCAAAATTGCAAATCTCCTTCCGTACTTCAGAATATGTAGAATTCAGAACCTTTGTGTGGAGTTGTGGACATCTGATGGATTCCTGAAGAGGAAGATGCATCACGGGACTAGCACACATTCCCTGAAGTTTCTCAAACATGATGTTCAGCTGTTCGTTAGGAATATCCAGTCCGAGGAATCTAGCTACATCCGGCCCAAATTTTGAATAATGTGCTGTGGATGCTATGATCATTGGACAATCTTTGGTGTTAAAACGGTCGCCAACAGCTTTAGCGACAGCAGTATGGGTATCTAAAAGATAACCTAAAAATCACGGTAAATTATTAGTCTGTGAATTGTACACATTTAACAGGTGTATACAGTCAGTAGGGTCAGTAGGATTACTATATGTACACAGAAGTATAGAAGTATAGGGGTACTTATTAACCAATTAAGAATTTATGAAGAAATGGCGGGGCGTGACGTGATCAGATCGGACCAAATATGGGTTACAATCTGGGCCACAGATAAATTATTGGGGTTTTTTCCTGATCCAATTCAATTTCACTTTTCCATTTTTTATGCCCCACCGTTTTTTTGACGTGGAGGAGGGGGCCACTATGACAGTAAGTCAGATGAGTTGGTGTCCCCAAATCTCAAGGTCAAAGTCACCCATCACAAAAATGTCTTACAGATATTTTCTAGTTTCTGAAAACTGTAAGTACTTTTATTAGTCTACAATGCTAAGGCTGAGACCAACTACAGACCAATCCACAAATAATCAAATAAAGAGCAATGTTGGGGTCCTGTCCCAGTTTTCTTACTATACATGTATTCACACTGACACATTTGGTAGTTCGGAGTAGAAATACAATTACCTGTTTTATTGAGGCAAGATTTAATTGTCCTTTTCACTTCCTCTTCATCACACCAGTCCGCAACAAATAGTTCGTTCATAGCTGACAACATCTAGAGAATACATACGGATACAAATGTTAAAAAAACTCCTTCACTTGCAAAAAAAAAAAAATATTCATATTGAATTTCTAGATAATCATTATCATTAAATTTGGTAATTACAGCAATATTGCATAATGAGCATGTAACGATACATAGTTTTTCAAACAAATGTACACAAACTCTATTTACTTTCAGTAAAACAAGGGAAACTGTGAACAATATATTCGTTTTAGTTTTATCAAACTGTGATGTTTTAACAAAAACAAAAAAAACCATACATTTGAAAACAACATTACAATACGCGAGGAACCAAAATTTCCGAACAGTGAAAATTATAGTATGGTCGTATATCAATACAAAGGAAATAGAACAGTTCAGAACCACAACCTTGTCTGGTATAGAAAAATATTTAGACGCCTCCAATCGATTAAAACAATCGGAAATGAATTCGCCAGATCCGTCTGATAGATGGTATAAATAGCGTTCGAGATTAGAAGAGACCAGGATATCTATTGCAGGGGACGTGGTTTTGTGTAACTTCCGGTCCCGAAGATCATAAGTTCCGGTTTTTATAAAATCTGTCAATATATTGTTAGCATTAGAGGCACATATCAATCGTCGGTAAGGCACTCCCATTTGCTGTAAATAATAGTACAAACATATTTTAATTGACATCCATTGTTAAATCAAACATTATTAATATTACATGTTAAAATATTTTTTATCTATTATATTTATTTTATTTTATTTATTTACACTTTCAGTACTTTCTCTTTAACATCTACACTATTCTACAGTGCTTATATATGTGAACTTTACTTTTTTTGTCCATTCCTGTCGTTGATAAACTTTTTTTTCTAAAAATCCTATAAATATCACGGATTGTAAACTACTTTGGACAATCCCATTTACTGTATAGGTGATGATGTCATCAAACCTTTATTGGATTTCTTTGCTTGAAAATACTTAATACGGTACCTTTGAATAATACGCAGCCAGGATATTTCCGAAGTTTCCCGTGGGTATACAGAGATCAACCTCATTTCCGAGTTTGATAACCCCACTCTGGACAAGATCGAGATATGAGGATATGTGGTACACTATTTGTGGTAAGAGACGTCCCCAGCTGATAGAGTTAGCAGCACTTGAAAATTAAACAAGATGTGTTTATGAAACACCATGTCTCCGCTTGCAACAAAATTCTGAAGTGAGACATTAAAACTGTACTGTGAAACACGTATGTTTTCATTGTGGTAATGATTTTTTTTTTTTTTTTTTTTGTTTACTTTCAAATGTAGTTAAAAGGTCATGGTCAAGTTCACATAGTAAACACTTTTGGTACCAGTGGAAAGGTCTTGTCACAAGGAACACACGTGCCAGATATGAAAGCCCTACCTATTACGGTGAAATAGTCATAGACAAGGTTAAAGTTGACAACAAATAGACCTCACAAACACAAAATGTCCCCGATCTTTCGCTCCCGGTAGAATAAAAATACACATTGGCATGCTATCTCTGTGGTCATACACGTGGGCAAATGACATCGACGAAATACCAGGGGTTACGAACACTGGGAGGTTTTCTGTTCATGTTTTATGAAGAGAATGGCAAACCAATTATAGCCGGTCCAAGAGATTGTAAGTGGTCGTTAATGAGGGTTCACTCTTGTGTTATAATATACATTTTGTCATTTTAATTGATCATGACATATGAAAATAAATGTTACATAGACACGTTAAGACTTATTTCCATTTGTCACTCGATTTGCCTCAAAAGATATGCGTTCTAAAATCAGGCTGTTGAAATCTGATCACGTGACACTTTCAAAGTTCCTTGCCATTCTACAACGCACGAAAACATACCTTAGCTTACAGTTGATGTCTATCAAATCCTTTTGTAGAGCATGATCCTTAAAGGCACGCTTGACAAAAGACTGGCACGCATCGAAGTCCCCTCGAACACCTTAATGAAATAACAAGATAATGAATGTTATAATCTGATATCACTTACAACAGTAACAACATATGGTCATACGATATTCCGATATCTCCTTACCATGTCCGACGAAAGTTGGGGGTGATGGGTAAATTATTAATTGCTCAGACCTGTGACTTGGATGTTCCTTCCCGCCATTGCCGTCATCTGGTGCTTCTGTACATCACTGATTCCATCATCCGGGTATAACACCAGAACGCCGACATCAGCGCCACCTAGAACACATCTTTGCATTTATTATGAAATGTCATGTGTATATTTACCTTCACTTAAAGACAAAATCAAAAAAAAAATCTGTACATTTACCTATGGAGTTATGAAGAATAAATTATTCCTATATTACGAAACAATAAATGCATTATTTAAGTGTCTCAATAAAAATTTACACTCGAGGATGCCCAAAGTGTAACATTAAATTTATGTTATAGAAAAGAAAATACATCGCAATACTTCAAATTGTTAAAAAAAACCACCTCTTTTACAATATGTTTCAACTATTGTTTTTTCAATTTTAGAAATATTATAGCGTATTTGTGTTATCGCATGGCACCATTTCCCAGCACATTATCTACATGTTTCTTGAAAATTGAAGAGTTGAAAAATAACAAAGCGCAGCCATAGTTTAATTACTTTTAAATTCAGAAACCTTTATGTAAACAAGTTGTAAACTTACCATAAATTTGTATTGCAAAATCGAACCGACCGACGCAAAAAAAAAAAAAAAAACCAAACAAACAAACAAACAGCGTTCTAAGCAACTCCATTTTTAACATTAAACTAGAACCACTACATTTTGATCATAACATGATGTGACATAGATGTGCAATGACAATAAATTTGTCTGAAGAAAATACAATAACACACCTGCATGCCGGGTAAATCCATCAAGAACTGCCCCACCTGTGTCACCGGAAGTGGCTACGATGATGACGTACCTGTTAACGGATACGACTATTGAACCACGAACTTTGTAATGTTATTTCATTGGCGCATAACTTGAAAATCGAACAGTATTTGATAAATTACCTCAAAGTTAACATAAATGAACGATGATACAATAACAGCGCAAACAAATGATCATACCGGAAAAAATACATGTATATATCACCCTTCAGAGTCAAAACAAAACACCAACCATGCATTCATTCCTAACAAGGCGGCAGGACAGATATTTTTTTCGATTATTTTGACTTGTATATGAGAAATGGGGAAGCTATTTAAACAAATTTACTTACTTTGATGTTGTTTCCGAAGCCCTCAAAGCTTCAACAAAGAGCTGTGGCATCAACTGAAGGGCTGCATCCTTGAAGGAGGCCGTGGGTCCGTGGAACAATTCTAGAAGATACTGGTTATCGTGTAGATGTCGTACTGGAAACATCTTGCTGCATCCAAAGTTGTCAGAACTATAAGCAGTTGACAGAAACCTCGATAATATTGACGGGTGAAGATCGGAAGGTTGGATACACTTCTCGAGAATACGGAGGGCCCGCACGTGATATTTACATTCAATCATTCGTTTCATTTCTCCTGTAGATATAGCAGGCAGACCGGAAGCTGGTACAAACAACCCGCCATCAGGTGCGAGTCCTTTCAGAATTATGTCTGAGAAGGACGACCGGTTTCCATTTTGTTCACTCTGTCGGGTAGAGACATATCCTGGTTTCATTTTTAACCTACTTAAAGCCAAAAATACTTTATTTGTTATGGAATCAGGCGTTTCGTTTTCCTCAACTATTACACGGACGTCGTATGACCCTTCGTAAAATTGTTGACGGTATTTAAGTAATGTTTCCATTGACATCCCTTCAGTTTGGCCGACGATACGGTTCACCTTCATTTCCTCTAACCGTCTAACAATATCGTGTGAGGGAGTATCTAAGAAGATTACTGTTCCGGTTCTTGCTATGTGCTCCATGGCTGGTTTATACATCGGGTTCGAACCTGTGAGAGAAATAACTTTACCACGCTCATTGAACTTCAACAGTGACTTTCCTTCCTCTTCGATAAATGAATCCGATCCAACTTCCTCCAACTAAAAATGTAAAAGTCAAAGAACGGAGATTATTGACACTGATAGGTAAGAAAACAATTATATCCATTGTATCACAAGAAAATGATGTGACAATCGATGGAGAACAAAAATGTAATCGTTGCCAGTCATGAATACATAATGTAGTTGAAATCTTTCATTTACACACCTCCTCGAAACCTGTAGGAGCTCTGCCTACCCAGCGGCAGCGCTAACCGAGCGATGATCGAGTTTCAATTTTGACACTTTCTGGTGAAAATATGTGCTTTTAGTTGTTTCAATTGCTGTAAGCTCATGAAAATACGTCTGTTATAATTTAGCAGTTAAGTATAATCATAGTATAGAAAAGAATTTAGATACGAAATCATGCAGGTGTGCTAAAAATAGTAACTGTGTACCCATAATAACATGCGGCAATCAAATATGGCTGCGCCCATACAAGTTGTTGGCGTTGAATCGATTGAAATAATTTGTAAACACAAATTCCCACATCAAGCTGAGTGATGCTAAATAACCTTTTGTTAAAATCATTTTACTTGGGGGTAACAAAAACAACAAAATTCACCTCTATGCGATCATGACATCCCTTTCTATGCACTGATGTTTATAACCTATACCCTAGCAAATGACAAAACGTTGTCCGTAAAAAGAACTTTGTAGTACAAATGAGTTACTTTTGGATATAATACATGCATATAATATATATCATTGATACATTATACATTATTCAATAGTGTAGCGCGTAGAACCGTATATTTGTATCATGACATATTAAGTATTGATAAAAAATTGTGTTACTATTTGTTTCAGATTTCAATTTTTGGTGTTAGTGGGTGGCCGTATCATGTTACACATTTCTTCCTTTGATATTAAGTCGGAAAATGTGAAGTTGATTTGTAAGTGATCAAACTATGTGCCACCGTGCTATAAGAAGAACTTTAGAAATGATCAGTCTTGCAGAAGGAAGTTCTGAATCCGAATTTGATTTGCTTGACCAGAATTCCGAAAGTATATTTGAAAATGAAAATTATTCATTGAGAGAGAGAGAGAGAGAGAGAGAGAGAGAGAGAGAGAGAGAGAGAGAGAGAGAGAGAGAGAATCAGATAGATCAGACGATTCAACTTCGAGAAATGGTCAAGAAATTAATTTACAAAATGATATTGAGACAAGAGGTCAGGTTTCAGGTAGTGATTTCAGTGAGGAAATGTCAGAAATCCAGGAAACCGATGTGTCAGACTCAGATAATACTGATGATGACGACGATGATAGTCAAAACAATTTTACTGATGATCTCAGATTATGGATTCTTGAAAGTGGTACTGCTGCATGTCACTGTAACAAATCACTTAAATTATTAAAACCATATTTCCCGACTTTACCAAAGGATGTAAGAACATTATTAGCCACTCCATCTCAGAATTAAAGTATACCTGGGAAGAATATTAAGGCATTCCCCTGAAATGTTGTTAATATCAGACATAACTATACAATTGAATATTGATCGACTTCCACTTCCTAAGAGTATCAATGACCAATTTTGGCCCATACTTGGTATTGTAAACGAGTATTTCGGGAGACCCTTTATCGTTGGTTTGTGGGTCGGCACATCAAAACCAAATAATGCAAATGTTTTTTTACACCCATCCATATCCGAAATGAAAGATATTGAGGACAATGGAGTAGATAACCTACACTAGAAAATAGAGATATCAGAGTGAATGTTGTATACGACACTCCAGCGAGGGCATTTGTTAAGATGGTCAAAGGTCACAGTGGTTTGTACGGTTGTGATAAATGTACACAATCCGGCACATACAACAATCATCGTATGACTTCCCAGATTGCAATGCGCCAGTGCGAACAGATATAATGTTCGATGAAATGACAGATGAGGATCACCATAAAGATATTTCTTCTTTGAGAGAACTTGATCTTAATATGGTTACTTAATTTCCTCTAGATTACATGCACCTTGTCTGTCTAGGTGTAGTGAAACATTGTTGTTGTCATGGATCAGTGAGCCTCTCCCAACACGACTTTTGGGTAGAACAGTACAACTGATCTTGGACGTCCTTATTTAACTAAGATCTTCATTTCCATGTGATTTTGTAAGAAAGGGTAGAAGTTTATCAGAAGTACCGGTAGATAGACGGAAGGCAACTGGATTTAGAACATTTATCTTATATGTTGGACCAGTCGCTCTGAATGATAAACTACATGATTCAGTTTACAGCCATTTCATTATGCTTCGCGTTGCCATAACAATATTATGCAGCGAAAATTTGTGTTCTGATTACTGTGACTACGATGAACAATTGCTTGTTCCTTTTTGTACAACAGATTTACGGAAGTCATTTTTTAGTTTACAATGTACACACTCTGATACATTTGCCATGTGATATAGGGAAATTTTGCAAGCTACAATCTTTTTCAAGCTTTCCGTTTGAAAATTCCCTCAAGACAATAAAATGGTTGATTAGAAAGCTGAATTTCCCACTCGAACAGGTGATTCGAAGAATTATAGAGAAATCTTCCTTGAACAAAGTGAACATTAAAGATTGTGTTTTGTAAAAAGGAACACAAATATTGTCCTTTACCACATGCATTCCCATACTGTAAAGAATTCGAAGAATTTATTTTTCCTGTTACAGGTGTCAGAGACAAAGCTATTTTAACTCTCCTACACGAGATCAAAGATCATGTTAGACAGAATACACTTCTGTTTCACGCCCTCAAAAGGGGACATGAGCAAGTCAAAGAAGACGACCTAAGCGTTGAAGAATACAAATTTCCTCTATCAACAGAGGAATCCTTCCATAAGGCAGAGGACCTTCGAGAGAGTAACAAAATAAAGCTGTTGTAAGTTAAACATTACTTCACAAATTAGTCTTGATTCAAAATGTGGGTTTTGATTATGCAAATCCTGTCAGGAAATTATTGATACACCTATTTAAAAAAAAAAAAAAAAAAAACTGTTTACAGCTTACATACCTTATGCAGGCTGCAATGAAAAATAAAGTTGCTGTGTCATTCAACTGGGGCGGGAGAGGAGGGAAAAGGGCATTATCCCGGACCAACCTGGCAAAATCGGTCTTGGGCAATACTGTTGTAATATATCACTGAGTACTTTTCAAATTTGAACTTTGGAAGTATGATGGAAATGATGGAATATCTGATTAACCAGCTTTACAAAATACATAAATTTGTATTTGAAGGTGCAGCCAAAAAGGTCAGACTTACCCATGACGAAGCCAAGTAGAAAATAAAAAAACTGGTTAAAATACAGCTCGCGCCAGTTGTATGGGCGGAAAACAAGCAAGGCCAAACCTCAAGGTAACAAACCAAACAATATGCAATTTTACAATTTAATGTTTAGATTACAAGTAGATAAAGTTTAGATCAATCATATTACATTTTCGTGTAATTCTTATATGGAAGTTGTGTATTAGTGCTGTGTATGGTCAGTAATCTCGCGATAGGTATTGTATCGCGATACCTAAGCCACGATACATTGATATCACAATACATAACGCAGAGTTCTATTAGAATAATTCAAACTGGGAAAGCTGATGAACTGGGTGCTTTATTTGATTATTTCACATAATAGTAAAACACAACATTCGTAACACTGTAAAATTTAAGTCCAATGGCTATTGAAGGCAATTAACAAAAATACGTATAACAAAGGCGTACGGACATGTTTGTGGTATTTCCCGAATATGTTAGTTCTGTCAGGCATAGTCTACATACTACAACTTTGTTGTTTTGTTTTTAAAAACCAAATATTTTCAACACATCTTATTTGTATCCTGCTGGTGGGTTTACGATTTCAATCGCAGTCCTTTTTTCAATGATAAGACTAGACGTCGCCATTTTGGAACGTTAGAGAGACTTTGTAAGGAAAGTAACTTCTAAACAAAAAATTCTAAGTTGCACACCACCAATTTTATGGTATCGCGATACACAAGTGATGATACGATACCCGCATTGTCATGAAAAATATCGATGGTATCCATAGTATCGATGTATCGTGACAGCTCTATTGTGTATCGTTTTAGACAACCTTGAATTGGAAAAAATGTTTTTAATATAGTAGCATAAATGTCCAGGTATTTACTTTTTATTTCATTTCAGAAGTACTAGAAACACCAAATACATACTCAAGCAGTGACGTTGAGTCAAAATGAAGACGATAATATTTTTGTTAACAAAATTAATACATGTACCACACAAATATATAACAGGTCCTGTAGTGTATAACAGATAGCATTGATTTGGCATACACTTTGGTTTAGTTTGGTTAACGTCCTATCAACAGCCAGGGTCGTTTAAGGACGGCCTCCCTGTGTATGCAAGGTGAATGACAGAATCCAAAGCCTTCCTCACGACGCTCAACATAAAGCTAAAAGTGAGGCATGTAAAGTGTAGAAGACAGATCTTTAGGAAAGAGAGAAAAGATAAATATTTCAGATTTAATCGCCTCTTACGATCATGCAGTGTGGGCAGCAGGTGCCTGTAGGGCAGTTTGGTGTAAACTGGGAAGTGTAGGTACACATGTAGCAAAACAAATGAGGGGAATACAACACGCGGCTGCATTCAGTTCACTATGATTTAAGAAAACAAGAATTAAGCGTCATTATTTGTCTCCTCTTTCTGACTTTGTCGGCTATCTGAACCTGTAATACAATTTTCTGTATATTGAGGTCAGGTGTTCAGTATGATGGAATCAGTATCGTGTCCAGGTTTAAATTCAATCGGATATCAACAACACTGTTAAAAGTGGAATATTACATTAAGTCTCAAAATTTACATGTTTTTACTCCAAAACATCTTAACCTGTACAACAATTTCCTGTAAAATGTGGCAAGGTGTCAAAGTTTGAATCTAGTCAGATATCAACAACACTGTATAGGTGAATTTAACACCATTTCTCAAAACTAAAAAGTTTTTAAACCAAAATGATATCTGAAGCTGTGAAACGATTTCCTATAGAGTGAGGGAAGGTGTTCAGTATGGTGGTATCAGTAATGTATCCAAGTTTAAATGCAGTCGGATATCATAACACTGTAAAAAGTGCAATTTAACACAAATAATCAAAAATACCTTGTTTTCACCTAAAAATACCAAAATCTGTCTATCAATTTCTTTTATGTTGGGGGCAGGTGTTCAGTACAGTTGTACAATTGATGTGACAAAGTTTGAATTAAATCGGACAACAATAAGGCTGGGAAAAGTGGACTTAAACACAAATTCCACTTAAAACATTTATGCAACGTTGCAGATAAGGTGTATTAACGTTACAAAAATATTGTAGAAGATTAAACTACGTTGGAGAAACGTCTATTTGTTAATTTATTATGTGTTTGTAAAGTTGCAGACATGTTATATGAACGTTACTTAAAGTATTGAAACGTTGCATGAATGTTTAATTACGTTACGAAGTCGTTGAAGAAACGTCCATTTTCCTCAAAATTACGTCTTTGCGACGTTGCATATATGCCAGGTACACGTTGCAGTAACGTTATATTACCGTCACAAAATGTTGTAGAAATATTATTTACAGTTCGGTCACGTTACTAAATCGTTTTAGAAACGTCTAATTGCATTCATTTTATTTTCAATAACTAAATATATACGTGTATAAAACGTGGGGTTAACGTTTTAATAACGTGTTTGTATAATGTTAGGACGACGTTATCCCAATGGACAAACTTACGTGATTGCAACATTTGTGAAACGATTCAACGTATGTCTGCCAACTGGGTCATCTGCATATTATATGATTACGCGTGACCAAAAAAGAGTGCACTCACCTGAGGACTTCTAAGTCGCGTGATGATCAAATATTTCTCAGCTATCCAAAAACATATTTTCAAAAATGTTCTAAAACTGAAAACAGAGTAATCTCCTTGCGTCCATCGCATATATCCTGAAACACGTGCATGAGCACCAAACTCTAGACAGGACAATTTTTTCTTGGGGTGAGAGTGTGCGAGAGGTTGTGTATGCATGCATGTGTGGGTGTGTGAGCGCGGATGTGTGTTAGTGTGAGGGTGTGTATGTATGCGTGTACATTTATATATGTAAATTGTATGTGTTGTATATAGTGTGTATGTAATACGTGTTTATCTATTTTAATATGGACATACAAATTCGAGTATCTTGTCTGTGTCAAGTCTACTTACCAAACTATGTATGCATGATGTTTGTATTATTTCGTCAATTTTGTTTTCATTATAATGGTAAATAATAGGTATATGTGCTAGGGTTCCCCAACCTATATGGCAAGGTGACCAGTCTTTCATGAATGATATTGGACAGCCAGGAGAACGACTACCAAGGCACGGGAGTGATATGAACATTTGATCAGTTGATGGATTATGAATGTGTGTATCGTATTTCTACATATGCCTTCTGGGTTGGGGAACACTAGTTATATTGGTGATATCGAGATATAAGTATATCTACCTTTTTTACATTCTTCCTACAACTTAAGTATGTTATCTACTGTATATAATTTATGTATCAATAGTATCAGTGATCTAATATAATGTCGTGAATGAAATATAAATCATGTATAATAAGTATTATCCATTGAGCGCCTTATAATCCATATTTATTATAATTTATGTCGAATCTATTTATAGTCGCCACACGACCAATACCGTGACAATATGTTACCGTTTTCATTCATGTTGGTCTCGTTAACAATTCACGTGATCTCGCTCTTTTCAGTCTTTTTCGACAGTACAATCTTTTTTGTGTGCAAGACATGTCCTGTTTGTTCGCTGAATTATGTCGTGATAAGTTTAGTCAATTTCTATTGCTGGTTTGCACATTGAAATTTATTTATGATATTAGTGGTACCGATTCGCTGTTCTACATCTTGTCTGTGTTACATACTTGACAATGGATAATTATTTTATGTGTCACAGAATAGCGATCGGTATTTTTTATTCTAAGGTCTACGGAATATGTTTGATGAAATCATTTATCACTTTCTGTTTTGGTGTAAGTTATTGGTTAAAATTACTCCATCGTTTGTACAGTTACCTTTGCTAGTTAATTATTCAGTTAAATATTGTATTTAGTCATTGTTTCCGAAACTTCGAGTTTTCGGTGGTTTTGTTGATGCTCCTACTACAGTATATGGACATTGAGTCCAATCCTGGTCCGAGACTTGGCGAACTTTCTATTTTTCATTTAAACGTTAGGAGTGTTAGGCATAAATTAGAGTACATTGAGGACATAGTTAACGAATATGATGTTGTGTGTTTAACAGAAACTCATGATGATCAGGTTACTACTACTGATTTATGTATTGAAGGGTTTCATTCTCCATTTCGTTATGACAGAAATTTTGCAGGTGGTGGTATTTTAGTTTATATAAATAATCTCTTGAAAGTTGATCGTTTACCGGAATTTCCTGGTGATGAAATAATATGGTGTAAAATTAGCTTACCCAACTCGACTTATATTATAGGAACGGCTTATAGACCAGAAAACTCTACAATACCGTTTTGGGAAAATTTAAGGTTATCTATAAATAACGCTCTGGATGTGTCTCTTAATGTTATTGTTACTGGGGATTTAAATGTTGACTTCTTCACTGCCTCCAGCAACCATGTTATATTTGATATCATTAAGTTTCAATTTCTAAATAATCTTCTTCCACCGTTACTTGGTGAAAATAATCGTTATAATTTACGTAACAATAACAACTATAGGGTTCTTCTTTTCAGACTCTCTCTTACTAACTCTTCTTTTCTTCCTTCTACTATCAACTGTTGGAACAACTTAGAAAATTCTGTTCGATCCCTACCCTCGCTTAATTCATTCAAATCATGTTTAAAATCTACTACTCAGTCTAGTCCTCCAGCCTACTTTAAGATTGGAAATATTCTGCATACTAAGCTCCGACACAAGTGTAGTTCCCTTAACTATGACCTATTTAGAGTGATCTAGTTGATAATGCATCCTGTAATTGTGGTCATCCTTGTGAGAATGCCTATCACTTTTTTATTGAATGTCCCCTGTTCTTAATTGAAAGGCGTGTTTTGGTACATAATCTAAATATTTTGAATGTTCCGTTTGATATTGAACTTCTTTTATATGGTAATTGTAATTTTTCTGTGGACCTTAATTCAACCATTTTTAGACATGTGCAAAATTTTATTAAAACCAGCAACAGATTTTGAGTAAATATATATCAACATTTGTATTATCAGTGTTGTATTGTATTGTGTTGTCAGTATTGTACTATATTGTCATATTGTTTTGTATTGCCATATGTAATGTATCTTTGGAGAAGGCGTTGATAAGTTGTAATAACTTGTGCCTAATCCACTGTCTGTATTTGACAATAAATATGTTTAAACTAAACAATTTTTTCTATGTTACTGCAGCGATTGAAATAATACTGTATAGCATATGACTATCATTTGTTTGTTGCTTGACTAGTAAAAAATCTCGTGCAAGGTGGTGACCTATCGTAGATTGTCTAAAGTGAACTCTTATTCTGAAGGAAATAACTGAAAACAGTAAAGCTTATTACGTAGGAATTTATGCCAGCACTCGGGAAAAACAAAGTAGGGTTTGCAGTAGTTAAACATTTGTTGATAAGTTGTGTATTTTCCTCTTAAACGCACGACTCAAGGTGTGTATATCGTAACGAAAAGAAATATGTATTTCTGTTATACGACTTATATTTGTCTGTCACAGATACGTATTAAGTCCATTTCCAGGTTATTTGTCACTCAGCAGAAAAAATGGAAGCCAATAAATGTTCTCGTGTAATGTACCGCATTACGCCGACATTGAAATAATGATAATCGGTTTGTCAGGTTGCATGCCTTTTATAGCCTAGGATGCCCGTATATGATTTCAAGCAAGGGCCTTTAAACTTGAAACGCTACGATAAAAACATCTCGAGTAGACAGAAGGTCAATGCAGTCCAACAAAAATGTTTAACGGTGAATGGCTCATCGCATCATATGCATCGAGGATTACATCCGCCTTTCAACATATACGAATGTGTTAGGTATGTATGGCCCATCTGAAGACAGGCAAGGACAACTTAATCCATATCAACTTTCTGTGACGCTGTATGGCAAATGTTTTGTAATTTCAAATCAAAGTAAACGCTGTTGTTTGTGCTCCTGGTGTGACACTTAAAGATGACGTTGATGTGGCACACTGTACGATAGTGCCAACATTCTGGCCCCAGTCTTTATTCCTTGAAGACGGTCACCTATGCGAAAAGCGCAAACGAGCTTCGAAATACGTGAGATGAGTACTAACACTCTTTCGACCCCTCCGTTTACTAATGATTTCATCTTAGCACAACTTATCATATAACTACTGGCATAAATTAATCTCCTTCAATCCACATGCGCAGGGTAAATGTAAGTACGCAACCTTAAATTTTATTAGAAATATTCGTATATGTATGCATTGTCTCAAAACAATAGATACATGGGCAACTTTTCTCCTCACCTTATACCCGCGACTCGATAACACTGTGTGCTATGTCCGCTGTTAACCAAGTGACGGTACTATATAAGATACTGTATGAGAAGCGCGAAAGTGGTGCACTAAAGTTAAATTATTAAACTAACTGATATTTTTTACCTTATGCCCGCATATAGCTAGGTAGAAGAATAAACAAGCTTTACTATGGTATAAATTAATTGAATGCATAAAATCAGTGCCGCATAGCTGCTCGGTTGTTTACATGCCACCATCTTGAATGCCCACTCCGGACCTTGTATCTAATATCTATACATCTTACCTTTTCAGCTACGGTCATGCCCCAATATGGTTCGAGATGATGATCATCGATGTCCAATACGTCCATACCTAGCTTAGGTCCAAGCAGGCGACCAACCGTGGTTTTACCGGACCCAGGACTCCCCATCAAAATCACGTTACCCTGAAATTATCATTAATACATTATTATAACAGTAGAAGTGAATAGTTCAAATGTAACCCTGGTAAAATACTAGCCGCAATATACCACTCGGCTAGAGAGAACTTCTCTTTAGCTCGATTGATGTCAGACTAGTAAGCCAGGGGTCCCGGGTTCGATTTCTAGTGGTGGCATTGAGATGAAAAATGACCTGTGTTACACAAACTAGAAACAGTTGTCTTCTTTTTAGCTTCTGGCCATTTAGAACGTACGTGTTGTCCAGTGTTCTTTTGATCATGAAATCTACTGCCGCCAAGCGGGTCAATTTTCGCCCGTTCCAAGCCCAAACAATATTTACCATGTATTGTATCGAAATGAATACAATATGAAAATGGTAAAACCATATTACATAAAAGTCAAAATGCCACCAGGCAAAACAGCAATGTTTTTATGATAAATCGCAGCATATCTATTTTTAAACAGTTGAAAACAAGGTGAATAAATATGTTGACAAAGTTGAAAAATGAGGGAAAAGAGCACTACCTCTTTGAAATATTGTCGCAGCAAGACGCCTTTCACAAATGTCACCGGGGTGTGGTTGGGTATATATATATAGATACAAATCACTCTGATTTCAAATTTGTTCGATGATTTATTTCTGAAGGGAAAAAAAAACCTGAAAAGACAAGACAAACATTTAGCCTCCAAGCCTCTTTTCTAAACAAACACTCACCAATCACGAACGCGCCGGATACAATCAACTTCCACAGCATTGTCAACTTACCAGGCTTCACTGGCCCCGCACCATACGAAGTGATCCGTATAGTATATGTGTATGATATATGATCTTGCTGGACCGCTCGCGCTGACGTCCAGCAGTAGAGTGTCAGGACAGAGAGAGACAGATAGAAAGAAAACCAAAGGAAGTGACGTAAACAGGTGTGGAGAACGCAATTAGCATGCAGTACAAATGCAGGTGTTAGAAGTGCTGAGTTGCGTTCACGTTGAAGTCCGTGTCACGTCGGACTAGTTCGGCCACAAACCACACATTCCACTGGACAATACATGGACGTAAACAACATGTCACGTGTACATATATTTAGTAACGTCACGTGCACATTACAATATGATACCTGAGTATGCATCTATGCTACATTGTTATTAAAATACCACATGTGGACACATGGGTTACAAAAAAAAAAAAAAAAAAACACGTTACATCATGGTTATAGGTTAAACAGTTAGGAAGATTCTCGAACAAGATTAGAACACCGGAAAAAAACGATGGGCAATACCTTTTTACGAGATTTATGACAGAAGGACGAACACCGCTTTATCACAATGCACCCCCATCAAAACTTTTGACGGTCATATAAAAAGAGCGTGTATTGGGGATTAAATGAAATGTAACTGTATACATAAATCGAATGAAGTATTTCAATTTCCCGCTCGAAATACGAATGTATCATGTTTACAACACTGGTAACAATATACACTATGGCTGTGCGTTATCGGATACCTGATCACTTCCTTTCGCTGTACAATATGAGGATGTATTGGTCACACCTGCAGAAGTGAGTCGATTCTGCCAGGCATGCTGGATTTTACAGCGGGATATTCTCCGGACTACACCGTACATGTTCTGTATTGGCCAGGCTAAAAGGTTATCTATTTTTGCCTTACGGTTGTTCCTCGGTCAAGGACAACAGCCCGATCGACAACGCAGATAACCACGCCTACCGAAAATAAAGGGAGGCTACTCTCACCATCTCCGACAAACAAAGTGTCGTCAGCATTGAACGTCATTCCCGATGATATCGGACTTAATTATACTTCTAACGTATCGTTGAAGAAAAAATTAAAAGCGAACGGTTTCGTGTCTGGGTCATACTTTCAATGAGTGTCCTTCCAAACAAGGGACGATGATACAGTTGAAATTAGTGACCATGTTTTCCCCAGTCAGCGGAAAAATTTGGGGATATATACCATCTACGACCCGTTTTCAGTCGATTATTTATGAGGTTTTCCTTTTCAAATAAGGTTAATATGGCAAATCACTGCATTTATTAAAAGACAATTTATACAACAATCAATAGGGAATTCAAAATACTAAATTTGTATCTATGAATTACAGCCCTTTCCGTTGTCTTTTTCATTTGACGCATATTGTCAGAACCCAGTAAGTCGCCACATTACTACGATCCGTTTTTCAGACGAGTATTTCTGAGACGGTTTTTTTACTTTTTAAACTAATTTTATATGTGGTAGCAGTGCAATTATTAAATAATGAAATATACCGTTCGTTTGGGAATTTAATAACCTAAAATTATGTATATATATTTTTTAGCCCCTTTCCTCCTTGAATGACTTAAAACAGTCCATTTAAGTAGTCACGTACTTTCATTTCCCTATACTCGCCATGTTAAATCGAGTCAATTTCAGTCTCTTTTGGTATACTGTGACGTCACTGGTCACTTATTGGGTTTTCAGATTTTTACTGTTTCCGTGAAATCGATAATTTTGCCATTTTAACAATGTCGCTTTTATGGTTAATGTTTGAAGATTTTTATACCTTGTAAAGTGGTCACAGTAACCTATATTTTCATATATAAAAAAAATTTCGCTGAAGATACCCTATAAACACACAATGTTTAATCTGTTTTTGTTTTTTCCTCTTCACATTTTTGCTAATAATTAAAAACAAAACAAAGTTCAAGTGGTGTGATTGTTTTCTATGGAGCAGAATTAATGAAATAAAAATGAAAACAGTCGCCATGCAGGGTTAGCTCAGTTGGTAGAGCATAGGCTCCACGACCAGAAGGGTGCAGAGGGCCGGGTGGGTTTGAATCCCGGCAGCAGCAATTTCTTTCACCTCTGTTTCAAGTGGGAAGGAAGTGGTAAACCCCAAAGAAACAAACAAAACAAGTTTACTTTTACAGTCATATAAAGTCTTTATAAAATGGCCACCAAGATACATCACTGATATAATGGTTACTTTCTAAACTGGCATTAAATTCTTAAATTTTTGTTTTTGTTTTATTTATATCATGTTAATGGGGGTGTTTTTCATCAAGAATATATTAATACCTTATTGGAAGACTTTAAGATTTTATTTCAACTGTTTAACTATAACAGTAAACACTCATTTTATCACAGACCATTCACAAAGTAAAACTTTGTAAAAGAGCAGAAACATGTCCAGATAATTTCCTTCCCCTTCAGTCAATAAATATCCGAAAATGGTCAGTCCGAAATCAAGCTTGTTTATAAATACACACATTAACATGCGACTTATTAGCACATGAGAGAGGATTATAAAACTTATGCTAGCAAAATTTTGAGTGAAAAACAAATACTGATGTTCATTGCAATATTGTACACGTGAGTCTGTGAATATTTACGCACTTTGGCGCAGACATAACAAAAAAAATGCTTTCCTTTAGGACACCGCAGGATCTCCTCGTTAAGTTGATACTTAGGCCGTCCGCACAATCGGAGCCAAGATTTGCACTTCTCATGCTTCATCTGAGATTTGGGAAACGGTATGAACACAACACCTCCCTATAATCGCTCGAGGAAGCGAAATCGATGTTGCAAGTTCCCCAGCAGCAACGTATCACCATTGTCAGAGAATGTCAGAGTAGCGAAACGTAAACAAAAAGGCGTATACTACCCGCGATCTGATGGTCAATCAAAAGCTGTCGATCGGCCAATTAGGTTGTAGTGCGCTACCGCAATAAAGAACTAGTATAGTGCCTATTTCGCCACATCCAAGATTCACGCCTATTTAATTACATTCGTCAGTTTATATATATCCAAAGCAGTGGACTGTATTGTATTAACAACTTATCAGTTTGTTTGTCAATTTCTTTGGGAACAAGTGATACACATTGCGAATTTAAGTCCGTGGTTTAGCGAAAGCACACACATTGACCATCCTACCGAGAATGCACCTTGCACAAGACTGAAATTTGAATTGCTAATAGGCAACTTGTAGTCTGTTAAATTACGTCAGCAGCGATTACAACCGGTATCATGTATACATGTTAATGAACAAAAGAAGAAATAGGACTTGGGTAAGACTATTGTAACCCTGGGCGCATGTCAATTAGGAGACCAGGAAATAAAATAGGTCTAAATCTGCTGGTATTTTTCTACCGGATCAAAAATCGCTGATAACTGCACCTTCTGTAATTGTTTGAATAACAAGTAAGTTTATAAAGTTTTAATTTTCATTACGTATGATTTTGATAAGCTTCACTACATAATAAGACAGATTCTTGGACGAAAGTGCTCCACTGACAGCCACAGAAACAAAGTATGTTCTTAGTGACCCGCTAAATCAACAATGCTTCTTTAATGTATCCAATGAAAGTTTCAAAGTAGAAGAAAATTATCTTATCAACGATTAATTGTAAATCAATCGGGATAAGCGGGTCACATAGAAAGTAAGAAGAAGCAAGAAAACAGGAGCAGTTTGATACTTGCAGGTAGGATCTATATGTGTTTATTCAGTTAGAGCTTTATTCGATAAACCATGAACGAGTCTTTGGCTGTACCGATGTATCTACAACACCTTAAAACCTTTGCACACTGACAAAACGCGGAATGCTTTTAAACGGGTCTGTAAAAAAAAATACTGAAAGCGAACTACAATGTCATTCGTGTGTATTGTTGGGAGTGAGACGAGTGCTAGATTCGAGTTACCTCCCTTCGTATACATTGCAAACAGGATGTCATTGTAGAAGAGTAGTCTAGATGGCTGTCCATTGTGTAAATGAATTAAAGCTAGCATGGTTATGTGTAACAAAAGTGGCGGGAATGCACAACCAGATCGGGGTTCGAACCCAGGACCCTCCGCATTATAGACAGACCCTTGAGCTACCTAGTTGCCGACGGTCGACCCAGTTCAGTTCGCTATATTCTTCCCTCCTTTTATTAAGTCTCCGCTCCTTAATACAACTATATATAAAACTCGGACTGGTTTCCCCGTGTCAACCATTCACTATTTGAAATAAGAGTTGGTCACAAGCATTAAAAGTAGTATGAGCGGAAATGCATGGCCAGACCGTGGCTCGATGATTACATGGCTACACGATTTAAGGTCGAAATGGAGTACAAAAGCAAAAGGAGGCAACCGTTTTGTTGTGTCATTCTCTATTCATGACATAACATCTTTTTTTTTTACTTTATGACATCACAATCGATTTCAACCTGGCACAGGCAAAACGGAGAACTGCCCAGGGTATATTACAATAAAGACATATACTAAACTATTCAATTGAATGAATTCACTTGATAACGGGTGGAATATGTGACAAAATAAAATTTGTCGTTGGCAATATAACCTTAATATGTATTCAATGTATACATCTACATGATGTTATTATTAACAACAAAATATATAGGAAAAAAATACCTAAGCAAGCAACCATCACGGTTGATCTTCAGTCACGTGATGGAGTAAGGGTGTTGACGTAGTTCAGATCTATGGGATTTTTTTCTAATTTATGGATCATTCCTTTTGTGGATTTTGGTGTTTTGTGACAATATATTTGTTACCTCTCTTGGAAATTTGTGTGAAAACTGTGTTTCATACCAGTATTTGGAGCTTTTCTTTACCCGGTCCCAAACAAAGGATATGTCCTATACAGGACTTAGCACGGACCAGGTGCCCGCCAAGGCTCGTCCGAGTGAGGTAAGTGAGACCACAATATCTCACGACCAAGCCGTAACTTATACCACTCCTGTTCAAAGTGTTGGTATCAAGAGACTTTCTTTTGCCTCATCACCTGATATAGATGATGAATCTGTTGCCAAAAAACAGCTTAATGTTACACCCAATTTTGAAACTCCCGCCGCGGCCCCACCCACTCAGCCTGACAGTAACCCAGGTTTTGCTCTAGCCATTGATACTTCTGATCCCACTTTTATCAGCAGTCTTGTGGATGCGTTAATCGGACCTGTATCCAAGCTTGTCGCTTCAGTCATAACCAAGACTCTCTCTACCCAGTTTGCGCCTCAAATTGAAGATGCTCTCAAAAATGTCATCAGTGACAAATCATGTTTTAAATCTACACTTAATTCCTGTGTAAAAGAAAATATAGGGCCAGTTATTGATGAAAACTTAACTTTACTACAAAACACAGTTGAAATCCAGAACAATCAAATCAGAGACCTTCATGATAAAATCCAACAACTAGAAAGTCAGTTATACTCCCGCAGTAATATACTGGACGGGCATGAACAGTATTCACGAAGAAATTGTCTAAAGTTTCTCAATGTTCCTGTGCCCCAAGGGCAAGACGCCCGTACCTTCAAAGCGCTAGGTGCTGTCCAAGATATCTGTGACCGACGATTAAGAATCCAGGTACAACAACATTCCATTTCCAGATGTCATCTGGTAGGCCCTATCAGGAACGGGAAAGCATCAGTCATCATCCGTTTCGTTCGTTACACTGACAGGGAACAAATTTTTGACTCCAAAAAGGAACTTAGGGAGTCGGGTATTCTCATTGTCGAGTCTTTGACAAAATCGCGACAACTATTGTTCATGAGCTAAACCGTCAAATACACGACAAGAAACTGTTTTCCTTCTGGACGAGAGACGGCAGGATCTTCGCCAAAAAACCAATGAATCCACGAAAACTCTAATAAAAACAATCAATGATATAAATGCCTTAGTTCCAGACTATACATACAGGCCCAAGTAAAAAATTTTAAAAAATAGAACTTTTCACTGTTGCATTATCTATGGATTATCTATTTAAACGTGCATGCTAGTGATGATTGATTGTATGCTTCACATTTGTATCACTAATATTATACTGTATTTTCGCATTATTTTCTGTTATCTCCATGGCTGTATTTTTTTTTATTTGTCAGTAAGGTGTGTTATACTTATTTTCTCCTTTTTTTGGAGTAAGGAATTTGAGGACTAAGGAGTTGTGTAAAAAACATTTCTCTTATGTACAGTTATATATATATATATATATATATATATACATATATACAATATACTACATTGTAACTAATATGAACCGATATCTTTCCATGTTATATTAGCGTGTTATCTTAGCGTGTTATTCTAGCAGGTCACCTAAGCGTGTTGCCTAAACGCGCTACTTTAGAGTATTATCCTACTTTGTACACTGTGTAGGGGTGCTACATAGTGTACAAAGTAATGTGGTACCTGCCTGGTACAATTAACATCTGTACATAGATTTAGTCCGCATACTGAATATTGATACTTACGAATTCTTTTTTTTTAATGAGTCCGTCCGTTCGTCCGGCTCGCCGTCCTTTAAATGATTACACTTTGATTAAGGTATGTTATACAGGCAGATTATATGCTGTGCTTGCTGCAACATTATACTGACGATAGTCCATTAGTATATTGTTTCTTACGTCTTAACGTATCCCCATATTATGCATATGTCCGTCCGTCCGTTAACTTTTCCTGGCTAGTGTATATTTTTACGTTGAGGCAGTGCGGTATTCGGTCAATTGTATCGATGGTTCAGTCGACGTGGCTAGCGTTTTTGACCAACACGGAAGCTGAGCTCTCGATAAATTGATCGGTCGACCGGGAACTGTCCGATACATCATATGTAAATACATAGCATACGGTGCACAATATTAAGTAAACAGCACGGTCGTATACAATATATATGTATGAAAGTATAACCTATGGTGCATACAAGTTTACGCACTGTACAATATGTTAAACTACTTTACCAGTAAGTGTTTAATAACGGTTGTTTTTGTATGTGTAGTGAGCAAATATAAGGATGTGGGTGTTGTTCATAAGTGTGTATGTGAGTTTATACGTGTGTGTGATGCACGTGTATGTACGCTATGTAGTGTTACATATATATGTGTGTAGAGTGTATGTGAGTTTATACGTGTGTGTGATGCACATGTATGTACGCTATGGTGTGTTACATATATATGTATGTATGTGTATTGTGTATATTTACAGCTATGCGTGTATATTTTGGATATGTTTGGGAGTGCGTATGTTATGCATGTGTATGCGTGTGAGTATGTGCTGTGAATGTAAGTGCGTGTATGTGCTATAATGTGTGAGAGAGGGTGAGTATGCGCGTGTGTAAGGGTGTGTGTGTGAGTGCGTTGAGTATATATGTATGTATATTTATATATGGACTTAGGTATTGACGCGTGTTTGTGTTTTGGATGTATTATAGCTTGTACGTGTGTACATGCCCTATATGTACAATATACTTGATTATTTCATGTACTTGTTGCTTAGAGTGTGCTTACACTTGGTTGTACATTAATATGTGTAATTATAAGTGTGTATGTATATACTGTATATTGAAATAATTATACATTGAATAGGTCAACATATTTTTTTGCCAAATCTACTTGTTGTATTTGATCCTCTATCGCTATATCAATTAATAACATTATTATTCCCGTCTGAACTGTGTTTTAGATTTATACTAAAACTCGATATGTCGATTATCTCATTGCTTCACGTGGTTTTGCTGGTTTGCACCCTGCCTACTATGTATGATACCGTTTCGCTATTTTGAAATCACTTCTATTTCTATCATTAAATCTCGGGTTAATTTTAAGCATGTTCGACTGTGGTCGTCTTTATCTTTCTTGGTTAATCTATAATTTAAATAAATCAATGCTCTCCTGTTTTCAAAATTTTGAATTTTCAGTAATCTTGTTGCTACTTTATATGGAATCCAATCCTAGCCCGGGGCTTAACGAGCTTTCGATTTTTCACCTTAATATCAGAAGTGTTAGGAATAAACTTGATTATGTAGAAGATATGGCAGGTGAGTATGATATTGTATGTCTAACAGAAACTCATTTAGATGATCAGATACCTACAGATGATTTACTTATAGCTGGATTTCATGAACCTTTTCGACTTGATAGGAATTTTGCTGGTGGAGGTGTTCTGGTCTACATAAACGATCTTCTAAAAGTAAACCGCTTACCGGAGTTAGAATTTCCTGGGGATGAGGTAATTTGGATTAAAATCACACTAACCAATTCGTCTTTCATTATAGGTACAGCATATAGACCAGAAAATTCTGTGTTACCCTTTTGGGATAATTTGCGTACATCTATTAATAATGCTTTAGATATAACACCAAATATAATAGTAACTGGTGATTTAAATGTCGACTTATTAACTGCATCTTCTAGCCATTATCTTTTCGAAATTATAAGTTCTTTTAGTATGATTAATGTCATAAACGAACCAACTCGTACTGGACCAACTCGATCCAGCCTTCTGGATCCCATTCTCTTAACTCAGTCTATTTCTTGTATTGATTCTTCTATAATACCAGTTGATAAATCCTTCAGTGATCATGATAGCTGTACTGCTTGTATTAATCTTCCATGTGCTTTTAGATCTATTTATAAGCGTAAATTTTGGCTATATAAAAGGGCTGATTTCCGAACGTTTAATAATCTCATTTCTAATTATGATTGGAATGATCTTTTCCTTAATTGTAACTCAGTTGATATTGCTTGTGAACGTTTTACTGATATTTTTTACATTTTGCGAATTCATGCATTCCATCTAAAGTGGTCACTATTAGACCTAATGATAAACCTTGGATGACCTCTGAATTAAGGAAAAATTTGAGAAGTCGTGATAGGTTTCATAAAATTGCGAGGTCAACCAAGCTTCTTTCGGATATTAACAAATTTAAGTCTCAACGAAATAAGGTTAACAACATGAAAAAACACGCCCGTTTATTATTTTATGAGAATGTTCATTGTATAATTGAAGAATTTGTGTCTTCTGATCCAACTCGTATTGGAGACTTATTAAAAGGTTAATGAATTCAACTGGAACTTCACAATCTATTCATTCTCTTGTAGATCCTCACACTAATGATGTTGTTACTAATGATGAAGACAAAGCTAACTTATTAAATGACTATTTTTGTAATATTACACAAGTCGATGATAGAAACACTGCAGTTCCTGTAGTTGAGTCTAAAACCAACAAAACGTTTAGTTCTGTAAGAGTAAATAGAAATGAAATCCGTGATGTTTTACAGATATTGAAGCTCGGAAAGGCCTCAGGTGAGGATGGGATCAGTCATCATATGTTAAGAAATACATCACAAACTGTTTGTATTCCACTTGAAATTCTTTTTAACATGTCTATATCGTCAGGTATATTTCCAGCCAATTGGAAAGTAGCAAAAGTTATGCCACTTTTTAAAAAAGGTCACAGGCATTCTCCCTCTAACTATAGACCGATTTCTCTTCTATCTACTGTTGGAAAAGTCTTTGAGCGTGTTATTTTCAAACATCTTCATAATTATTTCGTAGAAAATTCATTATTTTATAAACACAAGTCTGGCTTTATGCATGCGCATTCTACTGTATATCAGCTCATTGAAATTTATCACAATATTTGTATTGCTCTTGAAGAGAAAAAACATGTATGTATGGTCTTCTGTGATATTTCTAAATCATTCGATCGTGTTTGGCATAAAAGTTTGATGGCAAAATTAAAATCGTACGGACTTTGTGGTGAAGTATTTACGTGGCTAGAAAACTATGTATTTAATAGGCAGCAGAAAGTTTTCCTAAATAGTGTTTATTCTCAATTAGGTTCAAACTCAGCAGGGGTTCCTCAAGGTTCCATTCTTGGACCACTTTTGTTTCTTATATACATAAATGATATTGCCGATGTCCTTGAATCATCTGCTCGTCTTTTTGCAGACGATACTTCTTTATTAAAGTCTTCCTCATCATGTCTTGAAATCCAAACTGTCTTAAATAGGGATCTTGATTCTTTAAACTTTTGGGCTAAAACTTGGTTGGTTACTTTCAATCCAGACAAAACTGAGGTAAAATTTATTTTTAATTCGATTGACATAGATGATGATGTAGACCTGAAGTTAGACGGGAAAGATTTGAATTTTACTGATCATCATAGGCACTTGGGGGTAAATTTTAATTCCAGTGCAAAATGGGGAGATCATATCAATGCTACATATATGTCTGTTATGAAGAAAATCAATGTCTTAAGCTCATGAGATCTTTTTGTTTTCAAAGGACCATGGACCGTAAGGATGCGGCAAAAATACGCCATCATATGGAGTACATCATTGAAAATATTGACGTTAGCGCTTTTCAGAGACATTTAGTAGGAAAGGGGTTGAAACTTGAAGATGTCGCTCCGCTTGATAAGGAGACTGTACTCCGTGAGAAAAACAGAAAATGTTTGGAATGTCTAATTAAACCCGGAAACGAATGCGCAAGTTATGAAGTTTTGATAAATATCCTGAATGATTTTAATTATAAGGAAGTTGTGAAGAAGCTTGAAAGTGGCCTACCACCTGGAGCAACAGCAGAGAAAGGTGAGTATTGTTTTAGATGTAGAAGATTCTTCATTGTTTTTTTGTTAAAAGGCAACAAAAACTTCTTAGTTCAGTTACTCGAAAATACAAGGTAATTAAATATGAATAAGAAATAATTACAGATACAATAATCCAGATACTGATCGTTTGGTCGTCACCTCTTTTATCTGGCCATCCTCCATTTTGGCTGGTCTTTACTTGTTTTGGTTGGTCATTCCATCTTTTGGCTGGCACTACTTTCTTTTGTCTAATCGTCTTTTGTTTTGACTGGTCGTTCCTTTTGACTATTCGTCTGTTCTTTTTGCTGGTCATCCCCTTCTTTTGGCTGGTTGTTACTTTTTTTGGCTGGTGGTCCTGTTTTTTGGATGGATTCTTTAGGCGGTTGGTATTTTTTGGGTGGTCATTCCCTTCTTTTGGCTGGTCGTTCCCTTTTGACTATTCGTCTCTTCTTTTGACTAGTATCTCTTCTTTTGACTACTCCCTCTTCTTTTGGCTGGCCGTCCCCTTCTTTTATCTGGTGGTTCCCTTCTTTTGGCTTGTCGTCCCCTTTTCTTTGCTGGTCGTCCCCTTCTCTTGGCTGGTCGTCCCCTTCTTTTGACTGGTCATTACTTCTTTTGGCTGGTCGCCCCTTCTTTTTTGCTGGAAGCATGCGTGAAATTGATAATCGTCCACGCTTTCTAATGACATAGGACATTAGAATGAGGATTTTACACTATTACTATATACACTTTATGAGGTGATTAGATTGTAGTAACAATGATTTGTCTCAAAGTAAATGGTAATATTATCGGTTTTCTTATTATTTTAACTGTATGGACTAAAAACCAAAACAGCAAGCTGTGGGTATACACTACTGTATCACCTAATTCATTTCAACTTTGATGAATTAACTTCATTTCTTTCAAGTTACTATAACAGTGATGTTAACCATAACTATGAGTTAGGTTCAGGTCAATATGAATTTATCTAAGACAACGACATCTTCTTCACTTTACACACTAAAAATTGTAATGTTACCCTCTCTTTTCAGCTCCAACGAAACCACGCCGCATCCTTGTACCTGAACACAAACGCAATATCAACCTGAGCCAAAAACACCTGAAGCAGCTCTCTGAGACTGTTTCTCCAAAGGACATTAGAGAATTGGCAACGTGTTTAGGTTTAACAGCAATAGACGTTGACGTTATAGAAAGTGACGATCCTTGCAGCATAAAGGCACAAATGATGAAATTATTATTTCTTTGGAAAAGCAAAAAAAAGGGCAAATGCCTTGGTGAGCTTATGAACCTGTATGATGAGGCCATTGAAAATGGTGTATACATCGATATTGAAAAATTGGAGAAGATCATTAACTGGGACATAATGGAATGAGGACAACAAAGATACTGATGACTGCGAGGTTTCTGGCACAGCGACTTCCCAGTCTGTGATCAATTTCATGTTGACATCTTTATATTGTACCAATTAAAATATGAAAGAAAACAGCCTTCTACAAACGGGTTATTTCCTTGCAAAATGAATTCATTAAAACGTTTTATGGTTGAAGCATCTGTTTGAATTTGTTTAGGAGATAACTAAGTTCTATGCTGGCAGTGTGGTTGTAATTTAAAACATCCAGCTGTTAACCTGTGACATTTGACTTTCACAGTCGACTTAGACCTTCTTCTTTTCACAAACAACGCGATAACATTCAATTGCTCTTATAATGACCTTGATATTTGACCGTCAAGTTCAAGCTTTCTTTTATTAACTTCGAGTCTATCGACTCATAATTTTAGAAAAAAACAATATCAGTTTAACAGTACTTGCAATACACATTCAAAAATATATCCATGCATTTATTGGAACGGATGTGATATGTACTGGACAACTTGGGTGTCGAATCCTGTTGTATATATCAATGCAAATGAAATATGTTTTAAAATGTACGGATATATTTTCCCTGGAAACCGGATATCGCGGACAGTTATGTGCCGTCGTGGCCGAGTCATTCAAGGAACTTGACACAAATTGCCATCGATGGCAAAGCAATGAGACCCCGTGATAGATGAATGACTTTCAACTTCACATCGTTCAACTGTCTACATGACTACTGCTCAATAACCAAAATGCCAAGGGCCCTGATATGGGACCAGCACCATGCTGAAATGAGGTTTGGTCAAATTAAAATACCATGACCCACTTGTAAGGTCGCAAGACTCCAAAATGTTCAAATCTGAGGGATTATTTCATAATAGCCAAGAGGCACAGTGCACTGATATTGGGTCAGTGGCATGCTGGGCTACCCAATCGTTCAAATGATTATCCTTGACCTACTTTTACGGTAAAAAATGTTAAAATTTTAAAACATCTTTGGCTCAATATCCAAATGTCAGGACCCTCATATTGGGCTAGCTGAAAGCTAGGATAAAAGGTTACCACGTTTGTTCAGATATCACAATAACCCGAGATCATAGTATTGGATCACTATCATGCTGAGATAATGGACTAACACAACTAAAAACTGGTATACAAGAAGCTCAGGCATGCTTTCCATTACCCATTCAGATATCACAAGGAAGTCTTATGTAAGTCATCATGATAGAGAGATTTGAATTCAATCCAGTGATAATTAACTTAGTCTAGCAAAAATTGTTGATCGTTTGAATGGTTAAAATCTTGGTTTTCCACTAGCGACTTAGATATGTCTCCAACAGCAATCAGTTTTAGTTAATATCAAACCGTCAAGTAACCCGGAAATCAATCACTGCATATTTAAGTCCTAATATCAGGTCTAGAATATTTTTTATATAGAATTAGGCTGACGAACAGACATTATTCGCATATTCCTCTTTTATTGGATGTCTTAAAAGAGTAGCTAGAAGCTCGTGATCATTTAACTTTGATTTTTTAGAATTCGCCGAAGTGTGTATACCTTCAAAAGAAGTGACAAACCCTGGATATCATCTGAACTTAAAAGCAGATAAGAATCCGAGATAGACTTAAAAAATTATGTAGATCCCGTGGTAGACCTTCTGATATTAACAAATTCAAGTCACAACGCAATAAAGTGAAGAAGCATGCTTGTCTAAAGTTCTACGATAATGCTAATGGTCACACTGATCAATATTCTACGTCAGATCCCAGGTCTTACTGGAGATTTATCGAATGACTCGTGAAATCCTCAGGTTCACCGAAGTCGGGTAGGTAGCAGAAAGTATTTGTTTCAAATTCTGTTTCTTGTACTGGTCTTATAAAAGCAGGAGTGACTCAGGGTTCTATATTCGAACCATTTTAATTCCTAGTTTACATTAATGTATACTGCTTTCCATCTCGAGACTTTGGGCTGACAATACGTCTCTTCTTCGCTTGTCATCTTCCTGTCATGAATTAGAAAATACCTTCGACACAGATCTTGATTCATTAAGTAATTGGTCAAAGACTTGTTTAGTTGATTTTAATGCTAGCAAAGCTGATGTATTATCTATTGGTAACGCTGTAGATCTTGATCGAAATTTTGAATTATATGTCAGTGAAAAATTCTTAATGTTAGTGACAGTCATAGATATTTGGGAGAAGTTCTCAACGCAGAAGGTAAATAGGGAGATCATATAATATCTATTCATACATCTGTCATGACGAAAATAATGTTCTCAGGCGTCTTAAATATATGTTGAAAACATTTAAAACTTATACGTCTTTTATCTTTTTATCACTATCATTATGGGCAGGATGTACATTTATTGAAAGTGAAAGATGAGAAAAATGGTAACATGAGGCAGCTCGCATCATCACTGATCTCCCATCCTATGCTCCTAACGACTCTCATTATTTCGAAACAGTATTAGAAAGACTATCTGATAGAAGGAAAAGAAGGAAACTTCAATTACTTTGCAATTTGAAAAACGGTATTACTCCATATTTTCTGAATAGAATTCTCTCTCTCTCTCTCTCTCTCTCTCTCTCTCTCTCTCTCTCTCTCTCTCTCTCTCTCTCTCTCTCTCTCTCTCTCTCTCTCTCTCTCTCTCTCTCTCTCTCTCTCTCTCTCTCTCTTTCTTGATCAATTTCCCCAACCGCATACAGCTTTCTTAAAATTCCTGCGGCGATATATACGTCAGCTAAGTAACATTCAACAGAAAATTCACCCCGATCTTAAATTTGTAATAATCCAGCTAATGAAAATATCTCTCTCTCTCTCTCTCCCTCATACATTTGTTATCTCTCTCTCTCTCTCTCTCTCTCTCTCTCTCTCTCTCTCTCTCTCTCTCTCTCTCTCTCTCTCTCTCTCTCTCTCTCTCTCTCTCTCTCTCTCTCCTCTCTCTCGACCAGGTATCAATAAATATTTAGTACCTTCATTGACGATGGCTATATGTACAACGGATGAGTAATCAGCAAATCAATACGTATCTCCAGAGGGAGAACTTTTAAAATGTAGTCAATATTGTTATAATACTGTTTTTAACGTAAAATTAATCATTATTTTATGATGCAGACAATGTCAATGACTTGCTGATTTCGAATAAAATAGTGTTCATACTGAAAGTCTTTCCTGTTATTAGTATCACAGCATGAAGAATTCGAACTGTTATTGTATGGCAAAATTGTTCTATGATTACTTCAAAGTCATTTAGTGTGAACATAAAGAGTGCGTTTGCCCCTAAAGCGAACTATCTTATTCTTTTAATCTATGTTGTTATTTTTTTTTTTTTTTTTTTTTTGATGAGCGAGAATATAATTTACATATAAAATAGTCTTTTTATTATCCAATTTTACAACTTTAATGTGCAATTGTTCTTACTCGTCAACGAACTACTGAATGTATATTTGTAATTAATTAAATTATGAAAAACTTTTAAATGAACTAAACATGCCTTATAGGATTTAGTATAATTTAATAAGATTAATATTTAAATTATTGAAGATGAAATATTTCATTAAAAAAATAACATCTATATTCTATATTCTAGTTAGAGATGAATTTATCATACTACACATTTTCTATCCTAAATGGCTAAGGCGCCTGTCCGTCTTTATCACTAGCCTCTTGGTCGCGGTTCGAGTCCAGGCCGCAGATCAGCGATATTTCTCCGGAAACATCCAAACCTAACACGTCCTTAAATGACATTATGTGTTAATATGACGTAAAGCAACGCTAAATCAACAAGTACTACGATCAAAAAGTATGTTAACATTTAATTCAAATTATCAACTATTGTAACGTATTGTAACAGACATTTTTTTCACCTGTGTTTTGAGAATAGACAATCGCTCAGGCATTTAACGCAAAAACGCCAAAAAGTATCATCGCTGATTATTTTCAGTTACTTTCTGCTCGTCGAAATATTATCGCTATTTCACAATAGTAAATAGTATAGAAACTTCAGTTATTGATAGTGTTGTGTCACGGTAGATTGTCACCCAATACCTAATATCATATTTCCATACATAATTCATTGGGTCTAATGCCTCGAAGCTTCGAGTGTCAGTAAATTATTCATGCCACAACATATACAGGTATCCATTTCTAGCAGAACGCAACCAAAACACATTTTTGCATCGATATCGACAATGAGATGCAACGAGGTGTTAGACCGCCCTATAGAATCAGGTATTCCTGTATGTTCTGCACATATATACTACTGAATCATGGTTAATACGTTTTCATCAAAGGAGACATTTAAAAACAAAATTCGTAAAAGGCAGTTATGAAAAATTCCAAACTTATATAAAAACAACTACGCAAGATGGCGCTGATTAATCGGGAGTTTACAGAGGAATTTTGGAACCTCTTGTTTCTGCCGAAAACAAAACGCTGAATTTTTTCCTTTCATCTCATTTGAATTCGGCGTTGCAATGAATTAACGTGGTACATAGGTGTGACATTACTCTTTCGTGAAAGAATGATGTATTCTTACTTTTAGGTTTGGCGTCCGTTTGGCATTACTGTTACATCAGTGGTTTTGAATTTTTTTTTCATAATGGACACGAGGTATAAATCTATACTTTTGAATAATATGATTCCTTTTCATTGTTGCTGAAATTAATTTATCTATATGTTTCTCCGCCTTACAAGCAATTTTGTTATCAGTCACAAGATTACACGATATACACATAGCAGCCTTACAGTTTTCAATTGACTAGGCGACACGCCCTATCGCAATAAATATTACACCGTCGAGACAATCAAATACATCATGCAACTTGTTCAATCAACTGTTGTATTCAACAGCCTTCTATTGTTAACAGCAAGTGTTATTGATCAAAACACCAGAGTCGCATAAAAAATTTACAATTCGCTTTAAAATACAATATTTATATTCATGTTTTGACTAATGGTATTGTAAAGCAAGAATCAATTAGAATGATCATGGTACATCGATAGACTATGACTAAAAATTCTGTGATAATAAAGCAGCGTAGGATTTATGTTATCCTTGTTTTCATATAGTTTAGAGATGACTATTCATGATTGTTGATGATTGTATATGCAATTCTTATATCTGCCAGTTCTTTTTTTTTTTTTTTTTTTTTTGTTAGAAGACTTTTTTAATCAACTTCGAAGAGGCAAGTAATTTTAAAAACATATCTAAACTTAGACCTTATGGCCAATTGCGGTACTGATTACATACAACGCTGTCAAAATAAATGTAAACACATGTTCTGGTCTGATGTTTTTAAAGCATATGAAAACCTACACTATGCTTATAACTTAAGAATAGACAACCCCTATATGGTTCAACAATCAAATAACTGTTGACAAGAAATCAATTTTTATTAAAGACTGGTTTAGAAAGGTCGATGTTGTTGTGAATGATCTGATAAAAGATATTAATTCTGGAACATTCTATACTTTTCAGTGTTCTAAAGGCTGTGAAGCATTTTAACCCTGAGCCAGAGTTTCCTAAAATAAAATTAGAATATCCTTTTATCCCCTTGATCTTGGAACCTTTCTTTAAAGAGCTCAAAGGTTCAAAATATTTCTATAGCATTTTAATAAAGAGCAAGGTTATTCCTTCAGGTCAGAAAAATTGGAATGAAGTCTTTGATTTTGATGATTCTACATGGCACCATATTGTTTAATTACCCTTTCTGAGAACAATAAATACAAAGTTCCAATGGTTCCAGTTTAGAATTAATCACCACATTCTTACAACTAATTCTTTTCTTTTTAAAACTCGATTAGCTATATCGCCGCTATGTATTCTTTGCAACTCTGAGATTGAAACTATAACTCATATTTTATGGGAATGCATTGAGGTTCAAAATCTTCTTCGTAGCTTGGAAGTTCTATTAGATGCACTTATTATCCCATTCAACTTCAATAAAGAATCCTACTTATCTTATTTCTTAACACAAAAATTGAATAATATAATAAATTGATAATGTAATACTAATTGTTATTAAGCATTATATATATATAATGCGTTGTTTTCATAACTCCCTTAATATCAACGCCTTAGTAAACACAATCAAAGACTATTATAATGTACAAAGATTTATTGCAATAAACAAGGGAGATAACTCCAAGGAAAAGTTTGATCAATATTGGAAAAAATAGGAAAAACTTATTGCATTATAAATTATTCTTTACTTGTTTCCCCTGCTATGATGAATTAGCCGAATCCAGTTAATCCTATGTTTATCTTCATATAATATTAACAGTTATCCATCCCTCCTATCTTTATCCTTCACCCTCCCTCTCGCTAATATTTCCCCCCCCCCCCCCCCCTCTCTCTCTCTCTCCCTATCTCTCTCATAAGTCACAACACAATTGAATGAAAATGTTTGAAAACTATTTCTGTAAGTAAGTATACATGTAAAAGTTTTCTCCAGTCAAATAAAACTTCTTACAACAATAAATATTGAAATTATTCAAAATTCACTATTCTACAATTATGGTTGGGTTTGTGTTTCTGTTAACGTTTGATGGAATAATAAATATTGAGGTTAACTGATGTTCCACTACCTTAAAAGACACAATTACTTAACATCTGAACTTAACATAATGATATCTTATTGTCTGGCAAAGTTTCCTTACTCCGGTAACCTGTATCATCGTACCCTTTCCCAACCCGTTGTATACACAGCATGCTTTTTGCGCATTAAAAACATGTTTAAATAAATCGGTTAAAAACAAAATCATGTCTTGTATGGCATTTTGATTTAATGCACAAAATTCGTGCATGCAATATAGATTTCGTAATATAAATAAAACATGCTGTGACATCATGCATTTTGGTCCGGATGACGCTCTTTTGGACATGCACTGAATTTAATATCAGCTTTCTTCCTGCAAAAATTGTAATGACATCGTCTATAAGTGTTCTTATTGTCGATTGGAGTGATACTTTATGGTATCAGATGGCCGGTTTCAAATTCATAAGTTGAATAAATTGTCATTTAACGCACATATGAAAGATACAAACAGTATGTAGTTTAAAACCAAAGTCCCTTGGCGATCATCATTTACAATTCTCTTAGTGGCTTCATTAGAATCTAAGCATTTCATTAAAATACGACAACATCAACAGATACAAGTTTTTTTGTTTTACCCGTCTTGAAAAATGTTCATATAAACAAATGTAGGTGAGAGGTACCCCTATTGGCTAGTGCAATAGCTTTTTGCTAATACTGTTGCAATATTTTCAAGTATTCCATCTAAGCAGTTGCTTCACGACTGCCCATGATCCTGTAGTACACTGTATTGTTAATCAACCCATCTTTAACTATACAAGCTTATATACTGCTTCCAGCGCCAAGTTACAACCAAAGGCACAATATATGCTTCAGACAAAATTTACACTGATCAAAAATTATATTAGATAATTGAAAAAAAAGTTTTCTTTCAGTATCTACTCGTAACAAGTACTCAATACCAATATATTGTATATTTCGATAAACTGTAGTCGGCATTTCTATATTTGCTTTGAATATAGTTCTTGTTCAAAACAGCAACAAAACCGATTAATATCAAACTAGATAAGATATATCATTGATAAATTTCACATATGAATAATTAAAATATGTAAAGTCATCTTTGTAGATATCCCATAGTTTCCCGATATAACTCATAGGAAGCTGTGACATGTAAAACGGTATTTGTTTTGTAGTGTTCGACAATCCGTATGCCTCAGGTTTAGCCGGGAACTCCAGATGAGCTGCTATTTGTGACATAATGAAATCAGCATCTTCGTCTATTGTTTCGTATTTTCCTATGAAGTCATAACCAATTTGACATGGTGCGCATAGTTTCGTGACAGGTCTCCAATGTTCGTCACTTGTGGCTTCATTGTCATCGATAACGTATTTAATAAATTCCAGGAATGTGACGTCATCACCCTCAACTGGTTCCTTGAACCCTTTCCTATATTTACGTACAACATTTTTTGCGATATTCCTGAAAGTAACATCTTTGATTCCACTACCGTGGAACTTATTTTTAAATGCTGATAACAATCTGTCAAATGGGTCTCGAACCATCAAAACTGTTTTGTAAGTTTGAATTCTGTGTTTGATTTCTGCTGGTTTATATTCGCTGAGGTACTGCAGCAAATGTTTATAGGTCACATGTACACTGTATTCGTCTAGATCGTTAGGGTCACTTATGTTTCCCGACATCAACATAAACACCTTTTTCCACTGTGAGCATGCTACTTTAGGCACGTAACAAAACAGAGTTTTATACTTATCACTGACAATGATATGATCGAGATCGCTGACGTCCAGTGTTTTATCTCTTGTTGAGTTCAGACAAGCTTCCTCCAAGATTGCTCTTCTTTTTCTCCTCGACAACACAAAGTCTTTCATCACTGACCTCCCGTATTTGTCCCGCTAAAAAACATATTTATAAATAACAGTTTAGATACAGATTCATTCTCCATTCTGAGTCAATCTTAGATAATTACAATTATATATTTTCAATAATTTGAAAAAAATTAACAATACGTTAGTCTCTCAGGAGAAAACCATTTCAATTAATGTCAATCATACATGTAGTTGTATAATGAATTCTAATGTAAATGATATTTTATAATGGCTTAATATACACCTGCATGGTATGCATTTGTCTTATTTTTGCAAAATATAGCCACATTCACCCTGCAGCGTTACAGAGAAACAATCCCTCCATAGTAAATATCTACCTTAACTTCTGGTATACCCTCCGGTATTTTCTCCGCTGTAAAAGAACAAAGCCATTTAGTTTAAACTCCGATCAATCTAAAAATCAATTAACTGGATATATTTGCCATAATTATCTATATAAATTTCTGAGGGACCGCCATAAAATACATTAACGCAAAATAAAAAATGGAAAATACTGGTGTAATATTTGGGGCCAGACTGATGTCGTTTTAACCGCTTCTAAACTGTTTATTGTGGTGTGAGTTGGTTAAGACAAATTATCAAGTACAACTATTACAAACGATATTCCAGTACAATATGTTTACATACTGGGTTTGATAACAGGCTTCGATTTATAGTGTAAGGAAACTATAAACAGCGTGAGGGAAACCAACAGTACTCCTATGAAAATGTTCCAGTCGTTACACCGTCTCATCATTTTCACTGGTATTACGTCAAACAGCTTCCGGCGCATCTATAATGATACAAACGTGAGAAAATATATGTATTTGTAGGTGTTAATGTGCAATAAATGTAACATAAACTTTCGTCAGTCTCCTCCTTGGCTTTGAAATTTAAGCCATTAGCATCACTGACGAGACCTAGGAGGATGAAACAGCTGTTTAATTCATTCTCCCTATCTGACTCTGAAGATGTATTGAAGATGTTAGCTAGTCAGTTGTGTCTTTTCTACAATCTTCATATCAATTAATGCATTAATTCCACCTGGACCAATTATCAATTAAAAACTGTTGTTATTTGTAAAATGGAAATAATTCAGTTATTCAAAATAATAATTACAAGTTTTGTGTGTATTGTCAAATAATATTTGAAGACTATTATACATACGTTATGGTTCTGATATTAGTGTAGATATATTGTGAAGTAATTAAAAATCAATGTATAGGACTATCAGGTTTAAAAAACTGTTTCTTAACTAAAAATGCCTTCCAAAATAGTACAAGATCTATTTTCATTACCAGTGATCTCTACAAGTGTTACACAAATAAACTCCAACAAAAGATCTAAGTTAATGATACATTACGTTTTTTCCGCTTTAGAATCTCTCATCTTACATATAATAGACACACACCAGATTGATCGTGACTATATTTGTAAAGAAATATACTCGGGACATTTAAATTTCATTTCCGAAGTTTTACAATTGTATTTGGACGCTTATGGTATGTCGAATATCGTGCCGCGTGTTGTAAAGACAATGTGGTATCAATAGGTACCTGGTATGTAATACTAACACAATTTGAGAAAGCTTTGCTTTCACTCAATAGGAGAAAATTATATTTCGTAAAGTGGCCCCGTATTTCGAATTCGTCATGACAATAGTTTGATCAGATTCGTTTCGAAGAAAGTTCAATGTAGACCAAAAACCTCAACAAAAACCTACATCAAACAATCTTAATTTAGCTTCAAATCCGATGGAACATGGGGAAATATGATAAAAAGAAAGATTTACATCGGAGACCGTTGAAAAAATTATAAGGTGATCCAGAATGGTTAGTGTTCTCTACCTCATTATGCACCAGATACAGATTTACAACGAGTATCGAACACATATTCGTGTGTTATTTCCTTAAACATGAAGACTAAATACGAACATACAGTTCACCCTGAAAGATAATGATTTTTTTTTTAATTTTCTGTATATTTTGTATAACGTGTCATGTCCGTATCCTATTATTATAATATTATTCGTCTGTGGTATCCCTTCAGAAGTCTTCCGTTACCACACGTGGTATCCCTTCATAAATCCTCCGTTACCACAAGTGGCATCCCTTCAGAAGTATTTCGTTACCACATGTGGTATCCCTTCAGAAGTATTCCCTTACCACAAGTGGTATCCCTTCAGAAGTCTTCCGTTACCACAAGTGGTATCCCTTCAGAAGTATTCCGTTACCACATGTGGTATCCCTTCAGAAGTATTCCGTTACCACAAGTGGTATCCCTTCATAAATCCTCCGTTGCCACATGTGGTTTCCCTTCATAAATCCTCCGTTACCACATGTGGTATCCCTTCAAAAGTATTCCGTTACCACACGTGGTATCCCTTCAGAAGTATTCCGTTACCACAAGTGGTATCCCTTCATAAATCCTCCGTTACCACATGTGGTTTCCCTTCATAAATCCTCCGTTACCACATGTGGTATCCCTTCAGAAGTATTCCGTTACCACATGTGGTATCCCTTCAGAAGTATTCCGTTACCACAAGTGGTATCCCTTCATAAATCCTCCGTTACCACATGTGGTATCCCTTCATAAATCCTCCGTTACCACATGTGGTATCCCTTCAGAAGTATTCCGTTACCACATGTGGTATCCCTTCAGAAGTATTCCGTTACCACAAGTGGTATCCCTTCATAAATCCTCCGTTACCACATGTGGTATCCCTTCAGAAGTATTCCGTTACCACAAGTGGTATCCCTTCAGAAGTCCTCCGTTACCACACGTGGTATCCCTTCAGAAGTATTCCGTTACCACAAGTGGTATCCCTTCATAAATCCTCCGTTACCACATGTGGTATCCCTTCATAAATCCTCCGTTACCACATGTGGTATCCCTTCAGAAGTATTCCGTTACCACAAGTGATATCCCTTCAGAAGTTTTCCGTTACCACAAGTGGTATCCCTTCATAAATCCTCCGTTACCACATGTGGTATCCCTTCAGAAGTATTCCGTTACCACAAGTGGTATCCCTTCAGAAGTCTTCCGTTACCACAAGTGGTATCCCTTCAGAAGTCTTCCGTTACCACAAGTGGTATCCCTTCAGAAGTCTTCCGTTACACAAGTGGTATCCCTTCAGAAGTCTTCCGTTACCACATGTGGTATCCCTTCATAAATCCTCCGTTACCACATGTGGTATCCCTTCAGAAGTATTCCGTTACCACAAGTGGTATCCCTTCAGAAGTCTTCCGTTACCACACGTGGTATCCCTTCAGAAGTATTCCGTTACTACAAGTGGTATCCCTTCAGAAGTATTCCGTTACCACAAGTGGTATCCCTTCAGAAGTCTTCCGTTACCACAAGTGGTATCCCTTCAGAAGTCTTCCGTTACCACACGTGGTATCCCTTCAGAAGTATTCCGTTACCACAAGTGGTATCCCTTCATAAATCCTCCGTTACCACATGTGGTTTCCCTTCATAAATCCTCCGTTACCACATGTGGTATCCCTTCAGAAGTATTCCGTTACCACATGTGGTATCCCTTCAGAAGTATTCCGTTACCACAAGTGGTATCCCTTCATAAATCCTCCGTTACCACATGTGGTATCCCTTCATAAATCCTCCGTTACCACATGTGGTATCCCTTCAGAAGTATTCCGTTACCACATGTGGTATCCCTTCAGAAGTATTCCGTTACCACAAGTGGTATCCCTTCATAAATCCTCCGTTACCACATGTGGTATCCCTTCAGAAGTATTCCGTTACCACAAGTGGTATCCCTTCAGAAGTCCTCCGTTACCACACGTGGTATCCCTTCAGAAGTATTCCGTTACCACAAGTGGTATCCCTTCATAAATCCTCCGTTACCACATGTGGTATCCCTTCATAAATCCTCCGTTACCACATGTGGTATCCCTTCAGAAGTATTCCGTTACCACAAGTGATATCCCTTCAGAAGTTTTCCGTTACCACAAGTGGTATCCCTTCATAAATCCTCCGTTACCACATGTGGTATCCCTTCAGAAGTATTCCGTTACCACAAGTGGTATCCCTTCAGAAGTCTTCCGTTACCACAAGTGGTATCCCTTCAGAAGTCTTCCGTTACCACAAGTGGTATCCCTTCAGAAGTCTTCCGTTACACAAGTGGTATCCCTTCAGAAGTCTTCCGTTACCACATGTGGTATCCCTTCATAAATCCTCCGTTACCACATGTGGTATCCCTTCAGAAGTATTCCGTTACCACAAGTGGTATCCCTTCAGAAGTCTTCCGTTACCACACGTGGTATCCCTTCAGAAGTATTCCGTTACTACAAGTGGTATCCCTTCAGAAGTATTCCGTTACCACAAGTGGTATCCCTTCAGAAGTCTTCCGTTACCACAAGTGGTATCCCTTCAGAAGTCTTCCGTTACCACAAGTGGTATCCCTTCAGAAGTCTTCCGTTACCACAAGTGGTATCCCTTCAGAAGTCTTCCGTTACCACAAGTGGTATCCCTTCAGAAGTCTTCCGTTACCACAAGTGGTATCCCTTCAGAAGTCTTCCGTTACCACAAGTGGTATCCCTTCAGAAGTCTTCCGTTACCACATGTGGTATCCCTTCAGAAGTCTTCCGTTACCACAAGTGGTATCCCTTCAGAAGTCTTCCGTTACCACATGTGGTATCCCTTCAGAAGTCTTCCGTTACCACATGTGGTATCCCTTCAGAAGTCTTCCGTTACCACATGTGGTATCCCTTCAGAAGTCTTCCGTTACCACAAGTGGTATCCCTTCAGACGTCTTCCGTTACACAAGTGGTATCCCTTCAGAAGTCTTCCGTTACCACATGTGGTATCCCTTCATAAATCCTCCGTTACCACATGTGGTATCCCTTCAGAAGTATTCCGTTACCACAAGTGGTATCCCTTCAGAAGTCTTCCGTTACCACACGTGGTATCCCTTCAGAAGTATTCCGTTACTACAAGTGGTATCCCTTCAGAAGTATTCCGTTACCACAAGTGGTATCCCTTCAGAAGTCTTCCGTTACCACAAGTGGTATCCCTTCAGAAGTCTTCCGTTACCACAAGTGGTATCCCTTCAGAAGTCTTCCGTTACCACAAGTGGTATCCCTTCAGAAGTCTTCCGTTACCACAAGTGGTATCCCTTCAGAAGTCTTCCGTTACCACATGTGGTATCCCTTCAGAAGTCTTCCGTTACCACAAGTGGTATCCCTTCAGAAGTCTTCCGTTACCACATGTGGTATCCCTTCAGAAGTCTTCCGTTACCACAAGTGGTATCCCTTCAGAAGTCTTCCGTTACCACATGTGGTATCCCTTCAGAAGTCTTCCGTTACCACATGTGGTATCCCTTCAGAAGTCTTCCGTTACCACATGTGGTATCCCTTCAGACGTCTTCCGTTACCACAAGTGGTATCCCTTCAGACGTCTTCCGTTACCACAAGTGGTATCCCTTCAGAAGTCTTCCGTTACCACATGTGGTATCCCTTCATAAATCCTCCGTTACCACATGTGGTATCCCTTCAGACGTATTCCGTTACCACAAGTGGTATCCCTTCAGAAGTCTTCCGTTACCACACGTGGTATCCCTTCAGAAGTATTCCGTTACTACAAGTGGTATCCCTTCAGAAGTATTCCGTTACCACAAGTGGTATCCCTTCAGAAGTCTTCCGTTACCACAAGTGGTATCCCTTCAGAAGTCTTCCGTTACCACAAGTGGTATCCCTTCAGAAGTCTTCCGTTACCACAAGTGGTATCCCTTCAGAAGTCTTCCGTTACCACAAGTGGTATCCCTTCAGAAGTCTT